ATCTCTGACTCGCATCGGTATTGCCGATGTGGCATGCGTCTAAGCACGCATGACGCAGGGGACGTACCTACCGCTTGATGCGCGGTTGCTTGCAATTGGATTGGCATTGTCTACCTTTGAAGATTATTACTGAAAGCAGAAAGTATTTGATATTCAACACCTGGCCTTTGATCACACTTAACCACCGGAAGGTTTTAAGACGTACCAAGACCGATAATGTGAATTGTCTTAAAATTTGACTTACATCGATATTGCCGACGCGGCGTGTGTCTAACCACGCGTGATACAGAGGACGTACTTACCGCTTGATGCGCGGTTGCTGGCAATTGGATTGGCATTGTCTACCTTTGAAGATTATTACTGAAAGCAGAAAGTATTTGATATTCAACACCTGGCCTTGGATCACACTTAACCACCGGAAGGTTTTAGGACGTACCAAGACCGATAATGTGAATTGTCTTGAAATTTGACTTACATCGATATTGCCGACGCGGCGTGCATCTATTTGTAAGCTTGCATGACGCAGAGGATGTACAGCGGTGGACACGAATGCCTTCCCTGTAGACACGGTAACGGAAATGCTTGATGGGAAGGCATTCATGTCCGCCAGTGTACCTACCGCTTGATGCGCGGTTGCTGGAAATTGGATTGGCGTTGTCTACTTGTGAAGATCTGCGCTAAAAGCAGAACGTTTTTGATATTTAATACCTGGTATTCGATGACACTTATCCACCGAAAGGTTTTAGGACGTACCAAGACCGATGATGTGAATTAATTGTCTTGAAATTTGACTTACATCGATATTGCCGACGCGGCGTGCGTCTAAGTATGCATGACGCTGGGGACGTACCTACGGCTTGATGCGCGGTTGCTGGCAATTGGATTGGCATTTTCTACCTTTGAAGATCATTGCTGAAAGCAGAAAGGATTTGATATTCAATACCTGGCATTCGAAGACATTTAACCACCGAAAATTCTAAGGACCTACCAAGGCCGCTAAATTGATTACCTCGGAATCTGATTCGCATCGGTACTGCCGATGCGGCGTGTGTCTAACCACGCGTGATGCAGAGGACGTCCCAACCGCTTGATGCGCGATTGCTGGCAGTTGGTTTGATGTTGTCTAATTTTCTTCTCGCCACGTTTACGAGAATATGAAAGGAGCGGTCGGGGATTCGGAGTCCATATATTCTAGATCCATGGTCTAAGTATACATGCCGTAGACAACGCGTGCTTAAATTGATTGGAGCGCGGTTGCCGACAATTGGTTTGGCTTTGTCCACTTTTGGTAATTGCTGGAAGCCCGCCTTGCATAGAAAGTATTCGGTATTCGGTCCTCGACATTCAATGTCGCTCATGGGAATAATCGAGAGGTCTTGAAGCTTGCCGAAACTGTAATCTATTATTACGCATCGGTATTATCACGTATTGTCATATGTCTGGGTAAATACATGCACCACGAAATGCAACTCTAGCAAGCGTTTGCTGCACCATTGCCGGCAATTCAATTAGTACCGTCCACCCTCGAGGATACCATTACCGAACTATTCCCAATTACCCGTCATCGAATTGCCCAAATATGAAACCAAAGAAATTTGTCAGATTTTGGGCAATCTTGTAAAAAGCTCGACGACCTTCAAGATGACTAGTAACGACAAGATGTAACGTATAGCGTTAACGTTGGGTGACCATTATAGGCCATTGAAAAGATAAAGTATAGTCAAACAACGGGCGCGTTTAAGGTGTTATAAAAGTGTCATATATATCAAAAGCTCAAAATATTTATATAACTTTTCTCCAAACCGGGTGCACCGAACAATTCGAAACTTGAACACGTAATTACAAAGGTATAGTGTGTATATATATCCCGGATGAGAACCAAACAAGTTTTTTTTTTTTCAAGATTTTCATTAGGACCTCCGTAATCACGTGTTAAGGTTTCAAATTATTCGGTGCACCCCGTTTGAAGAAAAGTTTTATACTTGCGTATAGAATGGTACAATGAGTTTTATACATGTGTGTAAAATGACCTTAACACATTCGCGACCAGCAAATTTTTTCCATTTCAAATACTGAGTACCAGTAAAACAATGAAATTCTGAAACTGATTGCCGCAAACTTGTACCGTTAAAGCAAGGATAAAAATGATAAAATTTATGCGCCGCGCCGGCTAACAATTAGTGAGCCAACTAAGCAAGACGTGATTCACGTCAGCGGCAATCAGGAACAGAATTTAAAATGACGTGAATTCACGTCAGAGACAACCAGGAATAGAACTTGAAAAGACGTGAATTCACGTCAGCGGTCGCGAATGTGTTAATAGTTCGTGTTTGATCCGAATCGGACAGGAAATTTTCTCCTTAGTCGTGCAGCCGCACACGACGTAGGGTGTCGGGCGCATTTCCGATTTCGGGGTTTCTCCTCGATTCTTCTCGGCTGGCGTGTTTCTTTGTTCGAGCTCCCGGTAGGCGTCACCTTCCTCGGCGTTACACGCATCCTTCTGCCCGGTTGCGTTCTGAATGTTTCTCTCGGAGCACCACTTCTCATATTATTTGTTGTTAAGTGCATAAAAGCTTTTCGAGTGCTTAATACAAGCTCGGTAATAGCAGGGCGTTATTGTCGGCACGAGTGCGGTAGAGTGTCTACTTGAGCGCCATGCGGCGAGCGCCGCCCACCTTTTATGGATTCTTTGTGACGGCGCGATGCAGTTTTGCCTTCTTCCACGTTCGCCGCACCAACTAGACGCTTTATGCACCTCCAAATCTATTTCTATCGCCAGACGATGCTCCCTCTTTCTCCTTTCCGGCCCTGTCGCGCTCTTTCCGCCTTTCCTGCCCTCTTCTGGCCGTCGATCCGAACCGCCGGGCCTTCTTTCGGGCAAGATTTTTCAAGATATAAGTTCTTAAGGTGAATTGAAACCCCCTTCAAATCAGTCGATTCGAATACAACACTTTTTTTTAAGGGTATTAGACCAAGCTGTCCGAAACATTGACACGTCACTCCTGATCATCTAAGAATTGTCCTGACACATTCAAAATTTGGATTTTTTGAAAAAATTGGTTAACTTAGCCCAGACCAGAAACAAAATGGCGTCAGGCTCTCATATTTCGATCGGTATACAATTATCGAAAGCTCTGATATGAGAAACGAAAGGGTCAGGACAATTTTACGACAATTTAGAACACTCTGGTAATCGATAAACTCGCATTTGAACGGGATAGAAGCAAAAAAGGTGTTGTATGCGCTTCTATGCCAAAACGATGGTAATACGAGGTCTCGGAGTGAAAATTTAATTGACCTGGAAATCACAGATGGCGCAGAGGGTCCCTCTGTAGTCAATTAGAGCCCCAGAAAGCATGAATCCAGAGGATTTCTGGAGTTCTACTTTGATTTCTTGATATTTATTGTACGAACAGGTACAACGACAGGTGGAATATGCCATTTGGTACAATATGCAATATAATTCGACACAGTTGTCAATATAAAAACGAACGTCGGCAACGTAGGCATTTAGAAAATCTTCTTTATCGGCGTTGATCAAGTTCTCGATGTGTTTCACTTCACCTTAAACTCGCCAGTCGGAATAGGCTGTCTTGAAAATACAAGAAACAAGATATAAAAGAGGAATGCATACAAACTAATAATAATTGCCCCATTACAATAACGTCGCGCAGATAGTCCTTTAATTCGTATTCTTCGTCACGGTGGTTGTTCACAGGGTTTTGATGTTTTGAGCTAATAATATTGAGTACATAACCGTTTTGTTATTCAATATTTATGCCCTGCCGGATATGAATGCCTTGTCTACGGATATGGTACCAGTATATGACGATGAAAACATTCATATCCACCAATATACAATGATGTTTAACGAATTTAAACAATTATTTTAATTATTTCCATTAGTTACACCAATGCATGTTTTTGTGTTTACCGAACAATATTGTTATCCAAAAAAATAGTTGCATGGTTTCACCTTTGAAATTGTGTTAGTTAACGAGGAACAATCCCCATCAAATTGACGCAATTGTCGGCTTTCCTAATTCCATGTAAAACCTTAGGTAAAAAAAAAATACTAATTACAAACACGTCCAGTTGATAAACATTAATTACTTTTCGAGAAAACATCATGTCAAATACCTCGGTTCGTCAAATTTCGGGACACCGGATAAATACAAATAGGTATATGTATAACAGCAGCAATTCCGTCCAACATCAGCTTCCCCGCGCGAGAATCTGCCTTTCAAATAAAAAAGTTTCATATCGGAAATTCGATATCGGTTGCCTTAAATGGATAACGATCGATTCCTCTCTCGAATTGTGCAAAACTCCGGTTTATTAAGTGCGGTTGAATCTTGATTGGGTGCCATAAATAAACGGTAGTATCCAGTGCGACGAGAAAATTTATCGGATAATCGAGATACAGTGGGTCCTCGATTGTCCTTGCCTAAAGCGGATGGATGCCAATTCGGTTAAATTGAGACACATCGGTTATCGAGAATTCGAATCGCAAGAAATCAATCGTTAGCCTGAAATAAGAAATAACGTGCATAAAAACACTCGGATAATTGTTAAATACTGCCAAGTGCACACGTTTCAAATTAAGCGTTTAAACGCTTAAATATTTGTCAACCGCTCCTGCCCATACCTTGATTAATTTAAACGAATCTCTGCTTTGCAGTAGAGCCTTAAAGAAGATTTAATCAAAGTAGCCAATTTTATTAATAATTAATTGTCAACGGAAAAGATAGGTACGTTCCACGCCCATTCATTTTTTCACGGAAATAAGTGTGCAATCAGTACTTAACATAAACATGCAACTTTAGTAGAAAAGACACGACGTAAAAGGTTGTTTGTTTTTTCTTTTTTTATATTTTTACCTATTCTCTAAAACATAATTTACTTACTCCTTTCGTGTACGATCTTACTCCTTTACTCGTCCGCTACGACCAAATAGCAAATGCCTCCGATGAACACATAAAGTATTGTACGAACATTATAAATGGTAATTACAAAGTGTATTTAACATTATAACTGCTACACACATATAGATCACTCGTGACGGGTCAGCAGCGCTGTAACGAGCAACTGACAATGATGGCTGCTAATAATACATATGTAGTTCATGTATTTATATCTGTATAACCTAAAATTACATCTTAATATAAGAACTTCACGTGTAAAGTGAATCGCGAATTAGTTATCGACACGAGCGTCGCATTTATTTGACTAAGCCCATTTTCTTTGCTTCCACTTCGTAAATCAGTAACCTCCACATCTTTACTACGAATACCTCCGCTTCCTCGTCCAGGACCTAGTGAAAACCTTATTAATTCTATTCTTGTCCAAATATTCTAAATCTTACCACTGTATATAATTTCTCACCATTTGTACGTCGTCAAGAATACCCTGAGGGGAACTGCCAGCCATGACTTTGCTGCAAATGAAGTCTACCAAAGTGGGCTCGGGTTCCCCGATATATTCAATAATCTTTTTATTGATCCACGGCCGTATTCTTTTTTCCATTAATGCCTGTTAAAAACATAATGAAAAAACAATTTCATGATATCAAATTCCCCAGGCGAGAGTTATAATAGACTTACGTTATCGATTATAGCCCAGTCGAGTTGGTAACCGAAAAGAGCATTCTTGTCCGTAGGGATCTTATCGATGAGAGATTTAATATGCTTTCGTTTTTCCTCTTGACTCTTTGTATTCTCCTCCTTTCCGGGTTTGCCTGACTCCTCACCTCCTTTCTTTTTCTTCTCTTCACCGTAATCTATTAAAAGACGGAACAACAAAATAAGCGGAACTTAAAAGTAGTCTTAAAATTCTGAAACTGCAGCGTTCATTACCAAGAGGAACCAATTTGCGTTTTTTCGCATTACTGGCACTATCGTCGTCGTCGTCGTTATTAAACACGTCTTTAACGTCAATCCGTCCCTTCTTCCTGGCTTGATTGGATTGTTGAGTGTTGGAATTAGGAGCGGCATTCGGACTTGCAGGTGTTTTATTACCTATAGCGTGATCCCCACCTCGTGGACCACCAATACTCATGGCAAACGGGACGAAGTTACCTAAAATTACAGAAACTACGTTTGACAGAATCTCTTAAACATTTAACAAAAACAATAATCAGCTAAAACGTGAATGCATACAGCTTGCTTCACACTATCAACTATATCTGTTACCTAAGTATCCCAATGGCTAACTAATACGTGATATTATACCATATCGGTGAAATGACGAGTCGAGTATATTAACTTGTTAAACTTGAGTCATGTTGATTGTAACTCGAGTTATTAGTTCAAACGAATGCGAGTTACGAGTGACACCGAACTACTCGTACCAAGATACCAATCGTGTCTCTTACGTTTATTCGAGTAATCGTTATTCGAATTGTTTAACTCTCCAATTCGCCATTGACTCGACTCATCGCACCGAATATATGCAGCACCGAGTTGGCAATGTTCGAGTAACTCGAGTCGATAAATTACTCGACTCGTTATATCACTTCGACTCGAGTCGCCGTTAATCTAATTGTTTTACTCGTAATTGACAAAACTCGCCATTGACTCTACTCGCCGCATCGAATGTATGCGGCACCGATTGGTATATCGACTCGAGTCCAAACTCCAGTTGGCAATGCATTCGAATTCGAGTAACTCGAGTTGGTAAAGTACTCAACTCGTCACATCACTAATATTCATCACTGAAGTTGAAACATCGCAAATATTTACCGTAAATAGTGAGAGGTTTGCTTTGACAGATTTAAGGTGAAGTGAAACACGTCGATAAAAAAGATTTTCGAAATGCCTACGTTGCCGACGTTCGTTTTTATATTGACAACTGTGTCGAATTATATTGGATATTGTACCAAATGGCATACTCCACCTGTCGTTTTCATGCAATAAATATCAAGAAATCAAAGTAGAACTCCAGAAATCCTCTGGATTCATGCTTTCTGGGGCCCTAATTGACTGCAGAAAGACCCCCTGCGCCGTCTGTGATTTCCAGGTCAATTAAATTTTTACTCCGAGACCTCGTATTACCATCGTTTTAGCATAGAAGCGCATACAACACTTGTTTTGCCTTTATCCCGTTCAAATGCGAGTTTATCGACTACCAGAGTGTTCTAAATTGTCATAAAATTGTCCTGACCCTTTCGTTTCTCATATCAGAGCCTTCGGTAATTGTATATCGATCGAAATATGAGAGCCTGACGCCATTTTGGTTCTGGTCTGGGTTAAGTTAAAAAATTTGTTCCAAAAACCCAAATTTTGAATGTGTCAGGACAATTCTTAGATGATCAGGAGTGACGTGTCAAAGTTTCGGACAGTTTGGTTTAATACCCTTAAAAAAAAGTGTTGAATTCGAATTGACTGATTTGAAGGGGGTTTCACTTCACCTTAAAGTAGTATAAAGAATGTCTACATTATTGGAAATAGTTGCACCGAACGATTACTCACTGCTAGTGGTTTTTTCAGGTTCGCTGACGAGCGACATCCTCGAGTCCTCGTCATGATGCGGAGGCAACGATTGAGCAGGCGTTGCCGGAGCTACAGGCGGTGGAGAGTTTCTCATCTCCTTTACGCTCTCCCTATCAATTTCGTTGACCTCGTCGTTTTTATCACCATCCCGATGGTGATTTTGGTGGTGTCGATGGTGTCGACGATGGTGATGATGATGACGTGGAGGTGTTCTCGATGCTGTTTCGTGTTGGGACGCATCATCATAGTGCACCGCATCGTCGCTGTCGCTTTCAATTGGCTCGGTTTCTATCGGAGGCATCGGCACTTCCTTTTCCTTCTTAGACTGCTTTTCATCCTCCTCGTCAATAATGGTGATCACAGGTTTAGGCTTGTACTGTTCTTCCCTTTCAGCTTTCAACTAAAAACCAAAGATTCTCACAAATCAAGTAATATCACAGCGAACACTTCTCTAACCAACTCACAGCGCTACCTTAACTCTGTCACTGACATTCAAGGATACAAAATAGAAAACAGAAAGACTAGGTATTCTGTACATTTACAAGTTCCCGCGAATATAAAATTGAAACATGTTCCACCTCTACGTTTCCGAAAAGAAAATCTCGAAGAAATTTCCGAGAAATATCCAGGATAAAACCCTGTAGATACTTATACGATATGCACTTGTAATAACGTTTCTTTCCTAGCAAAAGAACTATACTTTTTTCCATCCACCAGGATTTTCCGCTAATATTCTGTCCGTTTATGGGATGAATTCTAAAAGAACCACGGCACATAAGCGTTTATAATAATCTCACCCTTTCAAATTCTGCCGCAGGGTCTGGATGTGTCGCATCGGAATATAACTTGTCCCGAAGACGTTGTAACTCTTGACGCTCCGCACAACGATCTCGAGAATCCGCTTCAGCTTCCACCGCACGTTCCTCGAGACGTCGCGATAATTCCTTGCCCTTATAATACTTAGCGTCGTCTCGGTCGTCATCGTAGTCTTCTAGGAACTCTTTTAGGCGCTTTGCTTCCCTTTCCCTCGCTTCTCGCTTGGCTCTGCGCTTTTCCGTCTCCTTTTCGTACTCCTTCTGTTTCCGCCTCTCGCGGGTCTCCCAAGCTCTCACTCGCTCCTGATAAACAGCTTCCTTCTCCCTCGCCCGTCTCTCGTTCTTCTTTCTCTCCTTCGCCTCCTCTTCTTCCTCCCTCTCTCGCATAATCTCCCTTTCGGTCTTTCGAGCTTCCTCCCGTTCTCTTTCTCGCTCTCTTTCCCGATCTCTCTCCCGTTCCCGATCCCGCTCCCTTTCTCTCTCGCGCTCCCTCTCTCTGTCGCGATCTCGATCTCGATCGCGGTCCCGATCTCGGTCTCTATCTCGATCCCGATCTCGATCTCGCTCGCGGTCTCTGTCTCGATCTCTTTCTCGCTCTCTATCCCTCTCGCTTCGTACACGATCTCTGTCTCTCTCGCCTTCTTTCGACCTGTTGAAACAGAAAAAACAACGTTAGAGTACGCAAATACCTCTTCAAGAGAGTTTTAAGAAAATTCCAAAGAGTGACAATACCTTTCCAATGACGACTGTTTTACGGAAAAAAATACCTTTCTTTTCTTAAATTAACTCCCTCAGATCTGAACGTAGAATATATGAACCCCGAACATCTAATTACTCCCTTCATAGTCCCTTCATTGTAGTGAAAATAAAAGAGGACAACAAGAAACGATCTACTCCTTCTTTCTCTCTCGCTGTTGGATAGCCATATTGCTCTGCGCAGCTGTTTGTAAAATCAGAGAGACAGAGAGTGAAAGAGAGTATTTCTTATTTTTTATCTCAATGTGGTTGCCTTCCCAACCAGATCGGCGTGCGAGGTTCATACATCCTACGTCCATGTTTGCACCCCGTTCGAGAACTATTACGCGAGATTGGGAAATAAATGCAAGAGTTGCGAACATCCATCAAATTCACTGATCCACATACTGACTTTTGTATACCTGTTTAGCTGATACCTATTTGTTCTATACGGAGAGTTGTGCGACGAATTCAAGGCACTCCGTGCACCACTGAACATGGACAGCGGTACCAAGAAAGTACCATCTGCGCATGTGCAGAAACTGGAATGCCCTGAAGTTTTCGAATAATACAGATGCTTCTTTCGAACGACGCGCTATTTTCGACGCATGCGCAAGTACTACATTATTAGTTGTGCCCACAATCCGTGGCGGGTAATCGCTTTAAATCATTGAACTATATTCATATTGGCACGCACACGAGTCGCTAAACCCCGCGACAAGAAAGAGGACCACAAAGAGTATTTGACCTTTTCTCGCACACAGTCTATCGAAACATATTACCCCTGTTTGCCCCGAGAAAAAAAGGATTGGTTGACTCAAAGAAACATGCATTGCAACAACAAAATCCAGAGATCAAGTACCAAGTCCTTGAAATGCCCAGATACAGTAAACAAACTTCGTTTAAATCAACATCGATTTTTCTTCTCAAAAGAATAATTGTTTCTCGCGATTATATATGTTTCTGGCAACAACATATATAATTGTTTCAGTCAACTATTCTTTTATATCAACATTGATGTTTACTATGTAGGTATCTACTGAAAGTAAAGAATGGACAAATACCACCTGGGACTTTCTCGTCGTGATTTCTAAAACCCTGAAATATATGGCCGTGCCGGTTCCAATATGAGAATAGTTCAGTGCTTCAAATCGCCATTTTGTGGGGTAGCAGCTATCCGATTAGCATAGAGATATCAGTGATAGAATTTCACCTCGACTTCGATCGTCTTTTATCTCTTCTGCTACTGCCGGTGCTACCACTGCGGCCTTTGTGCGATATAGGACTGCCAGGCTCGCCATCCTGATCATCCTTGTTGCTCGCATCGTCGTCCTTCTTATCCTTCCGCTCCTTCTCCCGTTTTTCTCGCTCTTCTTTCTCGACCGCTTCTTTTTTTCGCTTGACTTGAGCCTTCTCCTCCTCTTGTTTCTACAAAATACAAGAAAGCATGCGAACGTGAGTCGAGGCCGTCAAAACACCCCGATCAAGCTGTGATAACAAAACTCAGGAACTAGCAATCGTACTTTCTGGCTCTTACACTCGACGAGAAAACATTCGACCGAAAAAAAAGAAAAAAAAAAAGAACAACGCATCGAAATAATCAGGAGACAGCTGTCAAACAGCTAATAACGAATCCTTAAACATGACGACGCGGTACACCGACAAAGTAGAAAGCACCTCCGAAGAAATCCATTTCTTCCGTTATTCTACTCTGAAGCAAATGATTTCGCGCGCTGTATGGAAGTTCAATCCGTACATTCGAACGAAGCATCGGACGATTGCTAGCTGTACAATAATAGATTACATAAGTATTAGTAGATTTGTTCGTGTCGTTGAGATATACTCACGCCGTTGGAGCATGCCGGGGCAGTAGCATCTTACGCGATATCTCGTTAACATATCAAGTACCTAAGTGCAGGTACAAACTTTTGGAAAGAAACGTAAGATATCCCTTAACATAGACTTAACACTATAAATTTCGTACATGTCTAAATGAACGCATCGTAGAAGGCCACCCAATGTACTTACAACATTGCAAATGTGCCTGTAGTTTGATAGTGTCTAAAGCTACGTAGACGTAACAATGGAAAGGGGTGATATTATTCAGAATCTCTCACAATAGTCAGTAATTATTAATATGTATTATTTATACCAATCAGAAGAGCGGAGTCGTCGCGAAGAAGGGAATCCATCGAAACGTCGTTCGCGTTTGCCGAGTAACAGTCACACGTCTGTCAACCTAGAATCCCTCCAGTAATGGCTACACGCGGCAGCTGATGCAGCAAACTGTTGAATATCAAATGCACAATAGTTTGCCCACCCGTGATATTCCACCTGACCCACGCAACGACTTTGAAGTAAATTAACACGGGTCACCCTTTCAAGTGAGACAATAATAGCAACTGTGGGTTACTGTTTGGAGAACGAATTTACACCCTTTCCTTTCACGCCATTTACGCTAGCCTACCACTTTAAACGTGGACGAGAATTAAGAAAACTTCTAAGAGATAACGTTCCACGTCATGCGAGTAATCAGGTACGCTTATTTTTCGAGAAAACGCGCGTTCTGCGGCTGAATCTCTCTATCGATAGTCCCTCTGCAGCTTCCTTATCGTTACCTACGTGAATTGACAAAAGAGAACGGACGGTGGAATAAATAAACTCCCCCCGCGAGTCGGCAATCTCTATCCACCGCGAGTAAAAAGCAAAAGTACTCGACAAAGCCATCGTTTGGAAGTTCCACACAGTAACCCATGAATTTAAATCTAGCAAGATTAAAAAAACAACTAAGTGCGCGAAAGTAGATGCACATGTGAGGAGAAGGACTATCAATGCATGGACCGACAAAGACCTTGGGGCACAAGGATTCGGGTGGTCGGTTGGCTATAAAAATTCTACTTTGAGAACCGAATGGCTTCGTGTTGGTTCATGGTTGTGGAGTTTACTCACGGTGTGAAGTTGACTCGGTCAGTCAGTGTGGTGGTACCGGAGAATGGAGGAGAGCGCACCTAGGTACTACGTACATGTCTGATCGAGACGCTGACCGAAGCTGTTTACACAAAATAAAGACAACAACTGAACAGTCGCCATTGTGATGACAGAATCATTTCAGTATGTGCGTATTGAGCTTAGAAAATCTTGATCCGTTAACGTTCCGTCCAAAGAGATGCTGTTAAGATCATCGGCGTCGAGTGGTTCGAAGTGCTCGAAACGTCATACAAATATAGATCGGCACATAATGCGAAACGTTCAATTGGTCGTGTAACACGCTGCGCGATCACCTGGCATCGGACCGATTTTGACAGTGGTCTTTGACAAATCCAAATATATGCTCAGGATGCCCGAGAGCGCGTCAGCCGTGTACGCCGAGTCAACCGAAAGGACAACCGACCGGAAGAAAACAGATAAATAACCGTTCGATTTTTGGATAGACGCCGACAACAACGAGACTCTCTCGTGCTGGTTTCGCACATTTTTCTCATGTTTGGTTGGTTGGATAAGCTCTGACTTACCGACGAGGTTGCAGCTGGCCTGCGAAAATACGAGGGATGTGCTCTGATTGGCTCCCTTCAGAGCCAATGAGTGAGTGAAAGGGCGGTCCCCACACCCTGCATTCCTAGGCGTGTGCGTTTGCTGTGCGCGACGCACGCTGCCTGTTATTATAATTACAGCACGAGTCACGGCTCCAATTTTTTAGAGCTAACATAGCACACACGCATTTTACCACCAATTACTTACTAACTAGGCTTTACGACTAAATATACGCTATCCCCTTTCATACATCCAGATGCATGCCGGAATCTTTTGAGCAGTCATGAATCGAGTTCCATGTTATTCTCTTGTCTCAGAACACCCTCGGACGTATCATCGATTGCACCACGAGTCACATTACAAATGTCAAAGAATCAAGAACAATGACCAATATAAAAAAATATACATATACCATCTCGTAATGGATCAACGAAACAAAATATATTCGTCGCCGCCCGATTTTTTCGAAAACATTCAAAGTAGAACGGTTTATCATAAACTCCCTACGAAACATATAAGACTTGTGCAGTTCTACTTAGAGCACGTGGATGGAATCGTACAGTTATCAAGACACAAATATAAACACTGAATTTATAATCTCACAGATTGTCTGTACCTCGCTACATATTTCACTTTCTAAAAAGAATAAATTTGTAAGTTCAAAAAACTGTGCATTTTTCAATGGTATGTTTTATAAAGTTCTTAAACTCAAGGAACGTGAATTGGACTAAACGGTACAAATCAATCTGAAAGCGAATAACTTCTATAACGGCAAGTAAAATTATTTGTCTTTGTAGCCACGTATTGAAATTAAAAAAAAAAAGTATTCAACTTCAGTTTTACAGAAGTTTTCTAAATCTCGTTTGAAACTAAAATGTTGCATTGACCTAGTAAGTTCCTTTCTTTTCCCCTCCTTTGTTCTTCATTCCAACATTAAGTCAGTATTTTGAAATATTTTTCATGGTACAACCATCAAAGGTAGATGCAGTGGTGTTTAATGATATCGGTAACCGAAAAATCAAATACTTCTGAAAATAATTACCTTCATGACTTCCCTGAACTTGCCAATTTCCCGAGTAATCAGGTCCCGCTTACTCTCCTCTATCTCTGCGTCGTCCAAATTCAATGCTTTAGCCACTACCTTCGTCTGATGCTCCTCTGGAATAATACAATTATTTAATATATAANATTTGTTATTGTATTCAATTCCTTGGTAACGAACATACTACAAAACTAACTGTTCATACCTGGTGCAGCTTGAGCGTTCTCCAAATCGGCAGCATGTTCAGCTATGATTTGGTTGATTCGGGCAAGGGCGTCGGCATCCACGACACGCATTCCCTCGTCCATATAATCGTCGCCTTCTTCTCCCTCGGCATTTTCACTGGGAGTCTCATCTTGCAATGGCGACTGACCACCTCTCAGTTTCTTTCGTCTCTCCGCTAAGAACAATTAAATGTTTTCAGCAAATAGAATTGTATTCAGTAAAAGAAAATTAACATGTTTTTGCTATCAAATGAAATTACTCCTTCCATGTTAGTTATTTTTCTGGAAGGAGTACTTCTCTAAAACTTAAAAAAAGACATTTTAAAAATTAATATTTTTACCTAATATCATTTTAACAATTTCCTATTTGTGCTAAGAGCTAGGATATAACAAATTTAATTCCAAAACAGATATCTCAAGAATAATATGATAAAACTGATAACATACCAGGTGAAAATGCTTATAAGAACGATACTGTAAGCATATAATCTTAGAAATCTTAAGGAGGATAGTTATAAATGTTCGCATTAAATATGGTTTAGCATTGAAAGTAGACTTCAATAGTAGATTACCTTTAAATTGGTCCAGAACAACTTTAGTTTTGGCATCCACCTTGACAACCAATTTTTTCGTGCCAATTTCCATGTCATGAAGCAATCTAACTGCTCTTAAACCGGCATCTGGCCCTGCATACTCGCAGAATCCGAATGCCTGAACTCTTTTCCAGGAGAGAACGTGTCCACATGCACCCAAGATATGACGGATCATAACATCTGGTGCTCGGTCCATAATGTTACCGACGAACACTGTAACCGGTGGACCCGATTCTCTTTCACGGCGTCTGTTGTTGTCATGTCGATTCTGGTTACGTCCATAACGTACAGCTGGCGCCGAAGTCTGCATCGCAGATATGGGTGTTGGAATCATCTAGTTTTTATAAATAACAAGCTTCTTAATGATGCACATATCTACTCATGCATTTTGCACCTAGTCCTGTTCATAACCCCAAAATAATTGCAGGTGCACAATGTAAAGTCAGCCACAACACCACTGAACCAAATGATTATAAAAACACCCTTATTTTGTGAAATACTTTTCATTATAACCTCAAAATACAAACTTCCATCCTCTTTGGAAATATTTGCAAGATTATAGTTAATTAGGTTATTATTTTTTTATAACCGCATCAGTGCTCACAGTTACACATCTTGAAGACTATTTGGTAAAAGCTGGTTCATTTAGATTCTAACTTTCCCAAAATCAATATACACTGCCAAAAGAAATATACATGAATATAAAGAATACTGCAGAATTAAGAATTAACAGTTCAGCCATTACTTGTTTCAAGGTATAACTCGTTAATACGTTGACCGCCGCGGGGGTCACCAAGGCATGGCGGTTGACTGGTAACCACCTGGCGGTCAAGGTATTAATGGATTACAATAAAAAAAAAAAAACTCAAATCCAGTTGGTCCACACTTAGCCAAATTCATTAAATAGACAAATGAATTGTAACAAGTCAATAGAAAACATGGATGTATATACAGATTTGTTCACTCAATCAGATAAACTACCAATTGCACAACAGTTATGATGCCCCAATCAATTTAATAACGAACAATATTCTGTACTGCACATATATTTTTGAAAAGTACGTGCAATGCACACATAATAATGGTATACTTACATGTGCCATTGGCATAACTCCACCTATGATAGGTGGAGGAGCGCCAACCATATATGGCATCGGAGGCATGCCTGGAATCCCCATGGGAGGTTGTCCAGGATAAGACATTCTTGAATTATACTTTATTGGAGCAGTGAAGGTACTGAAATTAGAAGGTATACCAACTTCATGAATAATGATTACATGTTAATACAAAACATCAATCTCTGACAAATGCAACCTACAATCCATTATTTTGTCATAACATTCAATAATAAACGGTCCTGTAATTATAAAATATGTCCTCAATTCTCAACGTATAATACTTTAAAAATTTTAATTCCGCACTTGCAACAAATTAGTCTACTCTTAGATCGCTGGAAAATATACTGTAACCAATGAAACTACGATAATTTATCTTCCATTAATAAGGAAGAAAGAGTGTCACATATAATAAAGTAAAATTAAAGTGATTTTAAATTACAGTTACGTTCTGACTATAATCATTTTTACTACCAATAGCAAATCATTTAATATATTATTTCCAATGCTTTTATATATTGTCAGTTGCCTATAAATTTTAAAGTTTTTAAATTATGGATAGGATGTGATAATATTACTGTAGAATTTGTATCTTAATTCTCACAATTAAGTATAAAGTAACAAATGATATACTGTGAAATAAATATACAAGAACAGAATGTAAAAAACAATATAGTTCCAGCAATTTAAAAAGGTATAACAATAGAATTCTGGATCACTCACAAATAAAAATTAATTGCTTCATTATGTGATCTTAGAACCTTATCACCAAGGTTAGACAGCATTGACTTTGATCACAGAACATTTTTACGTCAGGCATTAAGATAGTGCTTATAAATGAGTTGATAGTGCCAATTGAAAGTCTATATGGTGATACTAAAAATAAAGCATAGGTATACTTATAAGGCAAAGAATATTATTCTATAAATACACATGGTACTGCTTCATGGTCTTCTAAACTTTCTGGCATTGCCATTAAACTCAAATCACCGATGGTACAACTATTTATATTTCAATTAAGCAATTAAGATAAAAAGCAACAAATAAAAATATACCAGCTCTGTATACCTAAAATCGTTATTCCACATTTGCTGGTTTCACATAATGAAACCTCAATATTGATTACAGATTACTCAGAAGACCCGTTGCGTACTGAGATGGATACAATCTAAATCTGAACATACGAAACAAACATTAATATGGTTTCTGTACTTGAACTCAGAGATTACGAGTTTAAATCTGTAAGGCAATGAAAAATGCGCAACTAATGAAATTTACAATGAATTAAAAAAAAGGATATAACTTGCTTCCCACAATTGTAAGCTCTGATACTATCAATGAGACTGGAAAGCACTGAGCTTGGTTCCAAAATCTTTTCCTTCCAAATATAAGATAGTAAATGCAAAACCAGAACGCGTGTCAATTTAGAATATATATGACGAAGGTAATACTTAAATGAATGCAACAAAAGAGAACCTAAATACTGTCCCACAAATGCACAAGAAACCACCGCACATTTCAATGGAGGCTGCCGAAACATAACCATTAAATGATCGGCTTCCACAGCGAGGCCTTAGTATCGATTAGCACTTACTAATAAAGTCCTGTATCTTAACGCGTGCACCATGAATCACCGCAGGAGATTCCTCGACATCGTTTTAATACAATTGCCGGTCGTTGAAAGAAGGAATGACCAACTAACAAACTGCACCTCAAAGGCAACTACTTCCGCGCCACCATTGCGGTTTCGCTTCGAGCGGTCTAGGTGGCTGTGCTTCACCGTATTGCACGCTTTCCTCGAAACTTTTCACCTTTCACGGCATTTAATGGACCGAATTCTGAAAATCTACCGCGGCCGGAAAACTAAAAATCGTTTGGATATCAAATAAGCAAGAAAGAATTGGTAATATACGTCAAAAAGCTCGTTTTACTTCACAGAAACCGTATATCGATATGTAAATTCTACATTCGTGATATTTTTTTTCTGTAACGTCTTATATGACAAAAACTCCTCCAATGGGGGAACATTACCCAGGTGCAGCAATCTGATTGGTTTCTACGAATCAGCAAAGGCGAATTACGGACCACGTGCGATTCGGCCTTTGCTATTCTCCGCTAGGTTAGTTTACACCGATCGCTTAGTATGTTGTGTATTCAGGGTGAAGTTTTATCAAATTCTCAATGTAAAGAATTAGCATATCTACAAAAGCTACGTTACGCCGCTTTTATAACTACTGGTGTTATAAGTTTTGGTTTTACGCCGGCATTACCGGTCAAACTGGAGTAAACAGGTGTTTATACGGAACCAAATACATCTACAATCCTTTTTGCACCGGTTTTTTAACTACTGGTCTTAAATACGCTATAAACGGTGTTTTACTCCGGTTTAACCGATAAAACCGATATTTCATTAACGGTACAGTGATAAGTCACTTTAATTCTTTACAAAAGCCAATACATTACAGAGATGAATTGGGAGATTGCTCACGGGCAGGGTCGCGCGATAGCATCCTGTGCTGCCCTCTGGTTTCGTACGTTAGCTTTCACCGTTTTTTGCCCCCAAGGGCGGCGCAACTAGAGTTCGAAAATTCTCGGTAACATAAAATTGGAGAAGGTAACTGTGAAATATACCGTAAGTTACCGGGAACATTGAGAATTTAAGAGAACGTTAATTTTGTTATTTATACTTTAGGTTTCTTCGTTTAAATAACTTTTTTTTTTCAATCAACTTCAAAGTTCCAGCTAAAGAGTAATAATTACTATTAGAAAATATTGATTATAGGGTCGTATTTACCTCCAGCTAAATATATTCACGTATGTAGAACTTCACGGAAAATTCCATGAGATTTGATTCAAACGAACTGATATTTCATTCTGCGACGAAGCGAATGGGAGGTTTTGATTGGTTACGGAGAACGTACAACGGAAATTCTCCTCTACGATGTTTCTCTATAGCTAATCGAAATCTTTCGTTCGCTCTGTTGAAAAATGCAAATTTTCATAATTTCTCGATAAAAAAAAGCTTTGGAGAAATTACCGATAAATTACCGGGAATTTCTCTTCGTTTCTGACGTAACTTACTGGATTTAGAACTCTAGGCGCAACAAATTTCTGATAGGGACTCGCGCACTCGCGATGGCGGTGCCATCTACCAGTCGCCGTTGGTGGCTTACATACTCGTGATGGTAATACCATGCGGCAGTTGACGGTGTTTGCTAGAGTTCCAAATCCAGTAAGTTACGTCAGGAACGAAGAGAAATTCCCGGTAACTTATTGGTAATTTCTCCAAAGCCTTTTTTATCGAGAAATTATGAGAATTTGAATTTTTCAACAGAGCGAACGAGAGGTTTCGATTAGCTATAGAGAAACATCGTAGAGGGGAATTTCCGTTGTACGTTCTCCGTAGCCAATCAAAACCTCCCATTCGCTTCGTCGCAGAATGAAATATCAGTTCATTTGAAACAAATGGCATAGAATTTCCCGTGAAGTTGTACATACGTGAATATGTTTAGCTGGAGGTAAATACGACCCTATAATCAATATTTTCTAATAGTAATTATTACTCTTTAGCTCGAACTTTGAAGTTGATTGAAAAAAAAAAGTTATTTAAACGAAGAAACCTAAAGTATAAATAACAAAATTAACGTTCTCTTAAATTCTCAATGTTCCCGGTAACTTACGGTATGTTTCACAGTTACCTTCTCCAATTTAATGTTACCGAGAATTTTCGAACTCTAGTGGTGGCTTACTCACGCTTACCGACACTACTCGCTTTTGATGGCAAGGGAAGAACACTCGTAGCGCCCTTTTTGACTTTATCCTTCACTTACCTTATTTATTTTATTCGTAAATGATACCAACTCTCTCAGACACTGGAAAATGTTTCACTTGTAAATAGTTTACATGAATTTGAAAGCAAACGTACAAGGAAGTTTTACGCAACCGAAAACAAAGACAGATAATTAATAAAATTATAAAACTCAGAAACTTTTCAGTACAAAAGTAAAAAATCATTTTTTATACATGTATACAATATATGCTGTTTACATGACTTGTTTGGAATTTTCCTTACGCGGGTAATAATGCCTTAATATACTGATTATTACAAGCCATGATTTCGTCCTTATATGCAGAAATGGACTTTTTTAGTTCAGACTCTGGTAGAGACTGATCAAGTGCTTTGCATTTTGCAGCAAATTGAGCAATAAGTTCCTCTGCTTCCTAGAATACAAAGAATGTTTATGTAATTTTAAGAGCACATAAATGAATCACTAATTATGTTTGAGAGTTTATGTTCATATAAATCCGCTGTTGCATACTTCGTCCGGAAAATATAGTTAAGAAATATTACCTTAATAATTTTCCGCTTCTTTTCCGGACTTGCAGATCCTTCAAATGCAACATCTTGAAAGTTTTCTAACTCAGTTTGTTTTCTTTTAGCGAACTGGAACAAAAGATACCATTTCATACATGATGCAATTAAATAATAATGCATAAAATTAATCAAAATGCAAAATAATTTATAGTAAACAAAAGCCAGATTTAGTATTTTTGGACCTAAGTTCATTTCGTGATTATAAATAATTACCTCTATAACGTCTGTGGGGAAATTGGCTATTTTGGCAACGTGAAGACCAAAACTTTGATCACAGATTCCAGGTTTCACTTTGTATAATAAAGTAAGATTATTATCGCCGGTAAGAGCGGTTACATGCAGATTTTTTACAGTAGGTACATCTTCAGCCAGTCTAGTAACTTCGTGAAAATGAGTTGCAAAGAAGCAATATGCTTTTACATCCTTAGCTAAATGCCTGTAAAATACGAAATTTTATTACACTGTGACCGTCAGTTTCTATTTAGCAACAAAAATTGATAGTGACTTACTCTGCAATCGACCAAGCCATACCACAACCTTCATATGTCGAAGTACCGCGTCCCAGTTCATCAATTATAACAAGAGAGTTACAAGTTGCTGTCTGAAAAAAAAAAGAACATCAGTATAATGGTATTACGGATCTTGCTCTATCCGAACATTCTAAATCTTGCTTGGATTTATATTTCAGCTGTATTTTGTAAATTGCCTATAATGTAAAACAATAGTAAAACTATATTTATATTTCAGTCCTTGTTCCTGTTATTCAAAATAATGTCGAAATTACCCGAAGTATGGTTGCCGTTTCTATCATTTCTGTCATGAACGTAGAAAGCCCCTTCGTTTGGGAGTCATCAGCTCCGACTCTTGCTAATATGGAATCCAATAACGAAATTCGTGCCATTTCGCAAGGTATAAAGCAACCAATATGTGCCATTAATGCTGCAACCCCAGCGGATCTAATGTACGTACTTTTCCCACCCATATTTGGGCCTGTTATTATATAGAAATGAGCCTCATCTGTAATAATACGTATAATGAACCTCATTGTGAATACGCATGTAACATGTAGAACATACAACAATAAATATTTAAAAAATTGTATTATTTTTACCTCTCTTTAAATTAATATCATTAGGTATGTAATCAACCCCCTGTTGCACTTCCAAACAAGGATGACGGACTTGAACGAGCGTTAATTCTCCAGCATCACTTGGAAGCATTTCAGGGCGCACATATGCTTTATGAGCACAGACCGATACTTGAGCAAAAGCTGTAAGTACATCTAAAGAAGCGATAATGGAGCCAATCGATTTGATAAGACCAGTGTAGCCAGCTAAAAAGGAAACATTGTTAACACACCCGAAAAAATCTGCAGAACATTCAAAGCTTAAAAAATAATGCATAATGTACAAACCTGCAATGCTGATAATTTCTCCTACGACAGACTTTTGCTGAGTAGCATACTTGTCCCTCGCAACGATATAATCATTATTCAAATCATCCATTTTACTATTTCTAAATCTCACGCCACCTTTATTGGAATCGAGAATTGTGTATTGTTTTTTGTTCCTCAAGATTTTCTCTTCCTTTAAAGTTATACGGAGGTAATACCCGAATTGTTGGTTACTTTCCAGTTTTAGAACTTTCCCTGCCTCTAACGACAAATCCTTTGCAGCTTTGCCTAACTGTCCTTCGAGTTTTTCTTCTAACTCGTCCATGTTCTGTTTCAATTCTGTAAAGATTAAGCAACACAAGAGTAAACAATTTACCGGTACTGTACACTATTAGAAATAAAATCATTACTAAAAGCGTCATTTATAAGATCTTGTATTGAATTGTGTGAATTGTGTGCATGTAAGAAGAAGTGAATAAACTTGAAATCCTACCCTTTAATTCATCATCAAAATCAGGACGAACCATAAAATCGCCTTTTCCCGCAGCATCGAGATCCATTGTTTGTTCAATCATTTGTTGAAACTTGTCCATGTCAGTTATAAGCTCTTTCAATGGATCTGATATCATTGCTTTGAGAGCAGCTGATTGGTCGGTAGATAACTGTTCTAACAGCACCGGTAAATGCGAGATGCACAGATAAATTCTACAAATGAAAGAATTAATAATTAATACATGACATTAATGAAATAAAGATATCACTGACCACATAAGTGTAAATTTAAAGATAATCAAAAGAAATGCTCTTTTCTGAACATCATTATAATATCCATATTTTTATTTATGAATACACTACACTCACTTGTAACAATCCTGTAAATTGGCTTTTTTTCTAGAGAGCTTTTTCGCGAGCTGTTGCAAATCGGGTACCCTTCGAAGAAGATCTTCGTTGAGAGTTGCTCTTAAATCGTTGTCTTTAATTAATACTTCAACAATATCGTGCCTTTCTTTTATAAGACTTAAATCCCTGAGAGGTTGTCTAATCCACTGTGCGATTAATCGATGACCTTGAGGTGTTCGACATTTATCCAATAAAGCTAAAATACTCGTTGGTGCTCCTCCACTTGTTGTATTGGCGGTGTCTGGTCGTGTTTCAATATTTAGAGCTTTAATCGCTGCTGCATCCAATCTAACGTATCGAGATTGCTCTAATTGCTTGATGGTAAATTGGTTTATATTCCCACTATCTGCCGTCAGCTGAAAATTTGTATTTATCAATAAGCAGCTACGGATAAACGTTGAAAAACACAGATAACCAAATTGTGGCATAAGTCTACCTACGTCTAAATACTTTATGATGGCAGAAGTTGCGGACATCGCTATTTTTAAATTAGTTTCGGGTAACGCCTGTGCATTTTGCTGCTGCCCCTTTTTGAACTTGATAAGTGTATTTAAATCCTGTGTTAACGTTTCGGTTGAGAATTCCGATTTCTTCCTCAGGGTAATCATGACGTTGTTTCTTTCCATAAGCTAGAATGTATTAAAAATATAGTTAGTAGACCTTTCTTAACCGTTTGAGTCCCAGGCGGTATAGAAAAAACAATGTCGAAGAATCTCAAACAGCGCAACCGCGCTTTCCCTATATATGTACAAAAATACCCAAGCAGCGCGATAGCGTTTGTTTAACCGTTTGACTGCTACACGGCGCAAAAGCGCTGCGTTCATTTGTCTCTAAAACCGCGACGCAGCGCTTTTGCGCTGCGAGTTTCAGTGTGTCTTTGTTGCTCCGCAGTTTTCGTGCGTTCTTGCAAAAATTGCTTAGCAGTCAAACGGTTAATTTTATGTCGAGAAATACCAAGCGGCGCGATAGCGCTTCTTGTATGTGGTAGGTAACGTGATTCTCGTATTTTTTTCATCGCTCCGTCACATTTATTGCAGCTTGCAAAGTGATCGGACGTATTCTTCCGTATTCTTCAGTTAATCATTCTTTTCGTTATTAATAATTGTGTTTTAAAATGATTACACGAAGCAACGCAAAAAGTAGGTGGAAAAATAATCTAGATTTACTGTTTAACTTTTCTAAATTTGGTGCATCCCCAAAAAGGTACAATGAATCGAACAAGAAAATCTATAAGCACAAACACAAATCCATGTGATCATATTATAGTCGATGATGACGACTGCATTGTTCCGGTAAAGCGCAAAAGACAACGCATTTTGAGCACTTCGGAGGATAGCGATACTGATTTATCTCATCAATGTTCATTCAACAGTCTACCAGTGGCTGAAGACGTTTCGAATCAACGTGATTCTCTGGTGCCTAGCGATGAATCTGATTCGCGATCTAACTTCCCTAGGCAGAGTAAACCGATTGAATTTTTCGAACTATTCTTTGATTCGACACTATGGGAACTAATAGTTAAAGAAACGAATAAATATGCGGAGTATTCAAGGCATTCACCTAAAGAATTAGAATCCTTTGAAACAGAGATTTGGACACCCGTTACTGTTTTAGAAATGAAGGCATTTATAGCAGTGCTGTTGGAAATGGGAATTACGAGAAAACCTAATATACGTTCATATTGGTCTGAAAATTCCCGTAACATACCGTGGTTTCGAAGAATGTTTTCTCGAAATCGATTTCAACATATTTTAAAATATTTCCATTTAGTAGATAATTCTTTATGTTTTCCACCTGGTCACGCGAAATACGATCCCTGTGCAAAATTTAATCCACTGGTTGAACATGCTAACAAGGTTTTCAAATTACATTATACACCACATAAAGAATTATCAATTGATGAGTCGCTAGTTGGGACGCTGTGCCACTCTAGCATAACGCAATATTTACCAAACAAAAAGCATCATCGTTGGGGAATAAAATTCTGGATGCTTTGTGACTCCATTTCGAAATATTGTTTAGCGTTTTCTTGCTATAAAGGTGCAAAAGAAACAATTTCTAGTGATAGAAAAAAGTTTGGACTTAGGTACGATGTCGTGGTGAATTTACTAAAAAATAGTGATTGTTTGAATAGGGGGCATCACATTTTCGTCGACAACTTTTTTACTAGCGTAGAATTAGCTCGCTATTTATATTCTATGGACACCTTTTTAACTGGAACAATTAGAAGGAATAAGAAATGTATTCCCGATAACTTGAAACAAACTAACGTAAACGAGGTAAAATATTTTGTAAAATACAAACGAAGTATTGTTCTGTGCGTATCGTGAAAAAAAAAGTGTAAAAAATCCTGTGTTACTAATTTCGACGAAAGCAGAAGAGCAAGATGTGACTATAACGAAAAATCGATATGGCAGAGAAATACGTTCGACAAAACCCGGTATTATTCAATCTTATAATGCCTCCATGGGTGGTGTCGATGAATGCGATAAAATGCTATATACCTATCTCGATGAACGAAGATCACTTAAATATTGGAAAAAGGTGGCCTTTAATATAATCAACCGCATGGTTTTAAATGCGTATATACTCTACAAGGAAATAGTTAAGAGCAAAGCAATATCTCGGTTAGATTTCATGTCAAATATTATTTTTGAAATTGAGTGTCAGTGGATGAACGAAAAGCAATCACATAGTCATATAAAAGAAAAAACATTTGGATTAGTAAAGTTGCCACACCGTAACTTGCGACAATGCGTAGTCTGCAGCACCAAAAATGCAATAAAAAGATCACATTTAATTTGCGCACAATGTAGAAAAGGGATTCATCCAGTATGTTTTGATAAACATCAATGTTACAAATTATAAATGTTACTCTCTATTTAAATTGTTTGTTAATAAATATTTCAAGTTTGTTCAATAAAAATTATTGAGAAGATAACAAAATAAAAATTTTTATTTTGTAATGTATTATTGCATTATTATAGTACTATTCTATATATTGTAAAATGTACTATTTACGTTAAAAAGAGCTGTGTGATATACTTGCGTCAGTAAATCTGAGCGCTCGACTTCGACAATCCGTAACGCACCGTCAGTTGTCCACGATGCTCGAAATGTGCTGGGTTTTCTCGACATAAAATCAGAACAGCGCGATCGCGCTGCTTGGGACTCAAACGGTTAAGGTACAAACGCATATTAACAAATAGAGGGTTGCAACATTAAATAGGTTCCTAGGGAAGCATTGAAACATACGTGCAAATCTTCGATTAAAAATTCACTTCCTATTTCTCTTAAGGTGAAGTGAAACCCCCTTCAAATCAGTCGATTCGAATACAACACTTTTTTTTTAAGGGTATTAGACCAAACTGTCCGAACCTTTGACACATCACTCCTGATCATCTAAGAATTGTACTGACACATTCAAAATTTGGATTTTTGGAAACAATTTTTTAACTTAGCCCAGACCAGAACCAAAATGGCGTCGAACTCTCATATTTCGATCCATATACATTTATCTAAGGCTCTGATATGAGAAACGAAAGGGTCAGGACAATTTTACGACAATTTAGAACACTCTCGTAATCGATAAACTCGCATTTGAACGGGATAGAGGCAAAAAAAGTGTTGTATGCGCTTCTATGCTAAAACGATGGGAATACGAGGTCTCGGAGTGAAAATTTAATTGACCTGGAAATCACAGATGGCGCAGGGGGTCCCTCTGCAGTCAATTAGGGCCCCAGAAAGCATGAATCCAGAGGATTTCTGGAGTTCTACTTTAATTTCTTGATATTTATTGTACGAAAACGACAGGTGGAGTATGCCATTTGGTACAATATCCAATATAATTCGACACAGTTGTCAATATAAAAACGAACGTCGGCAACGTAGGCATTTAGAAAATCTTCTTTATCGACGTTGATCAAGTTCCTCGACGTGTTTCACTTCACCTTAAAAGGCTAACAGAGCATTACAGAAAAAGTTAGGAACCCCGGACCCACGTACTTGTTTCAATGTCTGAAACTCGTAGTTCCCGTCTCCTTGAGTAAGCAAACACTCTTTAGGTGCCAGCGTAACAATAAGTGCTTCCAAATTTGAAAATGCTTCGTCATCTTGAAATTCGCATACCGATATTGCCGTTGCTATAGTATCAACGCAGCTCAAGCCAACGGTCTGTAATCAATTAAAAATATATGAAAACATCCCTTTTTCCTCGTTTGCGGTTATTGTAAGGAAATTCTCTATGAAAAACAATGTTTCCTCGAGAGATAACAATACATCATTAATGTGTCTTACTCTTGCTTTTCCTTCACTCCCAAGTTTAATAGCTATAATCGATGTACTGACAGCGACATCATTATTACTGAACAGAATCTCTTCAAACTGTGCCAAATTTCCTGGAGAGCCTTTGTACTCCAAAACCCAATTCTGAGTTTTTACTGCCCCCTTGTTCACGTACACTTCAACTCTATATTGTTTTACCAATAACAAATCGCGTATGAACGTCTCGAAGTGTCCTTTGTTAAGAATTAATCCCTCTGTTCTATTCGGTTCTGAAGACGGAAATCAAATTTAGTTTATGCTCCTTAAACAGATCTTAATTGTTAAAGGGGTTTTTAGGTTGTCAAAAGCCTTTTATTCAAAGTACATTTAAAAAGAAATGCAAAGGTGTAAGAGATATTTAAACACGAGACTGTTCTATTTAATATTATAGAGAGAATTTAAGATGAAAATAGTTTCAAAATGTTTCAAACTGGCGGACTTATGGAAGTTGAACATTTTTTATTTCATAGTGTACATGGTTCGAGGAGAATAGTATGTCTGAAACAAAAATTGAAGGTGGTTGTAGAAACTAAAGTTGATTGTTTAAGGACCGTTGAAAAGGATTGTTGAAAAATATCAACGATTAAAATACAAAAAGCAATAAAAATTTGACCTCTATTGGTATTTTTTAATTAGAATCTAAATTTCTTTTTCGATAAATCGTACCATCAGGTCTTAAATAATCTTTGCCAGTTTCTAAAATCACCTTGACCTTTTCGTTTTAACTTACCGTTCTTCAGGAATCGTGGAAAAAAAAAAAGTTAAACATTTTCAACCTGAACAAACCCAGCATTTTGAAACATTTTAAAACTTTGTTCATCTTAAATTCTCCTTAGGGTAAATAAAACTGCCCCATAAGTAAACATTTCCTATGCCTTTTCATACTCGTTTATACTCATTTTGATTAAAACTCATTTTACAGTCTACTAATCCCTATAATTAGTTCGATTTATTAAAGGCAACTTACCAGCACCAATTATTTTACAAACGGACGTTGTCTTGAAGACTTCCTGCGCGGCGAATAGAGCATCACTTCCATGTAAAGTGTAATAATCCGATCTATTGAAAAATCTTATGGTGCTACTGGGTTTCTGTAATAAAACATAATCTCGTATAGAACTTGTTCAGGGATTGCACGTTCATAAAAGAAATACAAAACCCTTCGATGGCCCTCGAGTAATTGTATGATAATGCGTTTCACCATAGCCTGAATAATATGCAGACTTGCTCTCATTTAATTTTATCGAGGACCTTTAAATGTCTTGGTCATTGTGTGGAACTGTCTTCAGTGACAACATCCTTGACCCATAAAATCTCTGGTTTTCAGATAAGTTCCTAGTAAACTCGACTCAGTCGCGATATAATATTCCCTGATTATTTATCAATGATCAGTTTTAATTAAAAACGTTCTGGGAAAATAGGTAAGCGAAGTCCGTAGGGTGTTTATTTTAATGCGATTGTACTCCATGTAATGTTGACACGTTTTACGAACTCTTTTAAGCGGGGCCTAATTAATTTTATTTAATTAAAAAATCTAGTCTTTAATCCGAATCAGATTTTGTAAGAACATTTACCGAATTTGAATTTTTTTTGCAACTACAAAATTATAATTCGCTAGCCAGTCGTGCTAAAACCTTGTCACGTATCTGTAGGTCAATGCCTATCAAGGGTCAGAGTGTCACAGGTCGCTCGAAACAGTACTTTACGTCAACCGTTCATAACTTTATGGAGCAGTCAAGTTTCGTGGAATACGTCTAATTGATATGAATTCCCCGCCGTCTTGATAACAAATCATTACTTACGAATAAAGTGCTCGTGCAGAATCTGTTTTCTACGATTTCAATGGATGGTTTCTCAACCATTCAACAGAAAACTAATCATTTAAGGATCACCAATCGACAATTTGAATTTAAAAAAATAGTAATGAATTTAAACCCTCACACTATAAAAACTAAAAGTTAGTCAACTTCGACGTTCATTAAAGCTTTATTTGGCCTCTGAATTTGTCGCATTTGTCATTAGCTTCATTACTGAATATTTTTACTTAAAGTGTGTCGATTCGTGCAAATCCGAGAATGTTTAATTTATTTTTATTAAGAGCTTTAGTAGGTGTATAAAGGATATCAATGATTGCGTGTTCCGGTATAGTCACAGAGTAATAATATTCAGGACAATTGTATTAACTGAAATACTTTATTGAACATCTGGTACGTATAGAACTTGTGGACGTGTGCAATGAAAAAAGGTGGAGAATGAATGAGTAGAAAAAAAAACTGTACAGCAGTCAACCGAGAGTAATGTTAACCTTGAAGCTGTACCAGGTAATGCTGAATAAATGTAAATCCAGCGTCATCCGAAGATGTTACACATTGAAAGTGATTCCTGGTAATTGACACGTAAATCCAAATATGGAAACCTGCTTATGACTACTGGTTGAGAATTAATACATGGCATTTCCTATGACACAATGTATAAGTGCATACGCTGATTGTTAAACTCGTTTATGTACATCTTATAAACATGAGCTCAAAGAAAATAATTTTGGCTACCTCGTAGGTTATTTTTAGCTGTGTTAGTTTAACAATAAATTATACAAAATACTTGATTAAAATTTACTTTAATTTAAGTCTAAATTACATCGATAAGTATTAAGTCTGGAATTAAAAACTTTAGATGAAAATAACGTTTCACACATTTCAGCACATTTAGCATGGCCGTTACAATTAGTTAAATTTTTATGAAGAAGCCGAACGCAAATTGCCTGTTTTTGGTCGAAAATATTTGAGTAATAATCTATTCACTCTAATCAAATGTTCGAACCAAATTGACAAAAATTCTATAACCCAAAATTAAATTTATCTGCGTTAGTTCGTGCAAGCGACATTTGATTTCCCTTATCTTTGAATGCCTATAAATTAAATTTTATTCGAATTCATTTACTGGAAAATCAATTGGAAAAATGACTACTTTTTACTGCAAGAACTGAATTCTATACCTACAGTATTACCAAGAACTGAATTCTATACCTACAGTATTACCAAGAACTGAATTCTATACCTACAGTATTACCAAGAACTGAATTTTATACCTACAGTATTACCAAGAACTAACTTGAATAAGTGCTCAAGAAAGCAAAACGAAAGAGAAATACGCATTATCAAAGCATAAGGAAAGGAGAGGATGCTCTCAAAGTCACTGGAATGATGAGAGGGGAGGAGAACATAAATGGAATTGCTTCCTCAGATTTCGAGTACTACTCGGTGAAGCGTTTCATGAGAACAATCAATAAATAATCGGTGCATCCCCAAGTGTAGGCTCTATGGTCTTTTTCCCAACAGGTAAATCCATTATTTCAAGTTTACTAACTGAATAACTGCATTACATTACAAACTCTGTATAATGCAGAATTTCTAATTCTTAAAACCATACATTCTTGATATGCATCACTGCACATTTTTCTATTACATCTTATCATTTAATAATACTTCCCTTTTAAAAATCTCAATAAATTCAAGTGCGGTTGTTAATTCGTTTGTTTTATGAAATGTGACTGTAAATTAAATAATTGCTCTCAAATTGGACTATAATGAACCGTGCTTGGAATGAAAAACAAAAGAGATCTTGTGACAAATGAAGTTACAAAAACATCGTTGAATCGATACATGGTATTACACGCGCTTTACAAATCGTTTCTATATAATATAATTTTAATAGGTAGAATCAGAAAAACTTATATTTATGATGAACGAATACAACCCCAAGTGATTTTCTAAAGTTTCACGAAATTCCATAACATATGATAAATCCAGTTTTATTTTTTTCTTCGCTAAATTATTATTATTATTGACATTAGCAAGTTCTATCATTTCTAGTTTTGAGTCATAACTATATTAAAATACACTATTGTAATTCAATAATAAATTAAAGTAAATTAGAGAAAAAATTAAAAAATAGAATAGTTTTTATTAATTGTTAAATCAACGTAGTTAAAAATGGGACGTTTTAATGAGATACAGAATCAATTAAAATTATCAACTGTGTTTTAACGAATCGTTTTGAGTTAATTCAACTAAATCGTCAAGTACAATTAAAAAATAGAATAGTTTTTATTAATTGTTAAATCAACGTAGCTAAAAATGAAACGTTTTAATGAGGTGCAGAATCAATTAAAATTATCAACTGTGTTTTAACGAATCGTTTTGAGTTAATTCAACTAAATCGTCAAGTACAATTTTTAATTATCACTAATCACTCATGTGATTTCATTAAGACGGGCAGCATTAATTACTCTTATCCATGATTGACTACCCCAAGTATATTAAAACATCAGTATTGTGTTCCTTAAGTGTAACGTCACGTGAAATTGCATTGTAAAATAAGTAATGCAAAAATCACGAACTGAAATACTTAACATGAATGTTTACGATAAAAACAACGGAATTCATGGCTTCAACGAGTGCAGAATATTCGTTACTGAGTAAAAATTGCCTGTTGTTAATTAAAATATAAAGTGTCGGTATAAACTAAGATCACGTGTATATGCAGGAAAAATCTTGACATGACATCACTGATCGAACAAACGGGATTTAGATATGACTCAACTTGTAACATGTTACATAAAGAATAAGATTCCGGTAGTCTGTTCCATAAATATCAATAGACATCCAGAACACACCTTCAAATAGGGTTTATTGTCTACTGTTAATGTCAGATCAAAGATGACATCATGTATCTTAATCTAATTATCACATCATAAAATATGACCGCTTTGTTTCTATTCAGACGTAGACATAAATTTTATTTAATTTCATCATATTATAACCATTGTGTTATACCGCGAAACAATTAGTGAAGCCAATGACAATTACCATATATTATAATTCCGATCAATCCTACTATGATTTATGTCCCTTATTAAAAAAAAAAAAAAACGATTCAGTCTTTGTTAGAAGATTACATAAATACACGATAAATTCATGCGGTTTACTTATATATTTTTCGTTTATTAAAACGAACTTAACTAAATTAAAGTAACGTATTTGCAATGGTTTAAACAATCCTTTGCACGTTAATACATTTTTAATTAATTACACGGATTTATTCTTAATACATTTGAATTCTTAAAAAATGATGAGCTATGTTTTGAGAGCTAAGATATTTTCTTAGGATTTTAATTCATAATTCTAGCAATCTCATCGATGTTTTAACTTACTCGTACTAGGAAAATATAGGATTTCGCAATAGGGGGAACGATAAAACTGATAAGAAACGTATTACGCAGTAGTTAAGAAATAATTTAAACTGCTTTACATTTACAGTTTAATAAATTAAGGGTATAAAAAGCATAGTAAACAATATAATATTAAACAATGTCGGATACTGCTCCTGTAACTATGTAACAGTGCATTGGCCTTGCAGCAGCTTTTCGGTACTTTTCTTGTTTCTTTATCATTTAACTCCATGTACCATAGTTATTGTAATCATAATAAACATATAATTCGTACATCTTATAATTTATTTTACCAGCACGTGACATTTTATTCCCTCATATAAACTTCATATACTGTACCATTGGCTTTTATTTATTTTTGTAAAGTGGGCATTTATCGGTTGAAACTATTTAGTATCCAAAACGCAATAAATTTACTCAAGCACAGGATGTTAATTTGGGACCCATGTATTGCGGCATAGACCACTTGTTTTAAAGAATATGAAAAAAAAAAAAAAAAACAAGAATACAATTAATATCACTACGTTTCCCCTTTTCAGAGACTATTCCTCACTGACAATGGAAAAGTTGATCATCTTGTTCACACTTTTCGTCCGAACATTGTCCGCACCGAATGGATGTATAGAAGCCTGCAATTTCTTCCAAGGGACCGACTTAGCACAGCAAATTGTTAAAGACAGCCATGTGAACTTTGATTTCGCTCGACCTGGAAACTGGACCGAACAGAATCAGTACAGAACGGACGGAGGTCGGGGCAGAGTTTACGAAGAACATGGCCAGTTCGAGCAGGGACCAAAACGGGTCCGATTCTTCAAAAAGAATTACACCTCCTCCTACAGCACTGGAGACATCAACGGTTTAGAATCCGTAAACCAAGGAAGCTCGAGTGCATACGACAGGTACAGTTCGTCTCAAGCATCTCAAAATAACGCTTTCGAGCAAGCGCATCAGGCCGCCTTACATCAAGGCATATCGTCATCATCAAACAGAATCAGCAGTCAAAATGCCAGATTGGAAGATTTCGGGGAGTATGATGCACAGCGCAGATTATCTTCATACAACACCAGAACTCATCAGCAAGGTGCCGTCGACCTGAGCGTAACGCCTCTTCAACCACCAGGTATCCTGGACTCTGCGCGACCTGGCAATTGGAGTGAAGTAGACAGTTACAGAACCGACGGAGGTCACGGCAGGGTTTTCGAGGAACAGGGTCAGTTCGTGACGGGTCCGAAACGTGTTCGATACTACAGGAAGAATTACACATCGAGTTACCAGACTGGAGGCGGTTTCGCGCCCGACATGACCAGCACAGCGGTCCAGGATCTGGAGCGCGAGATGCAACGGCTGCACAAACAGTTCGACAGCTTCGGCAGAGAGATTCACCAAAGTTCCTCCGAACATGCGGCATTTGGCAGTTCCATGGCCTCGGGGTCTGCATCTGCCGTCGATTTGTCCCAGACCACGGAGGACAGAAGATATGCCCAGAATCGAGTTCAACCCGTTTCTACGTATTATCCTTCGCAACCCAGCCCTAACAGAGTATCAACTTCCGAGTACGGCCAGTACTCTGGAAACGGTAATCTGCAATCTGGATCATTGGTAAACCAAGAGAGAACAACAAAAGTGGAGTCCACCGCTCATTTGCCCGCGACCTCTGAAAGGATTTACGAGCAGTCCCAGTCGAGAAGAGAACATTCGGTGACCCGATATGGCACCGGTGATCGTACTTCCAATCAGCAGGTGTATCCGAACTCGTATCAGACTCCTGTAAGCACTGCCGAAGAGGTAAGGTACCAAACCGCCGCGGTCCCTAATACCTACGGTACGCACAGTCAACAGACTTATGAACAAGCGTATGGCACCGGAAATCACCAAGTGGCTCAGACTGCGAGCGAATCGCAAGATCGTTGGAACCAGCTACATGTTGGGTCCTCGACGAGCGATAGTAGCAGCAATTATAACCAACGAGACCGAGATGATCGTTACGGACACAGACGTAACACGGTACAGAGTCAGGCTGATCAGTCCCAATATCGCCATTCGAGCAACGCGGAACAGTCGAGACGTGATCAGGGTTACTCGAGTAAGTTGAGCGTTGATCAAGAAAGATATGCTCAACATCTTGAAGGATCTTCTCAGAGAACCCAACCGAGTCAGGTGACGGAGTACGAACAGCACTGGAGTTCCGCAGGGCACAGAAGAGAGACCGTAGTGCCTGCGTACAGTAGCGGTCATGAAAGTGCCGCTATCACTCAGCAGGCGCGACAGATGAGTCAACAGCAGTTTGGATCTGAAAACCAATATCAGCAGCAGAGCTCTTACGATATTCTTCACGGCCATAATACTAACGTAGGGGAAACGAATCAGAATCATTATAATTCCGCTTACAGAACGCAATCTGGAAAATTAGTCGTGGGGTCTTTGCAGTTGAATCAGATGGCACAAGGTGCCGACTGTGCTCAAGACTCCGCTGCACAAACTCAATATGACTCTCTTCGAACCAGATACAAACGTGGTGCCGGATATTACAATCGACACAGGCCGAGGTACCCCAGCAATGTTGAAGACTTGACGCAGCAAACGGAGGACTTGACTCAACAGAGTGAGGATTTAACACAGCAAAGCGAGGACTTGACCCAGCAAACCGCGGACTTGACTCAACAAATTGCGGACTTGACTCAACGGAACGAGAATTTAACCCAGCAGAGCGCAGACTTGACCCAGCAAAGCGAAGACTTGACTCAGCAGACAAACTCTGGCTATTTCCCGAGGGAACCTTACAGGAAACCCCAAGCGGAACGGAATTCGCAGAGAAACTGGCACTTTACTGAACCCAGTAGAGATGGCTTAGAAACTGCTGATTTGGTGCACCAAAGCGACAACTCTCAACTGAGCCAAAGCACTCAGGACGTTTGGGGACCTAGTCCATTATATGTTGGAAATCAACATGCCGGAACTCACCCACAACAAAGTGGACAAGACGACAACTCTCAACTGAGCCAAAGTACCCAAGACGTGTGGGGATCAAATCCATTGTACGTTGGAAACCAACATACTGGAACCTATCCGCAACAAAGTGGAGGTTTAGATCATCAGTCCGGAACGTACGTTCAGGTACCTCAAAGTCCACCTAGTGAATCAGGATTTGACCAACAGACGGGTAGATTCCCAAGTCGGGAGAGAATAAGAGGTACATCACAGAGGAATAAAAATCGTACACAAGAGGCAACGGAAATCGGTGATTTGACCCGAGAAGCATCCACCGTGTCCGAAGTTGGTCAAGAAACACAAAAGCATTGGAACTCTGATGACTGGCACGTAAATGGTCAACAAACCGAGGATCTAACGCAGCAGGTAACGAGTAATCTAGAATCCGGAAGAGACACATCGAGGAAGCCTCAAACCTGGCACGTGGAAAGCTCAGGTCAACAAACCGAGGACAGAAACCACCCAAATGTTGGTAATCTTCAAATTAACCAACATGAGAGTCCATCGAAATGGACGGAAGACCTGACGCAACAGAGTCAAGATCTTACTCAACAAAATCGGGATTTGTCTCAACAGACTAACGGACCAAACAGTTATCGGCCAACTTGGGGACAACAACAAAATCAAGACTTTAATGGGCAACAACAGAACGCCAAACCTGAGGATTTCGGTCAAACGTGGGACCAACAACAAAATGGAGATTTCACCCAGCAAACCAAACCTCATGACTTTCGTCAATCATGGGGAAACCTCGAGTTTGGTAATCAAGCAGCTGGTAATCAAGAGTCCCCCCTTTCGAACGGAGCTACAAAAGGATCTCACAGACGTGGTCAAAGGCTACCAGCTCCAAAACCCACGTTAAGACCTCGAAGACCCAGACCGGAACCAACGGGTTACGGTACGCAAAACGAACTGGGCGAACAATCCACCACGGATAGGAATTATCGAGTCGTTGAAGATCTCGAGTATGACCGACTGCACCAAAATCCATCGATATTGAGAGTCGATCAACAAAATCGTCGGACTGAGAACGATAGTACCAGACATGGTACCACGGAATGGCAAGCACAGAACCTACAACGAGAACAAGAAGGCAAGGATAAGGAGGATCAAAGTTCGCAAGTTTTCGTCAAACCGATTGAAGTAACTACGCAACGTGCGGTTTATAATACCGATAAGTACGGAAAAATTGTCAGAGGTGATCAACCAGAAGTTGGCCCAGAGGAGCCGACAAATATACCATTTGTGGATTATCCACAACGAACTGATAAAGACATTTCGCAACAGACTGTTATTGGCCATGAAGGAATTAACACGTGGCAGCAATCTCAAAAACATTCTGAATTTGATAATGATAATTACCAACAATCGAGTGCACAGCATAGGCACGTGGACGATAGTCAAGTGACAACGTCCGAAGCACATCTTAGCCAAAGCCAACAAGGCTTACGTTGGCACCAAAGCCATCATACGGATGATTTAACTAACAGTGAGAATCATAGAGAGTTTCGGGAGCAACAGAGTAGTAGAGGAACAGGAAATGTGGAGAAGCCTTGGCAGTATGGACAATCAAGTTATCCTCAACGACCAATAGAAAGTGCTCAATCAAATAGCAAGGAACACGAAAAGGATGACCCTAGTAGAGTTAGGCCCCTCATCGTTGAAAAACCATGGGGTCATCACAGCGTTGATCAAAGTAATGCAGGAGTTTTGCAAGTGGCAAATTCGGAAATCCGTAGAGACCAGCAGGAGGGACAAAAACTTGATGACAATCAACGTGTACAAGTTACCAACTTCCATCAGCAGCAGGGAGAGAACTTGGAATCGAGTTATCTGGAACAGTCCAATAGAAGATACGGCAGTCATTATCAACAGTCTTCTGGACATCGGTTTGATCAAAGCACGCATAGAGAACATCATTTATATGAAGAATCAAATGCTAGTCAAAATTCTAGATCTCTTGAACTCGAACAGGTATTAGAGCAAGGACAAAAATCTGAAAATTTGTGGCTTCAACCAGGTGATCTTGAGCAAAATCAAGAAAGTATAGGTCAACATAATGATCAACAGCAGACCATCGGACAAGGATTTTATGGCTTATCACAACAAACAGGAAAACTTGAGCAGGAACAGGAAAATAAAGAACAAACAAGCGATCTACAGCAAACTGTTACTAAGTCAGGAGAAGTTCCAGTGAGTGTTCAGCCACGAATCCTAGAAGCATATGGAGCAAATGGACCATATGCGACATCACATGGCGAAGACATATTTGTTAACGCCAGACCTAATCCTAGTGCCACTTTACCGCCATATACCGATGATTTAGAGCCTTGGGTCATTCGTGAAAAAGAAAAAGAATTAGAAGTAGTACCATTGCCAGCAACTACTGCTGAAGAACCTAAAACGGATTCTTTCGAGCCATCAACAGAAACGCCACCATCATTTTGGAATAAACTAGGTTACAAATTTACTTCTACCATTGATAAAGCTAAAGACAAAGCTAGAAACTTTTTTGGTTAAATGATTTACAAAATAAATTCAAAATACCTTTTAGGTATATATCTAAGCATCCAAGCTTTCAATGTGCAAATAAGTACCTATAGTTTATAAATCAAATTAGTCTTATTTATATGAACTTCCAGCTATTTAGTATTATGTACACAAAATGTTTTATATTGTATAATATACATATAATGATACAATAAATAATATATTCCATGTAAATATCAAACCATTTATCTATTTTTGCATGATCTCCAATGAACATATGATTTCAATTGTGTTTATTGTTTTTCCTATTAAAAACTGATATGATGTCCATTAAAATCATTAATTTATGTGTTAATTTAATTTAAATAATTACAAGTTTAATATCAAAGTTCTGACTTACTTCTGGCAGATTCTTAAAAAACCTGACAAAGCTTTGTTGAGTCGGGGGATCTGAAAAGTAATAATGTGATATAATTACAACACAAACGTAGTTTATTTTGCTGAAGGTACTATTTGGCTGTTAAGTTGTAAACACTCTAACCTACCCATGCTAAATTGCTGATTTGGTTGTACAGCCATTATTAATACGACTTTCTGAAATAATATACCACACAAATAGAAAACCTTTAACGTCCTATTTAATACTTTTAAAAATACACTGTATTTAAAACATTAACAATTGTTGTTTAAAACAAAACTATCCAAAATTGTCCCCGCGTTTCTTTGTTCGCTCGAAAATAACAGATTTGAAATTAAAACCTATGGATTTAAACGAGCTTAGAAGTCCATTATTCAAGAAAATGTAGAAGCACTCTTATTGTGGTACCAACTGGTACCGTCCTGTCCTGAGATGGCGTTACTTGTTCGATTAATTCCACTAAAATATATAAACTCCATCTTACACGAAATCCTGGATTTATCGGGTCCGCCGTAAAGCCCGGTTCCATAACTCGAGTTAACCGAAGTTTAATTGGTTTACAGCAGGTTTAAACCAAGTGCAAACCAGTTAAACTTCTACTAAGTCGAGTTGTCGAACTCCACTTTATTAATTCAATACATATAAAATCCGATTCCATTATGTACATATGTATCCATGAGGTTATAAACGTCTTTTAGTGCATTTGTAAACACGTAAAACATTGTAAAGAATTAGTTCGGCGCTTACATTCAAAATTCTTTCGACTTAACAGTGTTCAATATCAAATTTCCAACTGGATTTATTATTTTCTGTATAGAAGTAGAAGGTCGTAATATACTTCGTAGTGATCTAGGAAACTATGGACGTATTATATGTTGTAATATACATGTAGAAAACCACGTATAATCCTATCCAACCCTGCTAGAACTTGGTCCGAGATCTCGTACATACATATATTGGGAAACCATAGGCAGGGCCAAAAAATTGATTACATAAATGAAGGAAGGATATCATTTTAAACATTTATTAAAATAACTTTGGCCTGTGAACTGTGTTGTTTCATTATTTACATCTGACTAAATATTTCTATATTTTTCGTATTCAAGATCATAGGAAAATCATAGGTCAGTAGATTCGTCTTGACCTCAGCTATCCTGCCGTAATAAAAAGAAATATGTAGTCCCATTAAAACAAATATATTAATAACCTTGAAAATACGAACTTTAGATCAATTTCGTTCTTATAATAATATTGGACATTCTAAACAAAATAACTTTTTTCCACCATAAAAAAAGCAAGATATTTAAAATTATTAAGTCAGGTGGAACACCCTGTACAGAGAAAAAATAAAATCAGTAATTTCATAGAGAATTATGTTAATTAGCATAGGAATGTACACATTGTAAATATAATTCATGGATATTCATTTTAAAATGCTTTAATTTCTATAAGAGTCGTGGAATGAATTTTCCATTTACACGTGAATGTATGTTACAGAACAGTTTGAAGGTTTTGCAAGACGTTATGTAAATCAACAAACGTCCGTAACTTTCAGTAGGCCGCAACAGTCTTCGTTCCATTTAAAATACCTTTTCATTCGTTGCACTACTGTAAAAATACATGTTTCGGTTGGTTAAAAATCGGCAGTAGCCATCATGAATGACATAGAAAGAATTGTGAACCAATCAGGGCACTTTACTGCATTCAATCTTGTAGCAATGCAACGAGTGAAAAGGTAGCTTCATTACAAGTTATCATTGCAGTCAAGATAGCCTTCATCATTATAATTATGCTATACATGACAAATTTACATGAAAACTGTGTTAAAATAAAAAGTAGATATTGGGTAAATAAACTAAATACATGAATGATATTTAGATCTCCTCATAGTAGTAAGTAAATAAATTTGATACAATGTTAACAAAAATATTAAATTGTTGAAAATCAAGCTCCTTTTTTTTATCAAATCAAAAATATTATATCCTATTGGGAAACTACAAATACAGCAAACTTCAAAATTATATAAAAACAGCTGCAATGCTGTACAAAATAATACACATTTAGTACAAGGCTAACCACATTAACGCAATACTGTTGTCTATCACATTTTTCATGTCTTGTAGAAATAAACTGCACAAACATTTCAGCAACAATACATCTACTATATCACCAGTGAAACCTAATTAATTTACATGGAATGAATACTATTGAAAAACAACTAGTATGCTACATCTATATCAGTTAATAATAAGAAATTTAGAAGATTTGGGATTTGAACATTACAGATCAACACGTTTTCTGCTTATTTAATTCATCCTCAAAACACATCTCAGTGCTTTTCATAATTATTTGCAGATCTTATACACAGAGAATTTATTAATCTTATGTATACTTCTGAACTGTCACTGAACATGTATTACTACTTCTAAGTAAACTGTGACACATGACAATGATTTAGCCAATTCAAAAATTGAACAAAAAAGATTTTAAATGTGTTCAAAACATCATATACAAAGTAATAATGAGTTCTACTTAATGTTATGTGTATTAAAATGAGAATACTGGAATATAAAAGTAGCAATTATTTTTTAACACAAATTACGATTTTCATTGAATGAATGATTGACGACCTTGTTCTTCTAGCCAGTTCGAGAATGTATACTTTAGAAGTATAGCATATTTCTTGCCTGTCTTAAAATATTTCATTAACTATTAATCTTAACAGACTCAGCTACAAATGCTCTGAAAAAATAAATGTGTAGTAAATAAATTGTGACATATAAAACAATTATATTTTTACATTAATTTGATTACTTACTGTATTATATCTGGTAGTTCTTTGTATCGACATATATATTTATGACCCAGTCCATAAGATGAAGCTATTCTTACCATTTGGACTCTTGTATTATTTCCGTGAAAATGTAATGCTGCTTTGTATAACTAAAAATAGAAAAGTTACTTAAATGTACATTATTTAAATATTTTAGTATGTTTATATCCACCACTTGTTTCACCACTTTCCGTCTTAATTAACTTATAAAAATAGCAAGAACTCCATATTTGAACTTTAAGAAAACTGTGCCAAGAAACTTTACTACAATTTTAGCCCGCCAAGGACACAATTCTTTTTATATCACTTAGGCTGTCTTGCCTAGTATTTTATGGTTCTTATCTGAAGTATTACATAAGTAAAGGAAAAATAAATTACACATTATACACTCTAAATACTACAATATTTGTTTAATCAAGTTCTATTGAAATACAGTACCTTTTCTCCCAAAGCAAATGGTATTACATTATCATCCTCGGCATGTAATATCATAATAGGGCACTGGATTTTTTCTATGTGTTTATCTGACTCAAATCTTAAATTATTTGTATAAAATGGTTCAACAATTAGCCAATGAAACCATGGCAAGTGTCTAAAAATCTACAAAAAATAAACAGAATTAAAACATTTTGTAAGGCGTTTCATTTGTCTTGTATTTACCTGCGAAAATGGATGTTCCGATACCTCATCAGATATATTATTAAATGGAGCTTCGAGGAATATACCTGCAGGTTGAATACTTTCGTTTGAAAGTAATGCCAGTGCATGCAATGAAACACTGAAAAAAAAGTTTTAATTATTAAAATTAAAGATTTTACAGATTTATTATAGATTTTTACAAGTAAGCATACATATCCCTATTTTTGGTGTAACGTAAATGAAATTGAATATATTTTACTCACCCAGTTCCTAGAGAATGACCCCATACAAAAACTGGTGCAGTACTATTAACAATTTTCATTACCCATTCAAATACATATTTACTATCAGCTACAACGCCATCTTCAGATAATTCCACTTCATCACTGTCTCCATAACCTATATATTTATTCGCATCGTTTATTCAATGAATGCAGTTAAAATATGTGCTTTAAACGTCAGGACGGATGAATTATTAAATACTTTGCATTATAATAACTCTTGTCACACTTACTTCCATAATCAAAACATATTACATGATAATCTAATTTTTGAAATAATTTATAGAGTTCAACTCTATGACTGCTTGCTCTACTACCACTATTGCCATGCATGTATAAAATTACTGGATGCTTAGCGTTTCGTAAAGCATTTTCATAAGTCTCATCAGTTAATGGAGCTGTGCCGTTTAACAAAGAGTTTGGTAATATTTGCCTGCAAATGAATTCAATTTACAATCATCTAGGAAAAGTCCTCGTATGAATCAATAATTTCGATCAAAATATATTTCCTGTTCAATAATATTCTTAATATTTTTTAGAATAAATTTTGAATAACATACCATGCACCAAGTTTTACTTGCTGGTCTGTCTTTAAATAAAAATTTCTTGTACCATTCATTCCAACATTCTCTGGTTTAGAAAAATTTATATTTGGTGGCCATGAAACTGAAACAATAAAAACACATGTTAAAAATCAAATTAGACATATTTCAGTATATATTATTGAATGACAGTTACTTTGAAATGTCTTTCTTTTATCAAGCATCAATCATATATCAATAATCGGTACAATGCTGGAAAATAACGTAAATCAATCTCTTCAGGTAATTGAATATTATTATATTAATAAATATAAGTTAGACTACATTATTGTTAATAAAAAATACTATAAAATGAATCAATTTATGGTATTATATGTAAAAACATAAAATTGATATTTTTTATTCAATTTTGAATATTACAATGAATATTGTTTTTAATGAAGGATATCAATATAATTCAGCATTTAATGACATTATTAAATAAATTCACTTTTGTATTTTTTTGTTAAAGTTGTAAGTAGAATAGACTTACATATTACTATCTTAGAAGTTAAAAAAATGTTTGATTTTCATTCAATTATATAATATAGATATTATAAAATTTGTAGGGCATTTACTCACCAAAATTTAGGAATAGTATTTTCCGTTGAATAACGTATGAGTAGTGAAATATAAGTGGAAGGATACCAAATACAATGAGATATGTTAAAACAACGATTTTTAGTGTCCAAAGTAGAAATCTGAAATTAATAGAATGTTTATAAATTCATTTAATTATAGCAATACAAGTATTAAATTTGCATCATATTTATGTAAAGCAATTACACAATGGAACATTCTACACTTTGTTCCTGAATAAGCCTAGTAATGTTTTGTTTCTTGTCAGTAAAGCATTAATATGAAAACCTGTATAATGTCACAATAATTGTTTTAAGTCATGTGATAAAAGCATATTCCCCAAAAGGAACTATTATTTAAGATTTTTCTATGTATCTGTATAATCGCAATGTTATCCATTGCTCAATTCTGAAATCCGATTCATAATGTTGTAAGGATAACTAGAAACGGTATTAATATTCAACGATAATGAAACAATGTAAATAGATTCACTTAATTTTACTTGCAAACAAGGAAAATTATATCGTTGTAGAAAGGTTTCAAATTTAAAAGAAATCTTCATATTAAGTAAATGTTTTACTGATATGGTTATGATTGTATGAAAATGGAAAAACACTAGAAATCTCCATTTATTCACAATTGTATACATTGGTCAATAAAAACCTAAAGTAAGAATCATCCACTTGATACACAAAGTATCTAAAGAATTATTGAGAAGGGAAGAACTTACGTTCCACTGGACAACCATGTATCAAGGGCAGCGATAAAACCCATTGTTGCCAAAAGGTAGGTCGACTGCATGACTGTTAGTTGCTACTTAAGATTAAGGATTTTATCACCATAAATCCCGTTTACAACACTGCCAATATCATCACTTCGTTGGAAATGAATGCGCAATACTGAATTTCATAACAAGTCTATAAATAAGTTCATAAAATCATCGATTCAATCTTTCAATTATTTAAAATAAAAAACATTGCCTGAAAATAATAATTTCTGATAGCAGAAAATTGTAATTTGTACCTAGTGTGAGTCTTCTAAGATAGGAGACATGGTCATGTTCAAGGTTCACTGTCTTTGAATATGAATCATGTTTCATTACAGAGAAATAAATTCCTAAGCATATGAGTCCTTGACTCTGAACTTCCGGTTAATTGAATGGCATAAATCAACATAACCTTAACAATAAACTGTTTGAATTTCATAAACTTGTTTAAAATTCGACTTGTACACATAAATAAGAAATTCTGAATATGACGTTAAAGTACAAATCTCATTTTCTTTTGGTTAAAGTATTAATATATACGAAGGGTTAATTATGTTAAGGAGAAAAGTTTGAAAGGAGTAATTAATTAAATGTTAATTTGTTTGAAACGATAACTATACTTAATGTTTTTATTTGTGACGCATAAATATTGATTATTTGTTAATTCCTACACCACAGAATTTAGAATTTAAGGGAAAATTAACCAAAGAAACTTATTATAACGGTATCATGAATGAAATTATAAGTAACATTAGAAAAAAATGTACACGTGAATAAAATGAATGATCTTAATTATAACAATATAGTTTGTTTTAGATTTATTCAACTGCTCATTGACTGTCAATTCCTTTCATTTTCATTCATGTATAACTGTATTTTAATTGAATGAATTATTTGTATCTAATTCGAATGTTATACGTTTTTCAAAAGTCATTTAAATAAAAGTTTCATCTCATATTGTGACATAATGATTACCAAGTTTTCACGTCATGACGTTATTACTTTTTCCTATTTACCAGCTAATTGTAAATTCCATTTAGAGAATCATAAATAAACATGTGCTCTTTCCAGCCATCTAACAATTACAGAACCAAGATTTTCTCGTACTTACAATCTTAATTCAGTAATTTATTTACCTATATTAAAGAGGCAGTTTTGATACACAAAGAAAAAAATATAGTCATGCTGATTTGAACTATAGAAAACAATACCTTTTCATAAATCGCTTCTTAGGGAGACAGTATACCATTTTAAACACAAATCAAAGGAAATCACAAGGAACTTAAATTTCCTATGCAGGAAAAATCTAATAGGCATATAATATTTTATATAATCACACTCCTAGTCTCAATTACTGAAATAATCTTAAAGAAGTCTGCGCGGTTCGGATCGATTAAACCGGTCTTGTAAGTACGAGTGGCAGAACATGAATTTATAAACTTGGTGCCTTTTTAATAAAAAACATTACATTACGTCAGAAGAACACCTTTGGACACTACCGGTCCCACAGACGCGATACGAATCTAAAAGTGACTTCACGAGCTAGGCTTAAAGATCAAATGTAAAGCCGCTCCTGCGCCCAGGTAGTCACATGTATCTGAATGCATACATGCGTAATGTAATTAAGCGAACACATGTTTACTGATTTTGCCTTGTAGCTACAGAGATGAATTGGGAGTTGCTCCCAGCTGCGTCGCGAGAACGTGTTCTATGGTGCCCTCGGTGAAGAATGCGGACGGCTCGCGCACTTGCCACCCGATACACCCCCAGTCGCAGACCAACTCAGGGATCCTCCTCATCTCTGCTCCCAACTCATCTCTGTGATAACAAACATCGTCTAACATCTTTTAACATCTCTTACCAACAAGTCCAGCAAGATCAGCGGCGATGAACAACCCATGATGATTTGAAAAAAAAATGGATCGCGTTGTGATCCACCTAAACCTGGAAAGGGGCACAAAAGAACAGGCAAAACGGAACATTCAAAAAATCCAGGAAGTCTGAGATTAGACAGCGAATAAGTTACTAAAAGTCAAGAATATTAATGGTAGATCGATCTCGTTTAATTGACTGAATTGGTATTTTTCATATTACTAAGTAGGAAAAAATTCATTTAAATGTAGAATCGACAAAATATAATCGAAATGACCGTTCTCCGTCTCTTCTCCGTCAATCCTGACAATGTGACATAGAAAAAAATAGGAGGGGCAACGTGGCCAGAAAATGGATGGCTGTTCGTTCTAAAGAACGGAAGGCCATCGTAGTTGCCCTCTTCTTAACACTTACAAGGGAACATTCCCAAGTGTCTGCCTCCGATCTTATTGAGTTTCATATATGTTGAAGAACACAAAAATCTAAGAGACACGTGTTTTTTTTTATATCTGCAATGGTCCACAATTAAGGAGTGAAACAACTCCCCAAAGTTTAGCGAAAAATCGGTTTTTTAAATATTTTTCGTAGGAGCAGTGGAGGGATTTCGACGAAACTTTGCATANATGGGCGCACTTCTGCGAACTACCCTACGATCGGAAACTCACTCGGCGACAATGTTGCTCCCCACCCGAAGGCAAGACGCAGGGGAAGCGTCTTGTTTAACAACGAAAAAACTCCAGTTCAACTCAGGCTTTGGTTGACTCAGGACGTCATCGGGACGCTCCTTCACTTCGGCTTCTCACGGCTTTTCACGGCTAGGCTCATCAGACTTTGATAGCCTCTCTAGACTAGTTAGCTTAACTTCTTGCGCTAGTCCGCGAACAAAGACGGATACTCGTTAGTTTTATTCACTCGCGTGATCGATAATTAGAACAACTTCATTTCGCGGATCCCGATCGAGTTCAAGTTCGGTTAGGATCTCGCCCCTTCGGTCTAGTACAGCCTCGTACAGAACACTAAGGTACGGGAATAGTACGTTAAATCAAATCAAATTTGGAATCGTCTACGCCGACGTGCGTTCTTATAAAGTCTGCACTGGATTCGATGCTGATCAGTTCTGATCAGGACTTCGTCCTTGTGAGATTATTTAGCCGACATGCTACGATATATTTGTGCATAATGATTATAAATCCTATAAACGCGATCAACCTTTTGTCAGCTACGTTTCAAACTATGTATTTAATGGAGACGGAAGTTAATCGACAAGAAATACTATTAAAAGAATCTATTCAAACGATTCTTTTGGATAGTATATTCCAATTTAATTCGTTTGAGATTATTGAAGATTCAACATTGGATTTTCAAGAACCTTTTCAAGCACGAGAAATTGAGTATATTGAAGATGAAGAAGAGTGGACAGATGAAACGGTGCCACAACCGTCTTCATCGGTTTGCCAAGACACAGCGGTTAACTTCGAATATAAAAAGAGAGCAGTAGAATTCTGGAGAAGTGGAAAGTCCGGAAATCTCAAATTTTCCACCGTCCAACAACGATTTAGGAAACTTTCTGATGCTCGTGAATTAAGAAGGTGGGCCAACCAAGTGGATGATGGAGGATGTCGAAAATAAAAATTACTGTATGTCTTTACATTCACGCTGAACAAATTACGAAACGCTATTGACGCTGGTTTTATAGTACATGACGCAGATATCCAAAAATGGGTTCTAGAAGCATGGAGAGAACAGACAAACAACGACATGAGTTTTAAAGCATCATCAAAATGGTTATATAATTTTAAAAAAACTCATCGTATTGTGTCACGAAAAATAACGAAATTTATTACAAGGAAGACATTAGAAGACGGCGCCAATTAACAAAAAGTAACTAGTGAATTTCTAGACACTGTAAGACCACTAATAGCGCAGTATGGGGCCGAAAATGTGTATAATTTCGACCAAAGTGGATTTCAGCTAAAAATTCATTTGAGACGGACATTACCATATGAAGGAAAAAAAAAGTGTAATGCGTTGCCCAATCAATTTCGTCGACAACACATAGCTACCCAATCCAACCAATAATTTCGTGTGATGGACGTTTACTATCACCGCTGTTGGTAGTGTTGAAAGAAGCAAGTAGCCAATTCGGACAGGCCGTGGAAAAAACATTGTTTCGTCCACAAAATATTTTTCATTTGGCTTCGAAGTCTGGCAAGCTAACTTTAGGTAAAGACGCCTTGAATTTGTTAACTTGTATACTAATAATGATTAATGCGATTAAAAAAAATGTAGAGCATTTTAAAACGTGGTTGAAGGATGTCCTCTACCCTAACATTGGTCAACAAAGCGTTCTTCTGCTTGACTCCTGGAGCGGACACTGCAACGATACAATTGAAAAAACGAAACCTGCCGACAAAAACATTGTGGCAATGATGATACCAAAGGGAACTACTGGTCGAATCCAACCTTTAGATGTCTATGGTTTTCGAGTATGGAAGAATTTTGTGAGGCATTTTTCTGATATTGTCCTTTTACATAATTATGACGTTAACCTTCATTTACGGAATGATATCATAAAATTGCAATCACTTGTGCATAATCAGTTGTCTTCTCTTAGATATAAAAGCCTGTTTCAATATGCACGGTATAAAAGTGGTTATATCGATGAAAGATTAGAAAATTTCCCGAACCCGGTTAATTTTGCATTTGAAAGCTGTTCGGTTATGAAATGTAATGTTTGTGGTGCAGCGGCAATGATACGGTGTTCTTGGTGCAAAAAAGCATTTTGTATAAAGCACTTTTTCCACGAATACCACTACTGTAATAAATATGATCAGTAATATTAAATAATCTCCTGCTTTATAGAAAGATGTAAAAAATATTCTCTTATAACTTCCTGTTGATTAATTTCAGAATTAATATTAATGCGCACACTCTTCTTGAATGTACTATTCTCGTACCTAAGGTATCGAATATCGCTGACTCTATTTTTTCGTAAAAACAGTGAAAATCCAATTTTATCGTTTTACCACGGAGATTGTATTACTAGTTGGAAACGGGTGATGACTGCATCATCGAATCCGTTGCGAAACAATTTTAGCCTCTGAAACTATTTTTTAATTTATTTATAAATAATTGGGTGTTATGAAAATCAATGACATTTTGAAGAATTACCACGTTGACACGACTTATGTACGATGGATTGATCACGATATAACCTAATAAAGGTAGTCGGAATATATCCTAATACCACCTACATTCATTGTTTACAACCGATGTGTAAATGTTTATTGGCAAAAAGCAAAAAACACGTATTTCGTAATTTTTTGCGAGCAATCACATCGCGTAAGTGGAACTTACGTAGGAGTGCTTGTTTAATGGATATCACAAAAGAATATCACCTGAAGGATAGTTCACCCCCTTGAGGGGGTGCAACATTGCTGAACAATATTGTGTTGTCACCGTCCTAATACAGAATAGGTTTATGCAAAGTTTCGTCGAAATCCCTCTGCTGTTCCTATGAAAAATATTTAAAAAACCGATTTTTCGCTAAACTTTGGGGGGTTGTTTCACCCCTTAAATGTGGACCATTGCAGATATAAAAAAACACGTGTCTCTTAGATTTTTGTGTTCTTCAACATATATAAAACTCAATACGATCGGAGGCGGACACTTGGGAATGTTCCCTTGTTAGCCGACCGAACGGGGAGATCTCCCCGTTCGGTCGGCTAAGTGTTAAGGGGCCGCTTCGGCTTATAGCCTCTTCGACCCTTGCAGTCTCTTCGGGCAGAGCCCCCTACGTCTTGAACGCATGGCAATTCCCTGATATTTCGTATTAAAAAAAAATCACTGCGCGAGCAGATCCAAAAGCTAATAAAACGACAACCTACTCGTCGCAAGCAACCAACGACGCTCTCAAAAATACGTAATAATCGCCCTGGATTAACGGAGAAGAGACGCCGAACGGTCATTTCGATTATATGTTGTCGATTCTACATTTAAATGAATTTTTTCCTACTTAGTGATATGAAAAGTACCAATTCAATCAATTTAACGAAATCGATCTACCATTAATATTCTTGACTTTTAGTAACTTATTCGCTGTCTAATCGCAGCCTTCCTAGATTTTTTTAATGTTCCGTTTTACCTGTTCTTTTGTGCCCCTTTCCAGGTTTTGGTAGATCACAACGCGATCGATTTTTTTTTTCAGGTCATCATGGGTAGTTCATCGCCGCAGATCTTGCTGGACTTGTTGGTAAGAGATGTTAAAAGATGTTAGACGATGTTTGTTATCACAGAGATGAGTTCGGAGCAGAGATGAGGAGGATCCCTGAATTGGGCCGCCATTGGGGAGCATCGGTGGCAAGTACGTTAACCGTCCACATCCTCCACCGGGGGACAGCACAGAACGCGATCGCGCGACCCTGCCCGTGAGGAATCTCTCAAGTCATCTCTGCCGCGTATCATATTTACATATGCTGTAGACAGGGTTGTGTAATTCACCATTTTTCGAGGTTTTTGACTTATATTACGTAAGAAAGTAGTTTACTGGAGAAAATCGTAGAAAACCAATTAATAACGTTTCTAATATGGACAATATACGGCATCTGCTAGGTTATAAACGTCTTTTAGCACACATATAAACACGGACATATTTTAAGGAAGAAGCAATTATTTTGGCGCTCGTATTCAAAATTGTTCAGAATTTTACGTTTTCAATATGGCGGATTCCACAGGTGCATGATACATGACATATTCGCGAGGTTAACGTCTTTTAGCGCACATATAAACACGTAAAAATTGTTAAGAAATAATTAATTTGACATTTGTGTTCAAATTCTTTTGACTTAACTCTGTTTAATATCAAATTTCTAATTGGATTTGTTATTATCTATTTACAAAGAGAAGGGCGCAATGTACTTTGCGCTCGCGTAAAAAACTAGGGACGTATTATACGTTGTAATATACGCGTACAGAACCATGTATGTATATTACATGACTTATTATACATATCCAACTCTGCATTTCCTGTAGATTTCGCCCGACGATCGCGGTGGCAAACGAATGTCCGTCACCGGGATCGCCAGGAGTCTCCAGTACCAACTACGCATACGCAATTAAGCGAAATTTTGATTAAACAAAGGTATAACACAATAGAACAGTGAAACAGTGAAATAATAGAAGAAACAACCACGTTTCAAGGATATAACACAATAAGGCAGCGAAACCGTGAAATAATAGGAGGAACAACCACGTTTCAAGAAAATCAATTGAACGGCGCCTCTAGCTTCGTCAATAAATAAGTTGGCATTATAGAAACTGCGCAATGAAGACTCTGGAGCAAAGAATTCAGAAGTCTCCATAGAAGCCCAGAAGGATACGAACGTTTGATGCTCGATAAGTAGTATGTTAGCCAATGGATGGCAGTGCTGTAATCATCTCTCCGTCTCTCTTAATCTTATGGCGATCAGAGATGCTCCGTGGTGATATATAGCGGATTGCATTCTTTCTTTATCTTACACCCAATACTCGCCTTTCTATATACGTCTCTCTTCCTCCTGTATGGAGATATCGTTGGCTAACACATGCGATCTCTCTTTTACCCCCATTTCTGGTTTGTTAATCAACTTTTAAAGCATCAAGCGCTAACATAGGATCTGGGCATCTATGGGACTTCTGAATTCTTTGGCTGAAGCCATAACTAGTAACCAACCATACATATGCTGTAACCGTATTGGTCACATAATTTTCTAATTTTCTCCGTTCTACACAGTAAATTACTTAATTTACGTGATGTACGTCGAAAACCTCGAGTTGCGTCAATACCCAACGCTGCCTGGCTGTAAATCAATTTAATTCCGGTCAACTCAAGTTGGGAACCGAAAATATTAATGTTTTACTTGTTTTTATTATTTGACACTGAATTTCTGCTATCATCATAATATGTGCTGTAATTAATTTTGCTACAAGATCTTCCCAAATCAAATGATAAAGTATTTTAGATTTTGTATTACGAATGATGGAGCAACAAACAGAAGGAAATAATGAGGACAAATGTAAACGAAATATTCTTTCTCAAAACATAGTTAAAGGGGTATGTTGATTGTGATAACTGAGAGGTTATGTTGAAATGCTTTAATTTCGTATAATTTCATTTACATAGGTTTCACCTTTAGCACTATATATTCCTGACTTCATATCTGAAATAGATGAAACTTATATAGTGAAACAAATTAATAGTGCACCAGTGCCAAAATGGACACAATTAAGTCATCGTAGACTTCAGAATTGGGGTGGAATACCACATGCCAAAGGTATGATTGCTGAAGATATGCCAAGTGTATGTATATTTTGTATTTCCATTCATGTTCAATTTTAAGTTAAATATTTTTAGATCATCTTTTTTGCAGTGGCTTACAAAATACATTGACAAGATATGTGATTTAAATGTTTTTGAACAAAGTGTATTACCTAATCATGTATTAATTAATGAATATCTACCAGGTCAAGGAATAATGGTAAATATTATCTTACAAGTACTTTTGGAAAAAACAAACGTCTTCACGCATGAGTAAATTAAGAATGTTATTTAAATTGATTCGTCCACAAATTTTAGAGCAATGATTGAATCATCCCATGCAAGTAGATAAAAATACATTATTAAATTATATAAAGTCTTTTTACAGGCACATTCTGATGGACCACTTTTTCATCCTATTGTAACTACTATTAGTTGTGGTTCTCATACTTTACTAGACTTTTATAAACGATTGGACACGGAAGAAATTGTAAGTTGTGCAATATAAATATAAAGTAATATGATAGATGACGTAATCAATTCTTGATAAAAAATAACCATCAATAAATATTTATCGTAGGATAAAACATCAAAGATTGAATTCAGCTTCTTACTTGAACCAAGAAGTTTGTTAATTTTGCAAAAAGACTTGTATCATAATTATTTACATTCTATAGCTGAAAAGACAAGTGATACTATAACAAAGGAAATAAAAAATTTGAATCTGTGTTCAACAAATTATACAGATGAAGAAGTGATACAGCGAGGAACAAGATTATCATTAACAATTAGACACGTTCCAAAAACTAGTAAACTTAAGTTAAGAATAAGAAAATAAAATAAATTTTTGTATAAAGTATTTATTTTTACAAATTGTTCCATCCTATAGTTTTTCGTATATTCTTAAATATTACCTTACTAAATCGTGTCTTTAGGTGACATAGGAACATCTGCTTCTTCATAGTTTTCGAGGCTTACATCCATTATTTCTTCATCAAATTCATCTAACATTCCTTGTAGTGAATGTATAGATGATATTAAAACATGAAACTGTTTTCTACGCATTTCTAGTTTATGTTCCAATTGCTCTGATTTTTCCTATTTTCACAAAGAACATTTGAAAATATTAAAAACCTTAATGTATGAATATTAAAAACCTTACAATGTATGAATTATTTTTCATAGTAGAATTTCATACAGAAAAATGTAATGATTTAAGTTGATGTTTGGAATTTAGGTTTTTACAGAATTTACATTTTAAATGTCAAGTTAGAAACACTAAGAATAAATAGACTAGTATGAACCATTTTACCTTTAGACTGCCTAATTCATCATGTAATGTATTGAGTTTTGTGTGAGTCTTCAATCGATCAGGTTGTTCGTTAATAACTTTAGCCAAAACATCGTATTCTATTCTATTTTTCCGGATACGTTTAGCTTCTAACAATTCAAGCTTAGTTGCCTCTATATCTTTTTTGGCTTCTTCAATTTCAACTTCAATGTGGTTGAACAATGCTTCGTAGTTTTTCAATTCTTCTTGACTCATATTTGAAACTAGGCGAGATTTTTTCTGAGCGAATTCACACTGAGCAAGCTGTGACAGCATTCTTTCATGCAAAGTGTTGTCGACATCGGTGTTATGAACCCATTTCATAAAAGACTTTAATAATACATTTATTCGTCTATCATCTCCTGTACCGTCTCCGTCAATCAGCAGCCTACGCCTTATTACCTCTTCTATAAAAAATATCAATATAACAATAAATTACTTATGGCATATTTAAGAATTACATTCACTTTGTATTTATGGTTGTACAACATTAAAATATAGTAATTTTTTATTTACACAATATTAACTGACTTATATATCAAATAAAATATATGTGTAAATAGTAACATTAGAGTAAAATATACAAATGAAAATGTGCGACTTAAGATTCACCAGTTCTTAATGAAATATTTTGAACTGCTCTGTTTAGTGAAGTTATGTCACATAAAGTAAAAAATGAAAGAGTTTAACATTATTTACCATCGGACATTATTTAATAATATTTATTAACTTTATAAAAGGAATGATCTTCAATTACAAGAACAAATATATCGCATTTGCTTTCGAATTTATTCGTAGAATCACTACTAAACAATACTAAACGTAGAGGTTATGTATTCAAAATTACTACATTTCCACCAGCACCTTAAATGCCGAATTTATAAGGATTGAATTAATGAGTCTGCATTTAGTTTCGTTTCCACATTACATATCCTGACATTTATAAATTCTCTAAGCGTTTCCACCGTTGAAATATGGCATTAAGGAGTGCTTCTTATTTATAAATCCGGCATTTAGACGTTGGTGGAACTGTAGTAACTGACTATATCTTATCGTACTTCTAAATCCTGGATTAAGCGGGTCCGGCTTTAGTAAATCGTATGTTTTCATCGCATTAATAAATGCGCAGATTCGATCTTGAGTGGTTCGACCGACACTTCAATTCAGATTTACTGGGATTGGGCTCGATAAATCTCGGACTCCGAGGACGATGGAGACGCCGTCATTGAATGTGTATATAATGATTATTAAATTATTAATAAATGCAAAGATGAGCGGGGAGATGTTTCACCAGAGATGAGTTGGGAGATTGCTCACGGGCAGGGTGCGCGATCGCATCCTGTGCTGCCCTCTGGTTTCGTACGTTAGCTTTCACCAGAGATGAGCCGGAATATTTCAGGACAAATGTTTTACACTAAAATTACTAATATACCGGACAAATACTTCAACCAGAGATTTTTAACTTCCAAGCTCATTCTGAAAATGATTATAATTAAAGTTTTTGCAATGAATGAGATAACGGTAGCAACATGGGTAACTAAATAATAATACTAACGATAAGAAAGATTGATACTGTTATCTTATGGTACGATTTTAATTAATGTCACATTAATTATTAAAATCACCTTAGGGACAGTGAAACAAATAATGAAAAGCTGAACCCGTAATCAAATATTACATAACTGCAATATATTTTGTGCGATTGCTATAAACTGTAAAACGCGAGAAAAGAAATTTGCGTGAAAAACCGTACCCACCCTTCCCTTCCTTCAGAGTTTGAACTTGTACCACGTACGTTACACCTGTCATCATACCGACTATATGAAGCTATGCGTTGGGTGAATATATGGACGGAGCCCAAAATCCCATCTTAGACCAGAGGGGAAGCTAACGCGTAGGAAAGGGAGCCCTCTGTCTTGGGCTCTGTCCATATATTCTTACGTCCATGGTTGGGTATCTCCTTCCATGTAGCTTTTATGTGTTCTCTCGTCTGTGTCCCTAAGAAACATTCATTATTTTTTTTATTAATTTCCGTGGCTTATAAAAATTGTGCATAAAGTATAACTCAATTCTCGAGCATCCACGTTGTAGTTTTGCCTGTATTTACCTGTACATGTAATAACATTTGGGAGTAAAATAAATAAGGTATGTGAAGGGTAAAATCAAAGAGGGCGCCACGAGTGTTTTTCCCATACCATCAAAAGCGAGCAGTATGTAGCATAGGTAAGCCACTACCGTCACTGCCGCATGGTATTATCATCGTGAACGGCACCTGGTAAATGGCACAGACATCGCGAGTGTATGGCGGGCCCGGGGCGAAGTCCGACCACCGGCGTCATGCGCGACGAGCGCGATGCGTTCAGGACGGGACAAACTGCGTTACCCCGCGTGCCCATTACTGTACGTACCTCGAACGGAAAGACGACTACGTCGTAAAATGTTTTAAAAACGTGGAAATCCGCTCCTTTTTTTGTGATAATAAAGCAATAACTATAGATAAAGTGGTGAAATATATTCGACAATCCTCACAAGTGCGCGAGCCCCTACCAGAAATTCATTGTGCCACCATTGGGGGCAAAAAACGGTGAAAGCTAACGTATGAAACCAGAGGGCAGCATAGAATGCGATTGCGCGACCCTGCCCGTGAGCAATCTCCCAACTCATCTCTGTTATAAATCTCTGTTTATAACAACCAATGTATAAGTCTGGTGTTAAGTGCCATGTAAACGCTGTTTTACGCCAATGTTATCGATGAAACTGGAGTAAAACGATGTTTATACGGAATTTAACAGCAGTTATTACACCAGAGATAAACCATTTCTGTCCGACATAACAGTTCTTGTCGAGTAATCTCATGTGAAGTATCCGACATGTTCACCGTAGTGAAAGTTATCGAATCACGCGAAAGACTCCTTTTAGTTTTTTCACTAGTGTAGATAGTGGCGTCACTAGACACAGCGAATAGGAATTATTTTAGGATCACATATTTTAACCAAGCAATGGGCTTCTAGCAGACATCGAAATTCATTGCCTCTATATTGAGAAATTGTAGAATAAATATCGACTGTTTCTACGGGTTCATCCGGGTGTTTATTTTATTCAGTAATTTGTTCTTAAAGCCTTTCAACATGATGAGCAATTCTATGCGATTTACGAGATTTAACCTCAACCAACCTATTTCACCTTTGTATTTGTGTCTGCATTAACCAGTGTACTAACAGCGACATTTGAAAGACATTATATTTATTATTTCCTTTATTTTCTTTGTAATAATTATTAGAAAATAGAACGATGTAAGATAATTGAACAGAATGGCAGATTTATTTGACATCGCAAATTTAATCACTACCGTGGGAGTGGATGCTGTCAAAATTAAACCTGAACCTGGATTGCCAGAAAAGTCATCGAGTGAAATTTTGACAGAGCTATTTAGCACGTTTGATGCCGAGGAAGAAGCAGCAACACCAGAAAATAGCATTACTGAAGATGCTCAAGAACCAGAGCCAAACGTTGCTGATGAAAAAGATGCAAAACTCGAGAAACCTAAAAAGAAGAAAAGTAAAAAGAAACATAAACATAAAGACAAGAAACATAAGAAAAAGTCAAAACGAAATTCAACTGATAGCAGTGATGAGGAAGTTAATGGTAAAATATTTCAATACTGTTGTTAATTATTAGTTCTAAAGACTAGGGAAAGAACAATTACAGACACGATTTGCAATTTTGAGACAATTTGTATTTATTTGGTTAGAAATTAATATTAGATGGTTTCACTTGTTATTTTAGGAGATATGCTCGTATTTATATCTACCTTTTAATATTACAAGATGTATTTTAGTATTTTAAAGACTACAAATAAAAGATATCATTTAATGTTAAAAGTGAAATATGAGTATGAGCCTTGGATTGATACTTCATTCAACGTATTTAGTTATAGAAAAGTAAAAGGTATTACATACTAGATAAACTTCAAATGTTAGTTTCTATCTTCTTAAACAAATGATACATTCAGTGAAACTTTCTTTTGCTACTTGATTCCTTATACTTCACTTAATGTATAAAACAAATATATAACTATAATTTCTTTATCTATTTAGGTGTTAAGAAAAAGAAAAAACATAAAAAAAAATCAAAGCGGAAACATGAATCTGGGAAAGCTACAGATTCTGACGAGTCTAAGTCTAAAGTGCGAAAACTGAGCATTAGTGATGCTTCTGATACAAAGGTTAAGAAAGAAGGCATTTATAATGGCTGCGATAGTAATGAAAAAAAAGATTCCGAAGATAAGTTGACAAAGCAACAAAAACAATTCACAGTTGAATCTGAATTAGATTCTACAAAAAAATCATTGCCAAGAGAAAAAAAAAGGTCAGAAAGCCCTGAATTACCTTCAGTTGTCAAAAAGGTGGAAGATGACACAGATCCACCGATAATTCCAAAACTTGGTGAGTATTTATCATGTAAGAACATAACTCTCTTTTACTTTTTATTATTAAATTCTCATTTTAAAATAATTAACTATTATTTTATTTAGAAAAGAATAAGCATTCAACACAAGGGAAAATTTTAATAAAAGATTTAAAGAATAGTGCTATTTACAATGAAACTGTAAAGGAAGTACAGAATAAGGAAAAAGAGAAAGCTGCTCGAATGGAAGATGGAGAATTATCAGACAGTAGTTCAGATCAGCGAACACCTACACTAAGTCCAACACCTCCAAGACATGATCCAGTAGATCCTGTCTTTGATAGACTAAAAGCAAGTAGCCCAACGACTGAAGTACTTGTTTCCATAAAAAATGATCTCAGATTAGTTTTGAAAGAAAAAGAAAAGAAAAAAACAGGAAAAAAAAAGTCTAAGCAAAAAAGTGAAATGAATTCTAAAAATGGAAAAAGCCATAAGGAAAGTAAAGATGTAAAGGAAAGTAAACGTAGTCGATCACGAGGAAGGAAGAGATCTGGATCCCGAACACATTCAAGTTCTCACCGTAGTAGAAGTAGAGGTAAAGAAAAACATCGTGCCAGGAGCTTAGATAGGAGAGAAAAGGATGGAAATGATGACAGAAGGGAAGCAGAGAAAAATAGACATAGAAGGAAATACTCGAGAGAACGTAGACATAGGAGTCGAAGTAACAACAGAAGTCGTGATAGATCTCCCAGAGGACGAAGCAGAAGCAGAGAAAGAAAGTAAGTTGCAATGTGATCACACAGAATACTTGCATTTTTAAATCGATACTTGCTGGATCCTCTAATCATCCATTTTTTTACGTTTTTTTTCTTTTTCAATAAAATATTAATTATTTACAGAGAAAAGATAGAAATTGACAAAAAGAAGCTTTTAGAAATAGCAAGGAGAAATGCAATAAATATGATTAAAAAAGGAACCTTGCCATTGGCTCAGCAAGACAAGGCTATTGCTGCTATTCAGGCCGGTGGAAAATCAATTGATGAGCTTACAGGTAAATTCTTGAGAATAATTCCTAAATGTCTATTAAAAGTGTATTTTAGTGTGATTTCTCATTTACTGCAATTATTTCATACAGATTTTTGCAAGTCACTTTCAAAGTCTGAAGCTTTGGGAGAACTGTCAAGCATTTCCTCGGAAGATGGTGATAGTGAGTCTGAAAAAGGTTTTCACCATCCATTTCTGGTCAAAGATAGACCTAGTTCTATTATTATGAATATTCGGGTTAGTATAATTTATAACCATTCATTTCCATTATAATTTTATATATATATATATATGACACTCACTTATAGTTCATGACAAAACATTTAACACATTTTTAGGATGCTAAACAACTACCAACCAAAACATTTCAAGAAAAAACTGCGGAATCATCAAATCAGTTGCGATTGCAATTCCCAGTTTCCAGTGGTCAACATCATAGAAAAACTGGTATGACTTTCTATGCCTAATGATTCTACACATATAAACAGCTGATCAATGCCCTATTCTGTATTGTAATTTCCTAAAAATGATAGTTATTGAATAGGGATTATTTTATTTTTGCTGTAAGAAGCTCAATATTGACTTACTGGGGTAATGAATATATGAAATTAGTACTGTAGCCACTATGAGCAAATTATGGTATAACTTTTTTTCTGGAATTGACAAAATTATGTACCTGCATGATTTCTTCTAATTATAGAATAATCTTTTAAATTCCGTTTAGAGAGTGAATGGGTGCCGGTAACTCCAAAGAAACCAGAATCTAAAAAAGCTTTTGTACCAGCAACGGCAACGACTGAACCCCTCGCTATCATGCCACCTCCTGCCCCTGCTCCTGCTATTGCTCTTCCTCCTGTTTCTACTTTTACTCCTCCTGCTCCTGCTCCTGCTCCTGCTCCTACTCCTGCTCCTACTCCTACTCCTACTCCTACTCCTACTCCTACTCTTGCTCCTGCTGTTGCATCTGTGCCTTTACCTATGGCTGTACCGATGTCTGCTCCGATACCTTCTACACAGCCAACAGTATTCCCACCAACTTCAGCTGCATCGGTTAGTCCTATTAATTTCAAATAAATTTATATATGTCTTGAATCTTAATAAGCATGTTATTTAGCACGTTTCTCATAAACGGTGTGCATTTCAGGCGGTAGACATAAGCTCTATCGTATCGCAAAGGTTGGCTGCGATGAGAAGACTGACAGAAAATCCAAATGACGTTCGTGCGATCAAAGACATGAACAGAGCCCACAATGAGGTAATGTTTTTCTCTGGAATTTAATGAAACAAAGAGTACCTAGTTCAAGGTTAATAATTGTAGAGATCCAGATATATATTAAATAGAAAATCGTAACATTATAATTATATGTACACTTATTTTGTAGATGAAATGCTGGGCTGAAAGTAAACAGATGCCAGGTCAATTTACTGGCAGTACTGGAGTTAGAGTGCTCACACCAGCCGAGCTTACATCGGGACATCAGGCATGGGCCCGCAAGGTAACAGAAACACGTTACATATGTTTTGCACTTATTTTATTTTTCCGTCACGTAACAATATGAAGAACGACAGTCGGGAGCGGTTCGAATTTTCTTCATATTTATCTTTCAGAATTTTCACGATTTTCTTTTTATATATACCATACCGTGTTGCAAATTCTATTATACTATTCAATTCTCACATATCTTAATGGAAAATTTAACGCTGATGTCATAGGTCCACATCTTTATGTATGTAATGTTATCATAAATTCGTCTATTATGAATACACGTCTACATTGTTGATGCACTTCAATGTTTGTCTTACTATCATGACAGGCCCTCGTTCTTGGAATTAAAGAGAAATTATACATATATTTCAATTATGTTACCAAGAATGTTTTCTTAAGAACGTTGGAAAATTCAAAGGATAGAACAATTTTTACACTTTTTGCTTATAACTTTATTCTATTCAAATGACATACAATTGAATTGAGGTGTGTTAATTTATCCAAATGCCTGTAAATTGAGGAAATTGTGTGTAATTCCTGTAAGAAGTTCACATGCAGTTCATTATATGGGCCTGTCATTGTGTAGTACTGACATTGTGTAACTTGATATTGCCTGTAACAAGTTTTCAGGTACAGTTTCAGTCATAGTTTTTGAACGTAACAAATTTAACTTGACTGACACTGTGCTGCAGGCATGGACCACTTCTCATCGAGGGGTGGACTCTGTGTCTGCACGGACACAAGAGCACCATTGCTTTTCAATTAATATTTTTATTAGCATAAAATCAGTTATTGTGGCCTTATAAGAAATTTTGCAATATTAAGATTATGTTTATACCTATGACTAGGATGTATTTAATTATTATTATCATGCAATACAATGTTAATTAATTAAACTGTAATTAAATTTATCACAAGATTACTGGAGATTTTATGACTAATAAAAATAAATATAGTAAAAAGAATTATGGGATTTTGTCGGCAATGGACTCCTGTGAGATTTTTGCTAATTATCGTCAGCAATTGAATTACACGCTATTATAAATTCTTGGTGTAGGATTCCATTGTATACCATATAATGGTGTGATGAAAATGCTGGAATATTTAGCATTAGTCTGCATCCACCTGAGGGTTTGTTACAGGCACGTAGCTATATCAGCGAAGAGACAACTTCAGCAGCCTGATGCCCGTTCTATTGCGTACAGGGTAAGTATTCCAATTCTAAAAGCATTCTTCTGTTTCATGTAACTCATATATACTCGTGTAAAAGAGAGTCGTAACATTATACTTTTGAAGTTAAGCCGTATCTGAAAAATAATGACAACCTTCCCAGGGTATATTTATTTACTAGGAAGTGTATTCACGACTTCATAATTTTTATGATTAGATGTACTTATAATTAGTAAACCTCATGGATTCAATGAGTATAGACCCCAAACATAAAAGGGAAGTTAAGTAAAGTATTTATCAACATTAATTATGATACGCCTGAATATGTAATATTAAATGTACTCCCCTTGATTAGGTTAACACGTGAAATCAAAATGCTTTATATTGCAAGCATGACACCATAACGTAATAGTCTTATTTTCATAAAGTGTCATTTTGTGAAGCTCTTAAAATGTATTAATGTGTTTTGTTTCTTCTCAACAAATGCATTATATAGGACCAGTTACTAACAGCACAGCCTGTTTCGGGTGGAATGGGCATGGCCTTACTTCAGAAGATGGGCTGGAAGCCAGGGGAAGGTTTGGGAAAGAATAAAGAAGGAACATTGGTGCCCTTACAATTAGAAGTCAAACTCGACAAAAGAGGATTGGTTTCGGAACAAGATATCGGAAAGAAACCAGGAAAAGCAACAAAACCTGTAGTACCAACTATTAAAACATTGGAAGGTACAATTCCACGTTTCATTATTGCAAATTGACATTGTGATATAAAGAAACTCCTTAAAAACTCAAAATGAAATCAACCCATTGTAATAATCAAATTATGATAGAAACAGATACCCTTTTTTATACTTCACATAATGCTTGATTTGCAGGAAAACATCCTGTGTCCTTACTGGGTGAGTTCTGTTCAAAACGTAAGTTAAGTCCCCCAGTTTATGAGCTATGCTTTGAGTGTGGGCCAGACCATAAGAAGAATTTTCTTTTCAAGGTGAGCTCACTTTTTTTCATTGTTTAAGTCAATAGCAGATAAGTAAGAATTTAAGAAAGATTGAATTCTTGGTATTTAAATAAATTACAGGTGAAAGTGAATGGTGTAGAGTACAAGCCAAGTGTCGCCAGTCCCAACAAAAAGCAGGCAAAAGCGGAGGCAGCGCAAATTTGCCTTCAAACATTAGGATTGTTGCCTTCATAAATACCTTTGTAAACTATTGTATAAAGTTTATGACTTTAGGAAAAATAACATGTGTGAACAAGTAATGTGCTTAGAATATTATCTCAATCAACGATGAATTAGGACCTCAACCTACTATGTCATGACATCTATCATTAGAAGACAATGTTAGATTCGTTCAAATCCCTATTTTACTTAAAAAGTGAAGACCATATATAAGATTAGTTGTTAAAGGTGAATAGAAACCATAGATCTTATAGAAATGGAGGAAATATTGCTGCTGCATGTGTGCACATACAAGTGTCCAGAGGAGGTTAGACATGGTTAGCCAAAGAAAGAGACTAGAGGTAAATCGGGTATCCATGTATGTATGTACCATGTTACACTACCATCGCAGACCGCTGTTACCCAGGGTTGGATAATTTCGCGTTTTCTTTTTTTGAGGTTTTTGACATATATTACATAAACCAAATAATTTACCGTAGAAAATAGTAAAAAAAACCAGTAATAAATTACGTATCCAATATAGAGGATGCCACAAATAGTACATACGAAATACGGAATCTGCTAGGTTATAAACGTCTTTTAACGCATATGTAAACACGTAAATATTTTTGAGAAATAATAAATGAATATGGCGCTTGTGTTCAAAATTGTTTAGAATGTTGCGTTCCGATATGGCGTATACCACACATGTGCAATATATATATGTTTCGCTAGGTTATAAACGTCACTATGCGCGTATGTAAACACGTAAAAATGTTTAAAGAGCAATTTGGCGCTTGCATTCAAAATTCTTAAGACCTAAAACTGTTTAATATCAAATTTCTAACTGGATTTATTGATTTTTACTTAGAAATAGAAAAACAATATATTTTGTGCTTGGATAGAAAACTACGAACGTATCATACGTGTAATATACACGTAGAAAACCACATATATTACCTGGCGTATTATACATTTCTGGGGGTCTATTACGTAAAGCAAAATGAGCGAAACTCTTCTTTACTGTTACGGCTTTCCATCTTCCCGCCTTTGCTGCCTATAACCGACGCCTCTCAACCATTTTCGATTTACAAGGTATATACCTTTATTTGCAATATTACTAGACTGGAAGTGCTAGTGATCTCGTTCTTTCATATGGCGAATACGTAATTCGGCGAATAAACCCACGTGAGATGAAAGTGCGAGAAGTGAGCGCGCTCGTCAAAAATACGTAATAACAGAGATGAGCAGGGTAATAAACGCCCTGACCCTGTCGGTTCACACATGGACTTATGAATATATGCGGAGCTCAAAGTCCCATCTTCGACCATGGAGGCAAGTCACGCGTAGGAAAGGGAGAGGTATATTGGTTCTGATTTTCCAGTCTCCTGATTGGCTCGTAAGAATATCTTACGCCCATGGATTAGCTCTAAAAAGCAGCGCGTAACTTTGAAAGCAATTTCGCTTATTTTTTATAATACATGATGTAGATGTTCTTTATTGTTATACTTATTTTACCTTTACTTAGAAAACAGGCAACCTAGGGCCAATCTAAGTTGATGCTCGTAACGTCTAATGTAACGATATCCACATCTGCATTAAGTAAATTACACAGGTTTGGTTTTGTTCTTCCAAAATCTCCATGTACAAATTCTTTTACATATGTCCCTGCTTGAGTTTTAATATCAAGTATGAAAAAATATTGATTATATGTTTTCAGTTTTGTAATTAGGGAATCAGGTACATTTTGAAGCTTTTCGGGTTCAATCCAGTTTGCTCGCATTTTATGAATGATGCGAATTCGTGGAGTTAAAGGACGTCTATGTAATACCCTAGTGGGTGTTTTTTGGACAATTTTTAAATTTTCTGTATGGTTTAATTTTTCTAAGGAAGTGAAATCGTTTAGTCCATTCCGACACAAACATAGTGCCCGATATGTCTTTGACTTTGTCACTTCTCCTAGTTTTAGCTTATTTAAATCAGTTCTGGAAAAGAAAATTATCGGTATTCAGAGTTAGAATAAAGCAGCACTATCAATGATCAAATAAGAAAAAAGCAGAATTGTCTAAGATTTTTAACTTACTTTGATAATAACTTCAAATCTGTTACACTCTTTATTTGTTTTGATGAGTCATTAATGATGCTGTTTAACCTTAGTAAAGTTTCATCCGTTATTTTGGTAACTTTGGGATTTACTAGTTCTACAGCGAATGGCCTTCCATAGTAAATAGTTCTCACATCTACATCTTCTCGACCAGATGATAAAAATTTCATTGCTAAAAATTGAACATCTCTTATTAAAAGTTAAAATGTAGGAAGAACATGTGAATTACTATACCTCATAGAATTATTAAAATGCTGTTTTCATCAGTAATTTGGCATTTCTACTCTTACTTACAATCAGCTTTAGTGTATTTCATAATCGGTTGACACAACAATTCTTGTACCGATGTTTCCATCTTTTTATGTCCGTCTATGAACCATGGAGTCTGGCTCAGTTCTCGACTAAATTTATTGTAACGACCTACATTTTCAGAACGTCAAAGAAGCTTTTAAATATTAAAATAATATTGTTAAATAATTTCTTAACATTTGGATACATACCCCCTATATAGATACTTCGATGGAGACATGTAACTTTATCAACAACTACGATTGAAACTGGTTGTGATGGAGGACTTTTACAGTATTCCAAAAGTTGGTTATCTGTGATGCTATTTAGCATAGTTTCAATGTTCTTCTTACTGCAAATAGTAGCATTATGCTTCCTTTTCCGTTTAGTATTAGTTTTCATTGCTTGTTCCTTTGAATACAACCTGTTTAAATAATTATTATATTATTGAATACAGAGTTAACTTTAACATCAGGAACATTTATAAACTATAAATACTTACAAAGCTTTACATTCCTTGTCATCATCTGCATATGTGATAAAAATATCAATCACCAAAGAGGATGTAGCTGCGGTAACTTCAACCTTTTTCTGCAGAACAGTTTCAACTTTAGGTGTAATTAAAAATTTCCAAATATCCTTAATGTTTTGTATTCTATATATAAAATTCTCTTGAGTACCATGTAACAATGGATGTTTTTGAACTAGAGAAATGTTCATTAACCGTTCTCGCACTGGCAACACGGTTGGTATCGTAAGCGAACATGAAAATGTATCACTGTCGTAATCACCTTCTCCAACAGCTTCAGAAATCTAAAATTCTTCATTTTAGTCTTAGTTACATAAATTAGAGACATTTTCTTAAACTAAATTAGATAATCTAATTGTAAATATACATTACTTTGATTTAATTTCGCCGTTAAATTACCTTTGTTAAAGCTTCATCCTGAATGCTATCGTGTAAGAACCCTAGGCAAATAATGCAAATGTTTTCATCTACAACCTTTTCATGTTCATCAATATATTTCAACTGCAACAAAAAGGGTGTCAAACCAAGCGTCAGATGTTATTTCCATCAAATTATTAAATGTATCATAATTGCCGTACATTTTTCACGGTCGAAATCGGGTCTTCGTAGCACTGCAAATTTCGATAACCAGTAAAACGTAAACAACACCTTAAACAGCATCCACATTGTCTCATAAAGGTGAACGCTTCCTTATCATTTTGAAAAAATGATGAATTCATATTGCACCGTTTAAAAGGGGTTGTAACATAAAACAAACTATTTCCATGTAATATTTATTTGTTTATTCAACGAAAATCTGAAACCAGACAGTAGGAAAGAGCATCCATGCCTCGTATTTTGTCACTAACAGAACCTATCGCTATCTACCGGCACCCGTCCATAATTTCCACGCTTAGTATAGACGCATACTTTACTCTACTCCGATTGGTTTACGGTAGGTTTAAACCGTAGGTAAACCCAGTTAAGCTTTGGTTAACTCGAGGTGGAACCAGGCTTAATAGTGCTCACATATATACATACATACATACAGGTGTGTATGATATGTGCAAGGGTAGAAGCAGGTAAACCGACGTAAAAACCTTGGAGGACCGAAGTAGACCGAAGCAAGTCTGGTAAATCTGGTAATAACGCTCCGAGCGCGCACACGGCCTTATATGCGGGCCCCACCCCGGCATGCGCATGCACAGTTCCTTGTCAGACCTTTGTCCAATTTTTGAGTTTGTTCATAAAAATGGAATTTCATGGTTATCAAGCCCTTTCTTAGGGTCTTTATACTCACGTTATAAAACTTCAAATGATTCGATACACCTAGCCTCGAGAAAAATTTCGTAAAACATTCTCCCCCTCGGTGGCATATTTTCTGCTATATCTGACGTTTTAAAAACCTGTTTAGTTGGACAAAATTACAATTTAGTGGTAGCGATTGGGGGGGATTCTTACTATTTCTAACAAATCTTAGGGAAAAATTGGATTTTTCCTCTAGAATTCTCTACTTTATACATTGGCAGCACTGATGACGCGATTCATATACATATATGTATGTACATATATAAATGAAGCGGCTACTTCCTTTGCGGTTTAGATTTAAAATATGCTCTTATATAAATAAAGATCTAAGATAAGTCCAGAATTATAGTGCAACTTATTTTAATACGTGATCGGATTTTAGTGAATCGATTCAGTATGGTAAGAGTATTATTATAATTTAACTTATGAACTAACCTCCTTTAAAATGTTTTTTCATGTATATTATCATTTAGCTGTTGTAAATAATAACTTTTAATGCAATTTTTTTCACGGTCTGAATAACAGGACGTTCAACGACATTCAGTTCATACATTGGTATTTCGGTCTCTGAAGCGAACTCACGATATGTTCCTTTCAAACCAGGGCAGTTTACCTTTCGTCGACTTGAATGTGTAAGGACATACGATTTCATATTATCTACATTACTTCAATACGATAAGGTTTTAGAGCATTAATTTAGATAGATATTTACATAATTTTTCTCAAATTCAGTGAAAGAATAAAGAAAGGAATAAAAGCAAAAGATTCCTATGGCCCAATAATGGAACGAGTTAAACACAACAATAATTTTCAAGCACAAAACGATAGTGAACACAAGGATCCTCCACCACCAGGTGGTAAGATCGATTTACAAAGATGAAATTATATTTTATTTGCAGTTTTGAGTAGTTAATAAAATTTCTAATTTATTTTTAGATGAAGGATTTAGTGGGCAAAATTCAACATCAGTGGTTGCGTATACTTCTGGTCCAAGTGGTGTAGCAGTTGCAACTCCAACTCCAGGTGGTGCATCAAGTGGCTCGTTGATGTTACCACAGAAAAAGGCTCCGTCCATGACAAAGCCAAAATGGCACGCTCCTTGGAAATTATATCGTGTAATCAGTGGTCACTTAGGTTGGGTACGATGTTGTGCCATTGAACCAAGAAATGAATGGTTTGCTACAGGTTCAGCAGATAGAGTAATAAAGGTAATAGCAATGGTATCTCATGTTTTATTTGATCGATAGTTTTTACTGTAATTTTTTAATCTTTCAGATATGGGATCTTGCTACAGGAAAACTAAAAGTATCTTTAACAGGTCACATCAGCAGTGTGAGAGGGCTTGCATTTTCACATAGACATCCTTATTTATTTTCTTGTGGCGAAGATCGTCAAGTTAAGTGTTGGGATCTTGAATACAATAAGGTATATATAAATTGATTTTAGAAATTGATCTTACAATAAAAACATGATTTTTACGTGAATTTTATCTTCTAGGTCATAAGACATTATCATGGACATTTGTCAGCAGTTTATTCTATGGCCTTGCATCCTAATATCGATGTATTAGTAACAGCAGGAAGAGACTCAACTGGGAGGGTTTGGGACATGCGGACCAAAGCAAATGTACATACACTTGCAGGTCATACAAACACCGTAGCAAGCGTAATTTGCCAAGCTGCAGAACCACAGGTAAGGAAGATAGCCTATTTGTTATGTATCTTTATTCAATTAACGAATTTTATGGGTCTTATTTGAAAACGTTTTATCAAAAAATTGTTGTCAGGTAATTACAGGAAGTCATGACTGCACAATACGTTTGTGGGATTTGGCTGCAGGAAAAACCAGAGCTACTTTGACAAATCATAAAAAGAGTGTGAGAGCTGTTGCACTTCATCCAAACTTGTTAGTGCTTTACAATTTATGTTAAATTATTATGATATATCATAAGTTGAATTCTACGTTTACATTTTTTTCTTGACAGGTATATGTTTGCTTCAGCATCACCAGACAACATAAAACAGTGGAAATGTCCAGAAGGAAAATTCATTCAAAATTTATCCGGACACAATGCAATAGTAAATTGTTTAGCTGTTAATTCTGACGGAGTCTTGGTGTCAGGTGCTGACAATGGCACCATGCATCTATGGGATTGGCGAACAGGGTATGCCAGATTTCTATCATTAATTGTATTTAGCAGGGAGTTGTGAATTATACTGAATGAAATGATTTTGTATAGATACAATTTTCAACGACTTCAAGCACCGGTTCAACCAGGTTCCATGGACAGTGAAGCAGGCGTTTTCAGTATCACCTTTGATATGTCTGGAACTCGCATGATTACTACAGAGGCTGACAAAACGATAAAAATATACAAAGAAGATGATACAGCGGTAAGCATTCCATCCTTAGTATTACGAGTTCATTGTTGGTCTCCTGGATTTTATAGTTCTAGTTCAACTTATTACTTTCCTGTTTGATTATTTTAATTGCCATTAGTCCTCTTCTTATAATTGCCGATAATTCTTTACTTTAAATTATTACAAATAAATCTTAGAAGTCACTAGTCTGTGTGTCATGTGGTTTAATAAATATATGTTAATCTTTTTCAGACGGAAGAAACACATCCTATTAATTGGCGCCCAGATATAATAAAGCGAAGGAAGTATTAATCAAGCAAGTGTTTGTATTTAATACAAAAATTGTATAAAGAAACGTGTATAAAAAAAAAACTCGCAAACAAAAAGAAATTTTTTTCAAATGCCTTGGAATTGTTTAATTTAAAGCTCCTCATCTAAGTCATAGTCTTCTTCAGGAAAATCTCCGACCTTTACGTGATTCACCTTCACAAATCCTCCATACTTTGGCGGACACTCAAAGTACTGTTTTCCATTTACACTGAAATTCAAGTAAAATTATTGAATTAAAAATGTTTTAAACCAATTCACGACTATTGTTTTTTTTTTCATGTGAGTTTCCAATCAAATAAAACATTAACTTACGTCCCATCATTTTTTCCAAGTGGCTCGTCATATTTTACTCCAACCCACCAACCTTCTTTAAACTCAGTTTTACCTAGGTAGAATAATTTCAATAGTGTTTTAATATGAATCTACAGTAATTACTTTATTTTGACAATTAGCAATTACATACCCACATACATAATGGTGGCTCTTCGTTTTGGCTGACCAGGGACATGAACTTCACAACGATCTCCAACCTTCAATTTATTAGCTAATGCTTCCTCTGCTTCTTCTTCACGCATTTTCTCTTCAGCCTTACGTTTTAGTTCCTCTTCATTATATTTACCTAATTTGTTTTTTGCCAGAAATGCCTTTACTGTGTCTGGAATATTTAAGTGCAAAAATCAACCATGTCCATAAAGAACTTCAAAATACTTCAGAGTACATGTGTAATTCCGACAATTCACTAACCAACTATCGATGTTACCTGATCTTTTAGAATAATCCTCTTCGGATATTTCAAATTTTTCAACCTTGGACAAATCTTCCTCCGTGCGTGAAAAGTTGTCGATTACCTACAATTTGAAACCTAATTAATATTGTTCCACAATAAGTTAATTTATCATGCTAAGAATTAATTTTTAACGTACATGAATTCTCATGCCATCATCGATAGGATATGATCCTAGCAGATGAGAACCTTCCGTAAGTTTACAAGTAATTGTGTCATTCTTATCATAAACCTCTAATGACAACGTCATAGGATTAGCTCCTGTAAGTAATTCAAGCTTCCCCTAGAAACAAACAATTATTTCACGTGATGAATCCGTGTACAAACACTAGACAATTAATCGATCGAAAGCACTTTGGATTACCTTAAACTCATCGACAGAAATGCCTTTCTGAAATCTTCTTTCAACTACTGAAGAATTACCAGAGTTCGTTATCTTCAGATTAACGAAGTCTGATGTGATGACAGAATAGTTATCCATAACCAATTAATTCTTTTCACTATATTATTATACTACAAACACCTCCTGTTCAATATGTCATTTAAAAAAGCCGTTAAATGTCGAACGTTTTAAAAGTTAGGTTATATTTCACATCCTTTTCACTGTAGGAGAGAGGAAATTACACGCAATGCGTAATTGCTACTTACACACAGAAAACGCTCTGACTAGAGGAATAATGTTTTTGATACCTTAGAAATAATAATTAACGACACGAAAAACCGTGTGCAATCGTGTGAAATTATGAAAGGAGCTGTCAAAGTTGCCTCCAAGTTGTCTTTTTGCCGGTGCCGGTACTTTGTCAATGCGCAGTCAATGCGTCATGTGGCATGTGAGCATGTATGAGCACTACACGCACTTGCTGATATACATATACTAGTATTCATCGATGGTTTCCTCGCGGACCTACTGCCCTCTCCGGCCGCACGGTATTAGCAGCGGGAGCAGCGCGCAATTGGAATCGTTCAAGGGGCAGAATGGATTTCCTAAAGGTGCAGAATGTAAATATATAAGAGACATGAAATCATTATTCCGCTTCAATGTCCAAAAGTGGATGCATTGTAACTTTTCCTACGGCATTTAATTATATAAATATTAATTAACTCTTTTTTTTAAAGCTAATATAATATTCTAACGTCGTTTCAGTGGATGGAACAATTGAATCGCTAAGAAGCTTATGAACTTTTAATAAAACATGTTTTAATATATTATTTAAGAATTTCTGTGAATAATCATTTAACAAAAACTACGTTAAGTGGGTCAGGGACACTTCACAATAATACGTAAATAATTATCATTAATTGTTTTTGTTTATAAACTTTATTTTTTAGGAAATTGATTCTGCCCCTTTGGCGATTTAAATTCCGCGCGGCTCCCGCCGCTAGTACGTTGCGAGGACGGAGAGGGCAGTAGGTCCGCGAGGAAACCATCGATGAATGCCGGTCTATACATTCATACTAAATCTAGAGTTCTAAATCCAGTATGTTACGTCAGAAACGAAGAGAAATTCCCGGTAACTTATCGGTAATTTCTCCAAAGCCTTTTTTAACGAGAAATTATGAGAATTTGAATTTTTCAACAGAGCGAACGAGAGGTTTCGATTAGCTATAGAGAAACATCGTAGAGAGGAATTTCCGTTGTACGTTCCCCGTAGCCAATCAAAACCTCCCATTCGCTTCGTCGCTGAATGAAATATCAGTTCGTTTGAAACAAATCGCATGGAATTTTCCATGAAGTTGTACATATGTACGTGAATATTTTTAGCTGGAGGTAAATACGACCCTATAAATAATATTTTCTAATAGTAATTATTACTCTTTAGCTTGAACTTTGAAGTTGATTGAAAAAAAAAAGTTATTTAAACGAAGAAACCTAAAGTATAAATAACAAAATTAACGTTCTCTTAAATTCTCAATGATCCCGGTAACTTACGGTATGTTTCACAGTTACCTTCTCCAATGTAATGTTACCGAGAATTTTCGAACTCTAACTAAATCACGTTTTCCTCTAACCACATTCTCATGAGACTGTCATTCATGAAGACAATTTCAGCCAATGAGAGAGCCGTTCCTAGTTGCCTTGCATTATAAACCGTGGCTGGAAACGCCGGGGCCGGCCATTTTGCGAACTGACTCCCTCCTCTCCTTTGGGGCCGTGGTAACTTGCGTAGCAGAATAACATCGTCAGCGGTCGGTCGCAGTCAGCCATCATCGTGAGATGCGAAGCGAGTCGTATGCGTTCTATTCGTCTAAGTACATAAAAATAACGTAGCGGAACGTTGAAAAACGTTATCAAGAAGAATGCATCCCATCATGGAGTTAGGAACAAGTGTACCGGCGTTTCTAGGTAAACTCTGGAAGCTCGTTGAGGATCCTGAAACCGACGACCTTATTTGTTGGGCACCCGTAAGCATCCGTCATTCTTATTTAGTATCTTACAATCGATGATAAACTTCATTTCCGTCATGTCAATGACACCTAGCAAACGTAAATAACCTATTCACGAGGAACGCGAATATGTCGTTTGAACACCGTTTACAACGTTCAGATAACGTTTCGTGCTCCCGCAATTACGTTGCAGATCATTGCACCTGCTTGATACATTCGTTACACTGTTACAAGAAATGTTATTTGATAAACGTTTCGCAACGTTTGCTCTTCGATTGTTCATTTTTAATTAAAGCACTTTATATCACTTGCTATTTTTCTAATTTGCGTGATTCAAGAACCTTTTATATATGCATGTTGGACCACTTGCATCTTCGTTATACCGAGCAATATCCTTTTATACTAATGGTGTCAACAATTATATCACTGAAATCTACATAGATAGAATGTAGAAGAATAAAAAATCCTGCTAGGCAAAAATCATTTACATGTTATGAATTTAACGTTTCTCATATATTAAAACTACATTGTAAATAATGTATTTCTTGTACATTAAATTTATTCTACTTATATGTTAATGCAGTTGTTATTGTAAAGTAACGTACATCATTATATTAACTATAAAGTTTAAACATTTTCATTATTTGAATTGCAAACATTTTCATAACTACGAGTGATATGATCGTTAATTCATATAATGAATTATTTATAAGGTATCAAAGTAAGAAAGGTAACAAAGTATTATAATTGCAACAAAATTCATGTTGCAAAGTCAAATTTAAAAATGAATCACTACTTTTATGTATTGCGTTGTTTAGTAACCATTTTGTGATATAAAAATAAAGAACTTATATAACCTTCTAAAGTAATGTTACAATATAATGGAGGAATGCAAGAATACCCCCACAAAAATACTTTTCGATACATTTAGTATTCTTTTGTATATCTAGAGTGAGGTTATGTGTGGATTCAGGCATTTGTGATCCTAGTAACAATATATGAAATATTCTTTTACTTTTATTGAACCAGACTGCTGCATTTTTTATTTTTATTTCTATTTCTATTGGAAATATATAACAGTATTCATATAATTAATGTTATATTACACAAAATTTATTAACAGATGTGCAATGAAATATCTGTGCCAGTTTTTAATTATTTATGCAACAGAGGAAATATACTTTATTTAAACAAGCCTTGTAAGCTTGAACCCCTATTGTTTACTATGCATTATTTACCAGAAATTACATGTATAACAAAATGCTTTTGTTCCACATGATTTCTTAAATGATGTCTAGATTAACTGTTTGATCAATAAGCTCTTTAGATTATCTGCCTGGTTTTATTTAATCATCTGTACTTTAGTTTTTCAATATGTATATCTAGATCAGACATTTGAAAAATGAAATAAAAGTGATAAACAAAATAAGATTTATTATTGCTATTCTCTTACAGAATGGAAGAAGTTTCTTTATAAGGAATCAAGCGCAGTTTGCCCGGGAATTATTGCCACATTATTACAAACACAATAATATGGCTAGCTTTGTTCGACAATTAAATATGTGTAAGTACTACTGCCTTTACTTCTTCTTCTTTTTTTTTTTCTACTGATTAAAAATAGAAACATTTATTTAAACCAAAATTATATTAAATAATACAATATAATGATTTTAATGAAACTTATTAAGCATGTTTATAATCTTTTATTATTCCTGTAGATGGTTTTCATAAAAAAGTATCAGTGGACTTGGGTGGTCTGAAATGTGACAGAGATGAAATGGAGTTTGCTCACCAGTATTTTTGTAAAGGGCACCCATATTTATTGGAACATATTAAAAGAAAAGTAGGTACAATTGTTTCATGAACTGTTTACCTTCAAGAGTTTTTTTATTTATTTTACTATCTTGTAATCATGATTTAAATTGTTCATTGAGTTTGTGTAAACATAACGTTAGTTTGTCCTTTATCCAATAAATGTAAGATTTGGACTTAACATTATATTCTGTACTTACATATTTATGCAGATAGCAACAAATAAAGGTCAAGATCCAACACAAGCTCCAATGAAACCTGAATTGATGAATAAAATGTTGTCAGAAGTAAGAAGTATGAGAGGGCGTCAAGAACATCTTGACTCCAGATTAGGAGCAATGAAGAGAGAGAATGAGGCCTTGTGGAGAGAATTAGCAATGCTTAGGCAAAAGCATCTTAAACAACAACAAATTGTTAATAAACTGATTCATTTCCTTGTTACATTGGTGCAACCATCTAGGAGTGGCGGGCTCTCTGTGAAAAGGCGATATCCTTTAATGATCGATGATTCCACAAGACAGAGAAATAAACAGGCAAAAATTTCTAAGGTAACTGATTTGTTTTACTCATTAAATATCTTATATCATAATTAACAATGCTTATTTTTAAATTGTAGGCACAGGTATCCCCTACGGGTCCTGTCATTCATGAGTTAGATGTAACTGATTCAGACCTTGAATCTCAATATATTGTGGCAGAGTAAGTAAAAAACTTATATCATGCGAAATTGCCTAGTATTTAAAAAATAATCTTTTTTTTTATACCATTCATTCTGTATTTTATTGCAGAATGTTGGAAAACCATGGAAGTCCAGCAGTGGAGAGTCCTGAACATACTGAACCATCAGGTTTTGAAGATTCAGGTATGGAAACTGTACGTTTGGGCAACATTAATGACCAGTCGCCTAATGAGATTCAATTAGTTGAATCTCAAAATATGGAACCAAAAAAGAAACGTGTTTGCAAAGGGAAAAAGAAGTAAGTAATCTACAAAATTAATTATTTTTAAAATAACTTGTACGAATTTAATTACCCATTACAATTTGTTTAAATTGGACGTTGGAGGTTGAAATAACGAATGCAAAGTGATGACTAACACACTGGAAGTACAGTGGTATTCATAACCTAAATTTCGTATATCCACATTATTTAAGATATTTTACATATATTTAAAAAAATATATTAGTTAAATTATTATTATATCAGCAGACTGAAAGTAGAGTTCCAGTTGTTCATTCAACAAAGTCCCTGATTTGTGTAAACGATTATGCTTCCAGTCAACTGATTCCTAATGATATGTATGTTTGCAGCATTTAAGCTTTACATTTAAACCTTCCATGTAATTGCTAAATATGATAACGACTATACACTTCAATCAGTCCCATAATTATTGTTCATTTTGAGTCCATGTATAATATGTAATGTGGATATACATGAATCCATTACTGACATTTTTCAAGTCATTTGGAAACGATTTGTTGCCATGCTTCGCATATATATTTGTTATGCAAAGTGAGGTAGTTCACATATTTTGTCTGTTCAAGACATGTTAAAAATAAGGATGTAGTTGAAGGAAGCCACAGATTATAAGTGTAAAGAATGAAGAAGTAATATTTATTGCTAACACTACTATATACGTTAAAAATCAAAATTAGTTTATGATTGAACTCATGGCAATTATTCTGCAATGACTACTAACGAATTTTTTTAGTGATAATTATATTTTTAAATCCTGATCCCTTTTACATTTTCATCATTTAAATGTGTGGTAAACTCGCTCATAATATTAACATTTTAAGGATAAATGTTATTTGTACTGGATTAATTTATTCTCAATGAATCCAGAATTATTAAGTAATTATCATATTACTTGATTTTTAACTAGACAATTAATATTAAATTAACAGAAAGTTGATATACATTCTTCAAACAGCTGAATATTTATAATCACTGAATGCAAAACAGACTATATTAAGAAAAATTAATATAGTCGAATGAATGTATAAACTGTTTTCGATTTTTAACGCACTTTGATAAGTTCTGAAAAGGAGCAGCCATATTTCTCATGAGCACAGTAATGAAATAACGTTTCTGAATGTCACCGTCATTAGCTTATTCAATCTTAGCTGCATTATCCACGTTATATCATCAGCTATTCGAATTCTGCCAGGAGGAAAAACAAGATGCCTGTAAAAATTTTGATTCCACCAGCAGAGAACGGCGAAAAACCCAGGTTAATTTTTTTCTCTTGTAACCGTTTGGTGTTGGTGCATTAAGTTTTATTTTTTTGCCTGCAAATATTCAATTATTTCGTTATTTCGTTAAAGTTATGCTTTGCGTCAATTTCGTGCATGGAATTTGACCAAATCTGATAATTTCCATAAATAAAGTCTTGCAATATTTCACCTTCTGGGATTTGGCACTTGTAGATCAATTAATATTATTTCATTCTAATTAGTGATGAATAACGTTTACCCAGACGGAATTTAGGCCTAATAGAAATGACGTCTGATGTGGTGGTAATAATATTTATGTTTTAAATCACACAAGTCATTGCGCGTAAGAAAGAACTGCATTATTAAACTTATGCAATGGCTGACATCAGTAATTACACATTTTTTAAATTATGCGATAAATCTTAATTGCATATAATAAAACTAAGGTCATAAGAAATGTTTCTTGTTTTGTGCTCCGAAATTGGCTATTATTCTAAGCTGCGGTCTTAATTTCATTATTGCTCAGTACAGTGATGCGATACCTACCAGACAGATCAATTTCAAATAGAAATTTCTAAACGGCGCCTATAATATTAAATTTAAAGAGTAGCATTTTTATTTTGAATATAGTACGTTTTAAGGGACATGTAACGAGAGATTTTCTGACCTAATTAACAAGTTTAAAGAATGAATAATTACTAACGAACGCATAGAAAGCTTTATATAATTTTGTATAAGTTAATTTACATAAAAGAAATTAAAATAATAAATTAGCATGCCTTGTAAGATAAGTAGCACGTATTTAATATTTGACACACGTAATACAAATACGTAAAACATCCTTTGCTTGATTTGTAGATGGTTTTCATAAAAAAGTATCAGTGGACTTGGGTGGTCTGAAATGTGACAGAGATGAAATGGAGTTTGCTCACCAGTATTTTTGTAAAGGGCACCCATATTTATTGGAACATATTAAAAGAAAAGTAGGTACAATTGTTTCATGAACTGTTTACCTTCAAGAGTTTTTTTATTTATTTTACTATCTTGTAATCATGATTTAAATTGTTCATTGAGTTTGTGTAAACATAACGTTAGTTTGTCCTTTATCCAATAAATGTAAGATTTGGACTTAACATTATATTCTGTACTTACATATTTATGCAGATAGCAACAAATAAAGGTCAAGATCCAACACAAGCTCCAATGAAACCTGAATTGATGAATAAAATGTTGTCAGAAGTAAGAAGTATGAGAGGGCGTCAAGAACATCTTGACTCCAGATTAGGAGCAATGAAGAGAGAGAATGAGGCCTTGTGGAGAGAATTAGCAATGCTTAGGCAAAAGCATCTTAAACAACAACAAATTGTTAATAAACTGATTCATTTCCTTGTTACATTGGTGCAACCATCTAGGAGTGGCGGGCTCTCTGTGAAAAGGCGATATCCTTTAATGATCGATGATTCCACAAGACAGAGAAATAAACAGGCAAAAATTTCTAAGGTAACTGATTTGTTTTACTCATTAAATATCTTATATCATAATTAACAATGCTTATTTTTAAATTGTAGGCACAGGTATCCCCTACGGGTCCTGTCATTCATGAGTTAGATGTAACTGATTCAGACCTTGAATCTCAATATATTGTGGCAGAGTAAGTAAAAAACTTATATCATGCGAAATTGCCTAGTATTTAAAAAATAATCTTTTTTTTTATACCATTCATTCTGTATTTTATTGCAGAATGTTGGAAAACCATGGAAGTCCAGCAGTGGAGAGTCCTGAACATACTGAACCATCAGGTTTTGAAGATTCAGGTATGGAAACTGTACGTTTGGGCAACATTAATGACCAGTCGCCTAATGAGATTCAATTAGTTGAATCTCAAAATATGGAACCAAAAAAGAAACGTGTTTGCAAAGGGAAAAAGAAGTAAGTAATCTACAAAATTAATTATTTTTAAAATAACTTGTACGAATTTAATTACCCATTACAATTTGTTTAAATTGNTAATAAATTAGCATGCCTTGTAAGATAAGTAGCACGTATTTAATATTTGACACACGTAATACAAATACGTAAAAAATCCTTTGCTTGATTTGAATATGCATCACATATCCTTTACTATGTAGGCTTGGTAAGGGTAATAATTTTTTCTACTGGTTGACTAATTAATTTAGAGATGTGTTCACCATATGTTAACATTTATTAAGATATTCAATATTTCAAATGTTATACCACCGTGTCATGCTTAAAAAAAAAAATCTTCATAAAGTACAAATTATATAATCTATGTTGCTATTGCATTTTTAAGACAGAAACGTGAATGTCCATTGAAATAAAAGTGTTCAATATTTTGTGCACTCTCTTTGAATAATTGATGTTCTAACGAAAAGATTATATATTACAGAATTAGAGAACTACTTTTCCGATCAGTGGACAAATACGTTTCGAAGTAGTATATTTGCTGCATGGCAACTAGTTTCCTTAAAAATCAAGGTGTGGCCGTAAATGTACATGTTTGTACAACACTTACGACTAGACCCGGAAAGCAAGCGAAGAAACCGTAACAAATGCGTGATTCAAAAAGGGGGAAGATGAGCAAGAAGATATCTCGATTTTAGGGAAGAAACACTTATGGTCGAAATGTCACCCGAGGATTCGGCAGTGTCGATCGAATTATTGGAAAGTAACGTGACCAGCTCTTCGAAGCCGATTCCATTAGCCACCGTGAGAAGCTCCAAACTTGCAGCCATGGCAGCCAACATGAGCAACAACAATGATCTTGAACTGGATCTAGATCTTGACAGTTCTGCTTGTGCGGAAGAAGATCCAAAACAGAATGATACTTCCCTTGTAAAACTCGAAGATATTTTAATTATACCAGAGATCATTGACGAAGAACAAGTTAAGAGCCATCAAACAGAAGGTCATAGCAATAATGGCAACAGCAGCGATCCAATAGAAAAAGAAATTGAACAGTTGTCTTATGACAGCGACGAAGACCAAAATCTCGAAGGAAACGGGGACGAAGCGCACCAGTCCACAACATCCGAAAACTCGAGAGACAATGAGGAAGAAGGCACTCGCAGTTTGTCTAAAGACTTGAGTTGTGTCAGCGCTGCAGGATTATCAGAGACAGCTTACAGGTTAGAATCAACGTAAGTTCAACACGGACCATTTGAGTCGAACAAATTCCTGAGTGTAAGTACAGAGTATCAAGGGGTAAACGTTGGAAGATTTGAAATATTGAATCACTTATTACTCCATATGTTTGACGTTATCTACTCAAATATAAAGGCTGTATTTAAGGTCGAGTAGTAAGTAATAAGTAACAAAAGGCAAACTTAATATATGGTTGCGTGTGTATAATTGCCAGCAGTGTTTTCTGTCATTAAAGTATAAGTCGTATGAGCTCTTCATTTTCTCTGGCTTTCTCCAACAGTCATCGAATTCATAATCATGAATTATGGCATGACTAGACAACGTAAATTTCTGGAAATGACAATTCATTGTCACTTCTGTTTGACATTGTAGCAATAATAACAGTAGCATTCTTCCATCTTAAATCTTAAATCTCACAAGCAGATGCAATAATTTATAAATCTAATAATTTGAATTTGTTTCCTTCAGTATTCTTTTTCATTTATTGCATCTTTCTCCTAATATAATTTCATAACGTTGAAAGCACCATCAATTATTAGCGTTAGAATTCACAAATTTCATTGCATCAAAGGTTCAATAAACTTAAATTAATAATTATGGAATCAACATCTTTGAGGCTAAAAAATTGGATAAAATTCCTGGCATCACAAGGTATGCCTTTGAGAACAGGTACCATATTGTCAAAGCCATAGGTTCAGATTGAAATCATGAGAACTACATAGTGTAATTGTAAAACATTAAAAAAAAAATAGTAATTACCCCTAATGTAGGTATAAAAGTGATATTCATTAATTTTGTATTAAAATTATCATTATTCTCAGTATCTTATATGCACCCTTATACTGAATCTAGAGAGGAAGTGGATGTTCACCTAGAAACGATGCAATCCGAACTGGAGAACTTACGGGAGATTTTACGTGGAGAAGGTTACAGTATCGATGCCAACACATTATTAGGAGTATGTTCAAACCTTTCTATTTATTATATTTATAAATGAAATAAAGTGCTCGTTTATATAATACATTTACTTATCAATAAGCAGTTATTTTATGATCGTAATTAAATAGTTTTATTTATAAAATAATTTGTAGTGCGAAATTTTAATAATTATACATACTGTTAGCAATTGTTGTTACTATTTTTAAATTACATAATAACTGCATTCTTTTCCTTTTATTTTCTAATTTTTTTATTTAGACATTGCATTTATTCTGTAGGTATTCACATTTATTTCTGTAATTGATTAAAATTAAACATTTTATTGTTCTTAGTTATTTGGAGCAGATGATCCAATGTCGTTTGGGGTCCCAATGAATCCTGATTTGGATCCACATTCTAATCGTGAAAAAGACGACGATGACCACCCAGGTGGTAAGTGTGATATATCGTATAATGAATTGAAACACAGTGTTAATAAATATCATGTTTAATAATAATAACATATTTTTAAATATAAATGTTTAGTATATGATTTAATGTAATGAAGCATTCCTCATTTGTTGGAAATTTATTCTTATTTCATATATAAAATGGGTCTGTGGTACTTTTTTAGGATCATTCAACGGAACGGAGGGAGGAGAACTGATGGCGTACAATCCTTCATCAAACCTTTTAGATTTTGGTGATATCTTCTTGGGTGCAACAACATCGTCACCAGACGCGGATGTTACGGGTACATCAGTTGCCAACAATTACATCAATCCTGATCCTTTGGATTTGGCAGATTGTAAGACGTCTCTGCTTGACTCGCTGGCAAAGGCGAATAATTCAAATTCTATGACTTCATAAAAGGTCTTTCTTATGGTAAGCCAATTTTTATGATAAAAAATGTATCATACGAATATACATCCTTTTTTATTTGAATAATTATATACGCAGAAGTATAGACTGAATATCTACTCCAAAAACTCACTTCTAATATTGATCATCTAGAAACGAACAAAATAATTTAGTTTTTCTTTCAAAAGATAGCTGAATGTAATCCTTAACAGGTATTACTTACTGATAACAGTAAATCGTATTGATTTATTGTTTTTTTTAAATGCTGAAGTTACACGATAGCATTTTATAGAAATTCTGTCGTTTTACTGTCATTAGATGCTCATAACTTGTTAGGAGAGGTTAATTTATGCGCATTGATAACATTAATGAGCTTTAAAAAGGAAATCAAATAAGGAGGTGATTTTCATCATCTTATTTTGGAGGCTTTAACATTAGAACTACCGGCGATTTTTTTGTTGTATAGGATGGGCCATTTGAAACCAGTCATTTTTACTGGCCTGGTAGTTCTAGTGTTAAAGGTGTTAATTTCAATTTTAGTTTTAAAGAATTGTTTTCTTGAATTTAATTTCAAAGAATTAATTTTAAATAATGGAATTTAACAATAGGTAGCTCGATTTTGATAAACATATAATTCGTAAAAAGGTTACTAGTAGCTCAAATTATTTTGCATTTTGTATTCTATACTTATCATTCAGCGATAACATGCCTTATCCATTATATGTTAAATGCCACATAATTATGCCGAACTTTCAAAACAATCGGTGTAGAAATTAAGCTCCTGATCCAGAAATACCAGAACCAGACTCACTTCTTTGCCTGCTCCGTCTTTAAAAACGTATTAATATCGATCATGCGGAACAAAGCGCAGCTTATTAAAGATAATAAGTAATCAATGCTCTTTTGAGATCAAGTGAGTGCAACGTTTGAATATTTTAAATGTAAGCTGATACAGAAAAATAAAGAAAAACATTAATCATTCGTGTATATCTTTGCGGTATCTATACCGTATAATCGCGTTAATATATTCAAACATTAAAGGATTTTCAAATAAAGTTACTAGGGAACATTCTAAGTTTCTCTGAATGCACTGATGGGCCATTTAGTAAATGTCTACGATCAATATATATTTACTACTTCCCTAAAAATGTACATTATACTTGTCAAATTTTAACGGATGTAGCAGTGTTCAGTCTATATTCTGTACTTACCAGGATTCTTGGATTTATAGGATCAAAGATCTAGCAATCTTATCAATGATTCCGGGAAAAACAATACATGCATATCATTTTATAAGTGTAGTATCATACATTAAAAGTAACCGATAAGAAACTTACAATTTGATAAGTATTTTTTTGCAATGCCTATTTACGAGCATTGCATTGAATAAATTCATTCATTCGTAGCTATCAATTTTATGGCAAAACTGTGAGATCTACAACCCTTTTTATTTATATTGAGTATATTGGTATCACCTATTAATTAATCGATAAAGGCAAGAATTACTATAACGTGGTAATACAAATGAAGTCAAGATGTTAAAAAAGACGTTGCAGCACTCTAAAAGATAAATGTAGTTTGCAAAATATTTATTTTAATTGAAAATTATTATTCTATCGACATTGCATTTGTTTATGGTTTATAGTATTTTATCATGTTGCATACGTATAAAAAAAAATAACCGAAGTCTTTAACCAGATTTTTTATTAACACCAAAAGTCATTCGTCCTTGTATAAATTTTCTGTTATTATTACGAAAACTTTAACGCAGAAAAGAAAATGATATTAAACCTCACTGCTATCTCAATTTCTATTCATTTTAATAGTTAAATCATGAAATTGGTTAAATTCTCTTTGTACTGTTTTCATACAAATTATCATCGGGTGAGGGTTGTTAAACACGATGTAAGATACTACCTTAGGATGGACTTTTTTGCAGGTTCAAATGTCTTTTGGCTCGGTACATTGGTAATGGTGCGTTTTATTCCCATGGACTGGGTCGTACATGTCTCTCATAGTACAAAAACTGCTGTATCTTGGTGCCAATGCAACGTACCTTTTCTACAATCAACAATGTTGATAAAATTGTGTTTGGATATGTGGTACCAGACTTTAATCCATTATGAATGGTGGATTGTAGTAAATAAATACGGTTGAGTATTGAGCTAAAAAGAATATCGGTTCTTGTTTCATAGGGAAATTAAAGAAGTTGGACCTACGTGTTTGTAGAGTGCTTGAGTTCGAATCTCTGCTTTGTTATTTTCTTTGCAAAGCGCATTTGTTTTAAGCGTATACAGCGTTTCAGCTGTTGCTTTGGAATTATTATACTAAACTCCAAATAATTTAAAATGTTTTATTGAAAAACAAGAGGGATTCAATTTTACATACACCATTTTTACTACATGATGTAAAACGTTTCCATTGGTTCAAATTTTCTTCATTAAAATGTAAAATGATAAAAACATTGATGACTTGCGGACATGGTTAAAATATGCTTCAATGTAAAACCCTAGTTCTTCGATTTTTTCAATAAAATGTCTGAAATGATGTATTTCATCATGGGAAGGGTTAGTGGAGAATGGGATAGGGGTAGGGAATTAACTTATTGTATTTCATACAAATTATATTGCAATTCTGTAAATAAAAATGTACTTTATTATGTGCGTTTCGGAAATTGAACAATATTTAAACATTTTATTTATTTGCTATTGGACTTTGTTACAAAAATTCAACTGTAAATTGATACAAATTCTTTGTCCTAATTATAATTGTTACTCATACATAAGCGTCATATTAAAAGTAAAGTATTCATTAAAAGAGTCCACCGTTTTTATAATTTTGTACTATCTGGTTTTTTCTTCTTTTCATTGATTTTTTAAGATTGTAAATTACTATCAAATATGTATTTACGCTTGTCTGTCGAAGAAAAATACCATCGCTTACACACGCATATGTAAATTGTATCAGCATTTACTGCAACTGCGCTGGTTACGAGCAAAAATAAGGAATATACGTAGTTATTTTTAAGCAAGAATTTGCGCACATACGATTTTGATAGATAGTACATTTTTGAATTTCACATTCTACACAAATTGTACGAGAAAATTATAGTACGAAATAACGAATGTCATTCGTTGGAATTTTGGATGTGAGCATTTTTAGGGTACTTGTTTTTCTTTTTTTAATATTCAGTCTGTTTTGATTTCGTTAATCGATTAATTGGTTTCGTTGTTCTATTTTGATCTCGGTTTATATTAAGGCTATAAATTCACGTCCAATTTTTTTCACAAGTTAGTAACGTATGTATGTATCGAGAGAGAAGAAAAGTAAAAAATAAATGCATGGAACCTTAGAGGCGCTTATATTGGAATAGAGAGCACGTATATTGGAGGAGAAGAAATTCAGGACAACAACCAGATATATTGATAACTTAATGTAAGAGATAACTTAAATTCTACATGAAACCGAAGAACTAAGGAAAATTGTTACAATTTGGTGTATTCTCTAGACAAATAATTCCAGTAAATAATTTGATATGGGAAAGAATATGGTCAGATTTTCCTTTATACGTTCTTGATAACACAGTGGTACGTTATCGATTAAACTATCAATGCTGTGACACTATGACTCAGTCCAATTACTCAATAATTTTCATTACTCCTTTGAACACATTTGACAAGAATTTTAGTACTGTTCACAGTAACTGAATTGAATATGGATGGAAACCAACTTCTTGATTAATTAATATCGCCGTTCATTATTTGAACATTTATACACCCACATAACATATAAGAACGTTTTTTTGACATCTCATATAACTTTTGTACTCATTCTTATCTTTAATTATCGTAGCTTCATCACTTATGTCTCTAACAACGCAAGCAATTTGAGTTATGCACTGGTATTAAGGTAACTGCATCTTTAAATTACATTGTAAATTATATCCGATGAAACATGATCTGAGTGACGTATTATTCTCATTTCAAGATCGTTATATGTATCCAGTAATTTTATTACTGAGAGAACTGTTAAAGATAATAGTATTCCTATTAAATCAAATTTATATGTTATGTAATGATGTTTATTTTATAAATAGCTTGTACAACTACATTATAAAGCCCAAATGTATAAATCACTTTTTTTTTTCTATTTTAGCCTCGGAGGAAAGACTATGGATATCCTATCTAGGCAATCAGTAAATCCTTCATTTTAGTTTACAAAGCGAAATAGTAACTAAGCCCATATATGCAAAGTATTGTTAAGAGTGCGGTTTACATTTGAGACACTAATGTTGGACAAGACGCGGTGAGAACCGCCTGAACCTTCAGAGTTTCACAAGGCACAGAATTGAAATCGACTATTCTAATCTGTACGTCTTCGTGAACATATTATCAGAATACCATTAATCGTTGCAGATCTTGATCCAAAGTCAAATAACCTCGTTCTTATTTCTCATCAATACATTCAGAGAAGTATTCACCAGTAATCGGGGAAGTAAATAAGCAATGCAGTTGGCTTTCCCGCAACAACTGCACCGCACCTCTTATTTTTAACCACCTTTATACGAAACTGTCTATTTGAGAGAATGATAGAAGTAGCAACCGTCGAGCCTCGTAACATTTACAAATTAATAATTTCTTGCGCGCATATCGCAAGATGCATCGTCGTTAACTGGCTAACGCAATGGTAGCAGTAGACTATGTCTTTTTCTAGTTCTTCATGAAATCGAAATCGTACACCCTAAAGTTTTTATTAAAATAACCATGCCACTTAGAAGATTCCACGTACAGTCGAGCATCGATTTTCCGTAATAATGAGGAACCCGCCAAGATCTCGAACGTTTGAAAACTTTAGTAATTTAGGGGCGTTCATTACTGGCTGCTGTTCAAATTGTTTTCAGGAGGCATCTTGAAAAGGGTCATTCCTATTAAAGTGCGTCCAAACATGAGCATTCGTGTGCGTAAACATGTTCACGTCTAGACCCACCTTTAAGAAAATATAAATATTTTCACCATTTGTTACGAAAGGGATGTACTGTGATACTCTAATGTTTATTTGTAGGGATACCCTCGTATAGTAACGCGTAATGTCAGCGATTGGAGAAAAGCCGTTTTAATTTTCTTGAACGGATTAAGGAAAAACATTCGTATAAAGATTTGTTGGCCTCTTTGCCGCAGCGTTACTATATCAGGGACTACTACACGTTTCTTTGGTACTCTTAAGAAAAACTATTGCGTAAGGTTTATATTTTCGGATACTTATGTGTAGACTGTACATAATTGATCCACGTAGTAATAACATCAGGCATGTACAAGCTACGATGGTTATTAATTGAGGCTTTGCAGTAATAAGATGTGAATTAGATAGTTATGTGAATAAAAGAGTAAGTTATGAACTGCCCGAATGTGTACAATTCCTTATACTCGGTATATGTTGGTCTTACGTAAATAATATTAATGTCCTTGAATTAGCGCGAAGAGAAAGCATCTAAATTACTCCTGTATTGTTCAGTGTACTTTGGTATACTGAACATTGACCACTGATTGCTGAAACACTTGAACATGCCTGAATTACACTTTAGTTCGATTTCTTGGTGTCTTGGATAATCGATGCTGTGAGCTGTACGCTCATAACATATTCTCCATAATTAATTTCGGGACTGAAGGTAATCATTTTCTACGGATCTTAGGTTGGGTTTTTAGTTTCTTTTTTTTTTGTATGTATAATTAGAAATCATACGTTGAAAATTCAAAGGTTAAAGTCACTTGTAGCCTTTGTCCGTTATTCAATTGACTTTTGTTCCTACGAAGTTTCAATCCAAGTGGGATGGCCTCTTGCTAATGGAGAGTTTTAAAGTTATTACTCTTCCGTGAGTCCATGGGAAAATTTCAAAGCATGAGATCCCCTGTAAATAATACACATTCTGCATAATATACATGCAATTCGTTTACTTATTATGTGAAGTCAGAAGTATTTCATATTTAATATATTTTAGATATTTCTACGTATAAACGAAATGTTTGAAAAATCATTACAAATATTAAAATGTGTCTTAACCCTTTCGGTACTAAGAATGACGATAGTTACCTGGTATGAAACAAACCATATACTGGAAGCATTATGTGCTAAAAAAGAAGTTCCCATACTATTTCAACGCTCTTTTCGTCCGATCTCTCCATTAAGAAGGGGTTAAAATATCACTAATAGCCAAATCATACATTGCATCGATGAATGCATTCGATCCATACACAAAGTGAATTTAGTGTAACGACATAGCAGAAATAGTGAAATGTATCATTACTGGTGAGGACGACTTCCAATTACTCCTAAGTAAGGATGTGCATTTTATATCCGTCGCGCGCGCGCGTCTGATGACCTTTTTACTAATTAATAAAAACAAAAAACTCGAACAGAAGTAAAAGTTTCACTGGGTTCACTTTGTTATGATAACTTTCATTTGTGATAAATAAGACTTTTAATACTTGTTCGTTTTTAATGCCATTGCAGCAGTACCTCTTACGCTGTCATCGTTTTTTTTTTAATTTCATACTGTGGATATCAAATGAACATTTTTTCATTTGCATTATCTAATAAGCTGTATAACTTTCTAAATATATGTCAAGGGTCATCTCACCATTCGGGTTCATTTAACGCATTAATATATTTGAATTCATTATATGAACAGTTAAACATTGCAAATATTCATTTGTTTTGTCTCTGGAAAGTTAGATCCACACAGGTTTTTATTTTTTTTCCATTTTCTCTGGTGCGTAATGTGTATCGATTTGATTTTTTGTTCTACCCATTATATATTGTGAACATACTGATACGAATTTACATTGACGCCATTGCTGATACGTAGAAGTATTATAAACCACGATAATACTTTTCAATATCCTTTCATATTTTTTATATCAATCTTTTCTGCGCTCTTAAGGGTTACATGTATTATTATTCATTCAATATAATTGGCACTGATTAATCAAATATATTATCAAATTCTATGCCCTAAAATGAAAATGGTATAAAAGGCAGATTCATCATTATTAAATTAAGCGTCTCATTGAAATAGTAAACTTCTTCTGGTTGAAAAATAATCATAAATGCATGATCTGAGAGTAAATGTAACACATGTTGTGCATATGTTAAGAAGTGAAATAGTGCCCTTTGTTCTCATAAGCTGTCTCCAAGACATTGCATAAATTTACAATTTAATAAAATCAGTAATTTTACCGTTTATGGATCTTTTCTAGCAACCAGATAATCACTTTAAATACAGTCAAAACCATAACAAAACACGATTATTTCATTGCAAAATTGAGTAATGGCAAAGGTTTTAATTTACATAAGACCTTTTGTTATCGATGAGTGACATGATAATGACATCTACAAAGACAGTAATACAATTAAACCATCCCGGAATATTTATGGTTACAGGTCGCGTAGTGATTTTGTATATAATTATTAATTGCATAAACTTGTAGATGTATCATATGTTTACAAAATTGTAAAATAAAATAAAATGTGTTACGAAAGATGTATTCTTTTAATATACTTTGAATGACACTGAGTTATATAGTTTTTATTTCCTTTTCTTTAAATTTTGATAGTCCTATACAGAAGCAATGGAATTTGAACTCATCTTCAACCTAATGTTTCTAATCTGCAAATTCTACTGTTTGAAAATGAATTTAAATTATGCGTTCATTATATATTTTTTAATGATTTCTTATATCCACGTATTATTTTGAACATATCTAGGATGTTCGATTGGGAGGATTCTTATTGGACACGACCCAAAGATGGCGGTGGTGGGTCGGCTACAATATTGACACTGGTTTCTGGTCTAGATAATCTTTTGAACATATGATTACAAGCAGAGATGAGCCGAGAGATGTTCCATGCCTTTGTTAGAAAGTGAGGCACGGCTCACTGGCGCCCTCTTCGCCCTTGTAAGAGTTGGAACTGCTTTCAAAGGGGCGAAATATTCGTGACCGGTAAAACAGTACGCTCATCTCTGTTACAAGGAACCAGGGTTGGGTAAGTATAATATGTATGTATGTTGTAATATACGTGGTTTTCTACACGTATATTACAACGTATAATACGTCTCTAGTTTTCTACACGGGCACCAAGTATATTACCCGAAACTATACGTGCAAAGCGCATACGCAATATCGTCAATAGCCAATAACAGTCCACCTATTTACCTCTAAGAGACATTCTCATTGGCTATTAAGGGGATTGTACTTTACACCTCCAGAGATCGCGCACATTCGAAATCAGTCTTGGAAATTTTATATGTATGCATATATGTACATACATGCATTTGACGTTTGTAACGGCTATTTCAAGTGGTAAGATTCGTAACCAATATTTATATCAAAATGTATAAAGGTGGAAGATCAAAAAGTAAATTATGGGATGAAAGATGGATCGACAAGATGGATGTTTATAACAGTCTCTGGTTTATAACTTAGCGAATACCGCATGCCCTACGTTTGCTTGTCCGTCATATTTGATACGTTTTCTACGGTAAACTACTTGATTTACGTAATATACGTCAAAAACCTCGAAAATCGTGAAATTACCCAACCCTGCAAGCATTCACGTGTTTATACGTATGTTAAAAGACGTTTATACCCTGGTAGTTGTCGCATGTTATACTTGCATCTGCGGTATCCTCCATATTGTTCACATAATATACTGATTTTGTACGTTTACAATGGTCAATTACATAATTTAAATAATATACGTTGCAAACCCCAAGTGGTGCATTATTTCTCATCCCTGCTTCCCCCAGATATTTAGTATACATGGTGTCAGAGTATACGCGTTTAGCACAAATTTGATGCATCGCTGTCTATGCAGTCAACATAACCCATGATTTCGGCTACAATTGTTTTCCTAGGGTTCTCGAAGTTTAAAAATAGTCAGACATGTCCTAGGACGTCTGAGCAATATTCAAGTTCAGAACTGTTTGGCAACTCTTGTCAGAAGTGGAGTTAAAAAAATTGTGACCTTTAAAGGTTCGGAAGCACAAGAATATGGCTTCGAGAGGCACCGTAGCACAGGTCGTTGGAACAGATGGTAGTGATTATACCCACAGACAAAAGGTTGCCTCACAGTATCAAATGAGGTGAAGAAGTAACATTCAATTTGATTACGATGTGTTTTTAAAAAACAAATAATACTTACATCTTCAGTCATGCTTTCTTTGCTTAATGAAAATATATACTCTAATTGTGATACTTAAGACACTTTAGTCTTGCGTTACTAATACTCCATTATATACCATTCTAATTTCAGGTCTAAAACATTAGGATATGATTAGTATTAGTATAAGTTTAAATCTGTATGATATAATACTTGTCCAGTATCTTTCCGCTTGCTTTAACAGTCTTACTTAAGAAATTCAAAGACAATTATTACAGTTCCAAATAGCACCTAATATTAAAAAAAATCACTAGTTTGCAATATGTCATGCTTGTTCTTTTATATTTATGTACCATAATAGTAACATATTTAATTTCTTGCTTTGTTTTCAGTGCCATAAATAAGTCGAGACTGAAATATTGTATTTTTTTTCATTACCTTCTATTCTTTGTGATGTTAGCAAAATTATCTGCAGATATCTTAGACCGTTTGGATATTTTTATTCTGGAGATAGAAGAATTACAAGTACCTCAAGTAAGAAAATGCTCATCATTTTTGAACTAATATGGAACAAGTCGAAATATACTTTTCTGGTTCTGACTTCATTGTGTGTTCAAATATTCGAATTTCTTCTATAACCTTGTATTCAAATTTCAAAAACATTGAACTAACTAATCAGTTTGCTAAGATTTCATGCTAACCTTGTTAATTACTATTTCAGCCATTGTGGTGGGAGTATGTGTGGTGTATCAGTCTTTTAATGTCATTCTTCGGCTTATCAGCAGTAAAAAAGAATAAGATTAAGACTCTACAACAGTACATGATAGGAATAGTTGTGTTGGGATATATGCCACTTTTGTACGGTGTAATATATTACTTTAAAGATGTTTGGACGTACCTGACCCTAGAAGAACCTGACGATATTCAAATCTGGCAGGTATGTTTTACGTAACAAGAAATTATTAAATATAATTAGGAGAAACTCATTATTTTTCAAATTTCTAGGATTTGCCCTATGGACTACTATGGTATGCATTCATTCTTCTTGCATCGCAAGTCCATTGTTTCTCTTTATACTTTTCATGGAATCTCCTTGTTGCATGGAAGGCTCGAGGAGCAAAGAGGATAGATTAGTGACTTTCCATTAATTTAGACAGAAACATGTAAGATTTAATGATTTATGAAAAAAGAGTAAAGTTCAAATCATGAATTCTTTAAAAAAGAATTGAGTGAACTTAATTCTTCCTGTTCTAAGCGTGTGATACAAATAAGCAAATCATGTGTGTACATGAACATGCTTCCATGTGATCTTTGCCAGACCGTTTTTATGAAGATGGAAATAAATAAATATGTTTCAATATATTCGCATCTACATATACTAAGCATTTAAGTGGTTGTTACCTGCTTATTACTTGAAAGTACTTTTATTATTATTTTTTTGCAAGATCAGTGGAATATCCGTAATGATTTTAAAGCTCATGAAAGTTAATAAAAAGATCAGTTATTCGTAGATGAAGAATTGTTAACGATAAATTGAGCGAATCGATCATTGACTACGGTATACCAAACAAAGAGTAAGGTTCACTTCCTGAATATCAGATGGCGCTAAGCAAAGTATATAAGCCACGTAAATTCTTCACGATGGGCAGCACAAGTCTAAATGGCAAAACTAACTCCATTTCGTATCTATACGATAAACTAAAGTATATGTTTATGATTTTGGCGCGATCAGGCGCGATCCTATAAGCATCACAATGGAGTGTGGGTTCTGTTATAATGGTTGATTGCATTTAATAGTGTTGTGATATTTCTATCCTATTAGAACCATTTTTTTATAGCAATAAAACGTCAAAAATGGCAAGATTACAGAACAGTGATAGATTTAAGTATCAAAAAGCAAATACTAGTAACACTTTCTCAGCTGCAGACAACACATCTAGGTTCCTATTTTTTAATATTTCATATTTACGTCTCATGTTTAAATGAATGCTTATTCGCATTATTTTATTTTCAGAGAAAATACTGCACAAGGAAGGATAAATCAAGTGATAGAGAATATTAGACTGGACAGTTTATATGGTTTTCATACAGTTACTGATGTTAAAGAAAGAACAGGGTACCTTTTGAACATGCACTCGGTAATTAATTAATAAGTATATGTTATTTTAATCATAATTGAACTGTTGATAATATTTATAAATAGAATGAAATATGCTAATCAGTGAAGTTTATAATGTAATTTGTACTTATATATACATATATTTCCTTTTATTTTCATGCCTTGATTAGTAATTTTTAATTATCATAATGTTGGTATAAGTTTATGTGAGGTATAATATTGCATTGGACAATATTTTTATTTAAGATTATTATATTTGTTTATTTAGACCGAAATCATGAATGATGATAAACGACTGGTTAGTGGAGTAGACTATTATTTTTTGGAAGAAGATGGCACAAGATTTAAAGTTTCAGTTCCCTTTCGTCCATATTTTTACATACTCTGTCGTAAAGGAGCATTTCAAGAAGTATCAACCTTTTTATTGAAAAAGTACAATACCATAGTGACCAAAATTGAAATTGTTGAAAAAGAAGACCTGGACATGGTAATATTTTATGTATTTTCATATCGCATTGCATTTTGTTTTTTGTATTAGATTTTTTAATTTTAATCTGTCCTAAATTCATAGCCCAACCACTTAATTGGACTAAAACAGACTTATTTAAAACTATTATTTGCCAATATCACTGATTTGATGAAAGTAAAACGAGATATCATGGCTGTGGTAAGAAGAAACGTAGAAAGGGAAAAGAATAACACATATTACTCCAATTTAATGGCAAGTGCTTTAAATGCATATGATCAACATACTTCAAAAAGAATAATTGATCACATGGACAACATCCTTGACATTAGGTAAAGTAATTGAACTTTCACTACTTATTGCTATTTTGCCAGTATATATTATATCAAACAATGTATTTATAAAATGCATTTCAAGTAAACATGTTTAATTTTATACAGAGAACATGATATTCCCCATCATGTAAGAGTATCCATAGATGCAAAAATATTTGTTGGAACTTGGTATACAGTGAGAACTCAAGGAGTGGAACCACCAATAATTACTCGTAGAGAGGACATTATTGAAACAATAGAGCCCATTGTATTAGCCTATGATATAGAAACTACCAAACTTCCATTAAAGTTCCCTGATGCTAATTCTGATCAAATTATGATGATCTCTTACATGATTGATGGCGAGGTAACTACCCTAGCCTATATATTTTATTGATAGTGTATTGTTAACACAGTCAATGCTTGCACAAAGTATAATTCCAAATATACTGGTATACAGCTGTTAGATATGTAATCCTAATTGTCTTTGTTTGGTAGGGTTATTTAATCACAAACAGGGATATTGTTTCATCTGATATAAACGATTTTGAATACACACCAAAACCTGAGTTTGAAGGTGTTTTTACTATTTTCAATGAACCAGATGAAAAAGCCACCATAAGAAGATTCTTTGATCATATCAATGAAGTGAAACCACATGTATTTGTTACATATAATGGAGATTTTTTTGATTGGCCATTTGTAGAAACTAGAGCAGCTATACATAATTTAGACATGAAAACAGAAATTGGTTTTGCAAAAAATAGGGATGGGGTGTATGCTAATCGAGCTGCTATTCACATGGATTGTTTATGGTGCGTAAATTCAATATAACAAATTTTACATAATGCAATATAAAAAGGTTTAATACTTACTATTTATATGAACAGTTGGGTAAGGCGTGATTCTTATCTCCCTGTTGGTTCACATGGTTTGAAAGCTGTAGCAAAGGCAAAATTAAGATATGATCCTGTTGAGTTAGATCCAGAAGACATGTGTAAAATGGCAGCTGAGGACCCACAAACACTTGCTAGTTATTCTGTTTCCGATGCAGTGGCAACTTACTATTTATATCAAAAATATATACATCCATTCATATTTGCATTGTGTACGATTATACCTATGGAACCTGACGAGGTAAATTGTTACATTAATTAATTAAAATCCAGTACTGATTTTAAATAATGACTTTACCATCATATTTTTATTCTTTGTTAAGGTGTTACGAAAAGGTTCTGGCACTCTCTGCGAATCACTACTAATGGTACAAGCATTTCAAGCAAATGTTATATTTCCTAATAAACAGGAGTCTGAATTTAATAAACTGACAAAGGATGGACATGTATTAGATCAGGAGACATATGTCGGTGGTCATGTCGAAGCTCTGGAATCAGGTGTATTTCGTGCTGATATTCCATGCCGCTTCAAGTTGGTACCAGAAGCTGTAGATATTTTAATCAACAATGTAGAAAATACTTTGAAGCATGCAATAGAAGAAGAAGAAAAGGTTCCATTAGATATGGTTTCAAATTTCGATGAAGTGGCCGACGAAATTCGTAATAAATTGGTGCGTTTAAAGGAACAACCATTCAGAGTAGAGAAGCCTGTAATTTACCATTTAGATGTAGGCGCTATGTATCCAAATATTATATTGACTAATCGACTGCAACCATTTGCGATCGTGAATGAAACTGTATGTGCTTCGTGTGATTACAATAGACCAAATGCCCTATGCCAAAAGCAAATGCAATGGACGTGGAGAGGAGAGTGTAGTAAGTAAATGTCTAGAGATGAATAGATTTTGTTTATTCTATCTATATATGGCTAACAGATTCATGACATAACATTTGGTAAAATGTTTTAGTGTCAGCTGGTCTAGGGGAATTTCAAAGGATACAACAGCAACTAGAGATGGAAAAGTTTCCATCTTTATTTCCTAATGGTCCTCGGCGAGCGTTTCATCAACTATCCAAACAGGATAAAGCTGCATATGAGAAAAAACGTCTGACAGAGTATTGTAGAAAAGTTTATAAAAAAGTTAAAGTCACACGCACAGAAGTGAAGACCGAAACAGTTTGTCAACAGGAAAATTCCTTTTATGTTGACACTGTACGAGCTTTCAGAGACAGAAGATATGAATATAAAGGATTAACAAAAGTGGCAAAACAGCAAGTTGCTGCTGCCATAGCTAGTGGCGATGCAGGTGAAATTAAATCTGCCAAGAATAGAGAAGTGTTATACGACTCACTGCAACTTGCTCATAAGTGTATTCTTAACTCGTTTTACGGATACGTAATGCGCAAAGGGTAAGACATAAATTTATTTAATTTCTGCTGACTTTGCTGCAAATCAATAAAATTGAATTGTCTTTTAATCCAGAGCACGTTGGCACAGTATGGAAATGGCTGGTATTGTGTGCTATACTGGCGCACACATAATTATGAAAGCCAGAGAAATTATAGAACAAATTGGTCGTCCATTAGAACTGGATACCGATGGAATTTGGTGTATATTGCCTGCTTCTTTTCCAGACAATGTCATTGTTAAAACTCAACATCCGAAGAAATCGAAATTGACCATCTCTTACCCTAATACCGTGTTGAATTTCATGGTGAAGGTACATAGAATTACATTTTGATATCGTTTACATTCTTGGACGATGCGTTCAAGAATGCATCATAGAATTTTAAGAATATACGTATGCAGTTATGATTTTCTTTGTTTTGTTATAGGATCAATTCACTAACCACGTTTACCATGAACTAACAGACCCAGAAAATGTAACTTACAAAATTAGAAGTGAGAATTCTATATTTTTCGAAGTAGATGGTCCTTATTTAGCAATGGTTTTACCAGCTGCGAAAGAAGAAGGGAAAAAATTGAAGAAACGATATGCAGTGTTCAACTTTGATGGATCTCTTGCAGAATTGAAAGGGTTTGAAGTTAAGAGGCGAGGAGAACTTCAATTAATTAAGATATTTCAGTCTTCGGTATTTGAGTCTTTTTTGAAAGGAAATACCTTAGAAGAGTGTTATCAATCTGTAGCTAAAGTTGCAGATTACTGGTTGGATGTATTGTACAGTAAGGTATACATACTTCTTAAAATATAGATGAAAATTTATAATGACTTGTTAGAAGAATTGTATTGAATTGCATTTTAGGGTGCTAATATACCAGACTCTGATTTACTTGACCTTATATCGGAAAATAAATCAATGTCTAGAAAATTGGACGACTATGGAGCGCAAAAGTCTACCTCTATTTCCACGGCTAAAAGATTAGCTGAATTTTTAGGAGATCAAATGGTAAAGGATGCAGGGTTGGCTTGCAAGTATATTGTATCAAGAAAGCCGGAAGGTTCGCCAGTAACAGAACGGTAAATAAGCCGTTATTCTTTGCACTTATTTTGCATTTATCTCACTTCATTCTTATTTTTAGAGCTATACCATTAGCTATATTTCAGTCAGAACCTAGTGTGAAGAAATATTATTTACGAAAATGGTTAAAGGATAACAGTCTGCAAAATTTCGATATTCGGGAAGTATTGGATTGGAATTACTACATCGAGAGGTTGGGAAGCACGATTCAGAAAATCATTACCATACCTGCGGCAATGCAGGGGGTATGCATATTAAAGCACAATTTATATATATATTATTAATTTATACGGAAGAAAAGAAATACAATATTTATGTTTGATTAGATATCAAACCCTGTACCAAGAGTTAAACATCCGGACTGGTTACATAAGAAAATAATGGAGAAAACCGATACAAAGAAGCAACAAAAAATTACAGAAATGTTTACCAAAATTCCTAAAAGTACTGCTGACTCCAGTCATGACAGTAGCACAGAAAATACCGAGGACACGGATATCGAAGACGTCGCAGGGAGTTCTCATGAATTTAAAAAACCAGGACCCGTTGTGTCTAAGAGGAAGCGAGACACCTCCTTTGACGACGAAGGGGAAATCAACACAAAAAGTTGGAGAGAAGTTTTAGGCGATCCGCCTCCTATGGGAAAAACAGCGGTACTTTCATTTAATAATTAAAATTTATGCATTACAATTTACACCTATATGTTTGCAATAACATGATAATCTAGAGTTAAATAGACTCGTTTTACTTACACTTATATTAATTGAATGTTGTGTTCAACAAACATAGAAAGAAAGATTATTATGGCTGGAATTTCAAAAGAAAAAATGGGCGTATCAAACCAAGCAGAGAGGTCAAAAACAGAATAAAAGAAGTAGAACATCTTATAACGATTTAGAACGTAAACGCAGCAGGGTGGTCAGGGATCCAAGAACATCAACAGTGAGCGGATTTTTAAGACATGCTCAGAGAAAGCTTCTCAGTATGCCATGGCAGATTATTCAGGTAAAAATCATTTTGCAAAGTTTATTTATATTTTGGTGAAACCGTTTGATTTATATCAAAATTTCGTTACAGTTAGCAGAGACTAATGAACCTGGGATGTTCAGATTGTGGGTGCTTGTGGACCAGGAGTTACACCATCTACGTTTAGTTGTACCTCGCATATTTTATATAAATTCTCGAAAAGCAAGAGAAGAATCTCAACATAACTCAGTTTGGAAGAAATGTTCAAGAACCTTACCTCGTTCTCGAAAAGTGTATCATCTTTACCAGTGTACGGTTCCAGAAGCCGTATTTATTAAAAACAATTCGTAAGTGTAACGACATACTGTTTTATTGTAATTCCTGGTATTTTTAAGTGCTAATTTGAACAATACGTTATTTGAAATTATACATAATTTAACTAATAGTCCAATTTGTCTTATAATGAATTTTGTTGCTCTTATCTGGAACAGGACTGTCATGCAGATTACATCAAAACCCGAAATAGAAGGCATTTACGAGACTCAAATATCTTTGGAATTCAGAGCTATACTTCAACTGGGATGCGTATGCTCCGTGGACAAAGCTGCAGCGCAAACAATAAAAGATGGAGCTGATACTTTTAATTTACTTCAATTACGCTCTAGAACATTGAATGAACAGCCTTACCTTCAGGTATTTTATTCATTACTTTTGCTCCTACCGGTGTAAACAAATATTACCTAATATAATGTTATTCGTTTATTCATTACCAGTCGGGAGTTCTAAAACATATCTTCTTATACCATCATTGGTCATCAAATCGTCAAAGAGCAATGTGGGGACTTTTCCTTGCTCCTATCAAGAAAGGATACATTTTTGTTGTGGACACAGTGAGAACAGATCAAATGCCCAACATGAACACGCTTTACGTTAACGAACGCAATGCTGTGTAAGACATTAAAATTGAATTTATTTAAATTTATAAAAGCATACTGATAACTATGTATAAAGTTCATCGCACGTGTCTTTCAGTTTTATTAGTTTATATACTAACATTACCGTTGGTGGATTTTTAACCAAAACACTATGATATTACAGCTTGACGAAAGAGGCACATTCAAATGTAAAGAATTTACCTGACGCAATACAGTTTGAAGTCAAAATAGAAATTAATTTACGTCAAGTGTATCGTATGCTGCAGGCAGCGTTAATGGCTTACAAAAATGATATGAAAGGCGCAACTGTGCTCATAGTACAATCACCTTTAAGTATGTTCACAGAACTTGCAGCATCCTAATACCTGTATCTAAAACACTTTAGACTTATTGCAATTTTGTTGAATTTACCGAACAATTCTATTGTTTAACAGGTACAAATGCATTGACCACCGAAATGCCTGGATTAACCGACTTTCCTTTAATTAATACTCACGTACGTGATATTGAGAATCTATACGGCAACATTAACTGGCAAAGGGACGGTGCAAAAATTATGGTACAACACTATTTAAACAGCGAGAAAATTATTGAGTTAACGACCGAACAATGCCGATTTTTCCATGCTCCAATTGGAAATTTACCAGTTGACGCAACTTTATTTGGTGCGGATTTGTTTTATGCTCGACATTTACAAAAGCATAATTTCGTGTTATGGTGTTCTCCAACGGAAATGCCTGATTTAGGCGGCAGTGAATCCGACGACTGCAGGTAAAGTAAAATATTCATCATCTGTTTGTGAATATAGATAATAATTATTGTCAATAAGATAGAAATGTAGTTTAAGATATGGATGAACTTACAATATCTATGTATCTATGTATACTCGTATTGAAAATTTGCTTGTGTTTAAATAATTCACAGGTTGCAAATAGATTTTGAAGAGATTTCAATCTGTACAACAAACAGTCCAGGCACTTATTCTAGTGTATGTATGGAACTAGAAATTGAAAGCCTTGCCATTAATGCTTTGTTACAATCCCATCACGTCAACGATATAGACGGCACCAGTTCCTTTGTTGCCTTTCATAGTGCACCACAAATCTCATTACAGGTGATACTTCAAACTTTTATTATTCTTTTAGAAATTTGTAATTACACCGATGTTTTCGAAACATTTTCCAAAAATCACGAAGATATAGAAAATGAACTCAATATTTTGTAGGAAACAATGAGCGGCGAAGAGGGAACCTCAATTCCTAGCTATGACCAGATAGCGTTATGCGCTCCTGCTTTTAAAGTATTAAAAAGTATGGTTAGCGCATGGTTACGAGATGTAACAGAGTACCGAAACATGTTTGCTGATTACCAAATTATCCACTTTCACAGGTAGACAGATATAAACATTGTTGTTAAATTGCTATAGTCTTAAGTATTATATTGTGTAATTTTCAGGTGGTTGCGATCGCCAAATGCACTGCTATATGATCCAGCATTATGGCGTACACTCTACAGCTTTATGAAGAAATTGTTTCTACAGCTTCTTGCTGAATTTAAGAAGTTGGGATCTATAATCGTCTTCGCTAATTTTAATAAGATTATTTTATGCACAAAAAAGAGGATTGCTGCTGATGCTTTAGGATACGTTGAATTCGTTGTCAGTACTATTCGAAACAAGGAACTTTTTCACAGCATTGAAATAACTTGTGAACAATGTTGGGAGTACCTTATTTGGTTAGACTTGGCAAGTATTAAACATTTCAGAATTTTAGAATCATCGCAACATTTGAATATTTTTTCATAATGTAATTAATAACATCACTAAATATCATTTTATACTTGTCTTTTTAGCCTAATCACGCAGGTGTACGGGGTAAACTACCAGGGAGATTGGAGAACAGTCAGAACGATAATAGCAATGATCTTATCAGTCAAATTGATGAGAATGAAGATGAAGATGATGTGAGTGTTACTGGAAGCATGTTAAGTATAATATTACACAAATGGCAATTCATTCCTTAATGTATCAACATTATTTTTAACAATATTAATGTTTCTATATAAATAAAAAGTAACATCTCGTGATGGTTTCAGCCAAAAGTTGTAATGAATTGGAACATAATGGAATATTTACCAACGGAAGCATTTTGTCAAGCGAGTTTTCGTGCCGTTATAGCTGGGTACATAACTGCAATATATCAACATATGTGTAACAGCGATCTTGATGAAGGGATTTCTAGACCAAACCGGCGAAATAGAAACAGTGCAAGTCAGATTCTAGGACTAGGTGCTTTAGAAAGTACTGCTGCGTTTGCCAAGAAGCTTTTATCGGGAGAAATATCTCAAAAACTCTTTCAGTAAGATATTTTGCAAGTATTATAATGTAACAAGTTACAGATTAATAATTGTTGTCATCTTCAAAGGCGTCTTATTTCATAATGTGCTCCACTTTTCGTATTTATGACAACATATTTACAGAATTGTGCAAAAGATCCATAGGAAGCTGCCGGAAAAAGAATTGACTATTCAGGACAATCCTAATTTCGACCTTGGAGACCATGAAAAAGTAAAAATTAACCCTGCTTTAGAATTGGTGAAATCAGTTTGTAAGGTATAGTATAATATTCTAAAACAATTGTCTTCCAAATAGTGTTAACTTTTTTTTTGTTTCATTCCTTTTAAAAATGAACAAATCTTATAACCTTTGGAGACGTGACATTATGTATATGAACCTATACATCAATAATTTTTTATTTTAGGTTTTATCTCTAGACAAAGAAGTAGAACAGGATGTTTGTATTTTGAAAGCTAATCTTCTACGGCTCATCAACATTAGTAGTTTTAGTGATGAAGCCGAATGGAGAGATCCCTGCATCTCACTAGTTTTACCTGAAGTGATCTGTAAAGCTTGCTATCATACTCGCAGTATTGATTTATGTAAAGACAGTTATCGTGACAAAGAAGACAATAAGTATGCAAATTATTATCAACGTGATACGCTTTTAGTTTTATCTCATATAATAGAATTTACTGAACAGTGGACATCATTAGCCGTTGTATAAAACTAACTATAATACTTTACAGATATGTATGGAAATGCCCACTATGTGAAACGAGTTATGACAATGCTGAAATTGAATTTTCTTTATTGGATTTATTCTATCGCAAGAGTACAAGTTACACATTGCAAGATTTACAATGTCGAAAGTGCCTTGAGATAAAAAGGGAGAATATGAATGAGATATGTACATGCGCTGGTGAATTTAAGACGACTTATGCAAGACGTGATTTATTAACGTTTGCAAGAACATTGAGATCTATAGCTGTTAAATTTCAGATGAATATTTTGGTAGAGGCTATTAAAAGCACTAAACTATTTATTCAGACAGACATTAAATGAATTTTTAAAATGCATTTGTGAATAATATGTACAAAATTATTGCAGGGAAAGAATGTTTTTTTTTAAGAGTATGTATAACAAAATTTGCTTATAATTTCAAGTCTAGGAAAGATATATTTAAAATAAATTATTAATGATTAGAAATATTAAAATAATACAATGTAAATATAATCACAAGGAAAAATGTACACAACAGCTATTGGTTTTATAAATTATATTTTCTACTCTTACAATAAAGTATTACTGTTTAGTGAAATGCCAACAATGTGACTTCATATCATTTGCTACATCTTTTACATAACAATGTCTTCCATTAAAATTGCGGCTTTGTAACAAAAAACAAAGAATCTTTATTGATCTTGCTTATCCATCTTTCTATACAATTATACCTTTGACAAGATAATGCCAATGAAAGACATTCCTATAAACAGACGTATCATATAAATGTTGATTAAACTTGTGGATCGATAGTTTGATCTGAAAATAAAATAATGAATATATTAATATTAAAAAAACTTAAGGTAAGGTAAACTGAATTCTCAATAATGAAAATAGTGAAATGAAAGTTACAAAGTAATAAGAACCCATTTTCATATAAAACAATTATCCTATTAAAAAGATGAAGTAGAATAATAAGGGGAGGTCATATAAAAGATGTTTGGAGTAGTACGAACAACTCCCAAATATTAACGTACCAGGGAATTTAAATTGAGGAAATTGAGTCATGTCAGTTCCAGGTCCACCGCCATACTGTCTTGCTACTTTCTCCAATTCAGTTTGTCTTTCTTTCTCTAACTCTGGAGTAGCATCAACTAATTTACCACCACTGAAACATGTTTAATTGTAATATTTACTATGATCAGTTAATCAGGGCTGTTAATTATTAACAATAGTTAAGGCCAGGCAAAATAGATAGTTTCTGGAATCTAATTGGGACAGGAGGAATAAAGTTATGACGCTGTACTTAAAAGATACTTACGCGCTCTTTGATTTATATTCACGAATTTTATCGATGAATAGTTGCTGGATAGGATCGGTAGCTTTCTGTAAAGCTGGGGCGAACACACCCACATTACGTTTAAAGGTTTTTTGTATTCCAAGAGCTGCTCTTCGAGTCAACATGATTGCCTGTAACGAAAATAAATGAAATTAGGGTATATACCATGTAAAGTATATTGACTTAATTATTAATGTCTACAGTACAGATTTACGAATGGTATAAAGCACCATTTAGTACTTCACCATTTATTTAACTTGATATTATAAGAGCTAATCTCCATTAAATTACTATTATGTAATTAAACACATCTTATTTTAAGGTTATAATGGTTAAAATGAAAATCTTTCAATCTAAATTACGAACTGCAATTCGATAACAGCCAAGATATTATATAAATCAGGAAAAACTTGTTTGTAAGAAAGATATATATACAAAACATTCAATTTTATGCAAGTAAATCTTAAATTCTACCTCTTCGAAATTCCTGCAGTAATCAGCTGCCGGAGACCAATATGGCAGGTTCACTAGACTGCAATGAATCGATAATCAAAATAACCACCGAGTTGCGAAATAATACTTGCATTATCAGACAATTACACGCTTCTCTCTTTATCTTGCAATTTAAGCTGACCATACTCTAGAACAAAATTATCATTCATTTTCAACTGACGCCCTAAAACAATGAATAAACCAATGTAGTGATTTTAAAATATGCAGGGCGACCAATTCATTTTATTTTCAATTATGAAATATCAGGACGTAAAGGAAAAAACGGTGAACATTAACAGCTCTACCTATGAAACTATAACAGTCGGGTATAATGTTCATGGAGAGGCTGTAGCATATGATATCGTATGACGAAAAGAGAAGATTCTTTCCCAAGGAAAGGAGGTCGCTTTTTAAATTCCCGCTCCCGTGGATTGGCACTCCTGAAGTACACGAGGCTGGCGCGTCAACCAATGGTGGCGCCACTCCCCCTCCATGCCCGTTCCCCCACTCCGCAGTCGGTCCTAGCGGAAAGGCAGTAACGGGACTGACCAATCGGTCGCGCTATTCGTGAGAGCTGCTGGCCAATTGGCGGGGCGCACCGATTCACCGGGGGAGGTCGGCTCCGCTCTCAGTTTCATTCATGAACGCCGAGACGCAGCCATAATATTTAATTTGTAATCTGTATTGTGTACGGTGCACCGCGTAGTGCTGCCGATGTGCGTGCACCCTTTGCCCTCTGGTTTTCACATGTGACCCCTGGTTTGTGTTGAATTGGTTTCTCCTCCTCGTTGCCGCTGGTGCCTCCCGCGTTATCGTGCTGCTGTTTATCGTCTTTTTCGCTTGGTGAAGCCCCGCTGGAAGCTACAGGTATTTATACGTATATACAAACACAAGCGGCCGGCGAGTCAGTCGAAGTGCGCCGCGCGACTTAACCTCGCCGGCGCTGACGCGATCTTTTGTCAATCTACCCTACAAGCAACTGCGAGTGCCGAGATCGTCGTTAATAGAGATCTTAACTCTTAAAATTTAACCTCCCATGTCAGAAAAATCCGACGAATCACTGTGAGTCTTTTTCAAAATTCCTCTCCAGACCCCGCTCACTTCCCTGTCTTAATTATTATCTATCGAGATATCGACACCCGATTTTTTACCGATCGTTCGCGCCCGCCATAACCTAGCTTCTTTCCTACTCCGATTTTTTCTAACGGAATGCGCGACAGTCCGCGCTTATTTTTACGTTCAGACGTAGGCATTTATAATCCGTGTATGTGAATATTATTCGTAAATAGGAGAGATCGCAATTTGTCCCGAATAATGGTACGGTAAAGCGAGTTTAATTGCGGGATTCCAGAGGTTACTCTTTAGATATGTTAGGTGTATTGAAATGCAAGTATTCTTTCGGACAATTTATTTATGGGATACAGGATACGGGCGATTTACAGACTTGAGGAGGGTTCGTAAGCGGCCCATTGTCGAGGCGTTACGATTCGCGCTGAGGTTTCCCTTGGCACGGCCTTTAGCAGTGTCAGGAGTCACGAAACGCCCGAAGAGAGTGACTCCTGAGAACGCCAGATTCGTTCTCGAGAAACTCTCGAGTGCCGTAGTGGCTCGTGACATAAGTCGACTCCTAGTCGTCGCCTTCGTGATCGGCAGAGCTCGTTTTGTTTTGCGGGAGCAGAAGAGAGCAGAGAGAAACTCCAAGGGCACTTACTCCGTCTTAATTCACCGTCGGGATTAGTGGAATTGTCAGGTCGTAGTAATACAATTTTGATAAGGTAATCACCCGCAAAAAAGGAATTTAGTTCATTGAACTAAATCTTTTGATTGGCCGTATTCGATTAATTTCAAGAAACGTATCGGTTAAGTGAACCGAATTCTCGTTCACTTAACCGTAACTTGTTTGCTCCAATCAATTGAAACGTGTACTTCGATCGCTTTATGAATTTAAATAAAAATATTTTAGTTAGCAAATAAAGCTTAGCTAAATGTACCGGATTACATTTAATATTTGGAGTGATCTACCGCAATATTTGACGCGATCAAGCAAAAGTTATTAACCAAAGAATTTAGTCGGTTGTTGTATCAATAATAGGTATTTCATTATTTATATTTTAAACTGAGATTTATTTTCTAATGTTCAGCGGTTATTGACGTTTCAATGGAGAATAGTTCGGTCGACCAGGCCAGAGGAAACTTCGGACCTACCCTTGGAATGCAATTGTTGAATGCACAGGTGCACTCCTAGTCTGCACTTCTGACATAAAACTTCTGGCATAAAAAGGAGATTGTGAGCTTTGGAACACTTGAAACTGCTTGTACGCGTGTCATGAAGTTATAACTCACGGTTAGAATCAGTTATGATTCACGATGCTCGAGAGTCCGCGGCATGGTAGTATGACCGGTAAAATTATAGTTGCTAACTACGAGTTGTAGCTCCGATAATGGGCAGCATTTTTCCAACACGTAATGGGGAAAAAAATATTTGAACGCGTAAATTTAACCTGCTGTAACGAAATGCTCGCGATTGCCGTCTCGCCGCTTAATTTATTACGCTTTTATCACTTAGACAATGTATATACACAATTGGGTGATGGCGAAAAATACATATTGCGCTCTTTGCGTAACTCGAGGTGTTATCGGGGCTTACGGTGCTTTTATCGCGACTTAAAGACGTATCGTTTTATCGGGAGAGGCGTTAACGGCTTAACTCTACACTCGTGAAATTGGTATATCGCCAGGAATGGCGAGGAATGTTTGTTTCGATCGGAAATCTTTATCGACGCAACATAACGCGCGTTCGATTGAGATAATATTCAATGAAATAAACGAAGGGTGCTCCGAGATATATTTTTGTCCCACGTGGTAGCCTAGGGCTTGCGAACAAAATGATTACGTTATTCTGCAATCAAAAGGTCTTTCATGGCGTATACCCAAAGTTACCTGATTAGGCCAATTTACGTCTACCATAATGCGCTTAGGCCGGACGAAAACGATGAAACTGGGAAATGTGACGGCGGATTATGGTTCATCGCCATCTCCAGTTAAGTAACAGTTAACTCCAGGTTAAAGGAGTCGTGTCTCCGACACGCGGAAAGATACTTCCTCGAATCGATACGTCTTTGATTGGTTTAATTTTAGAATGTCGTTATTGTATCAATAAATATTTAATTGGAATGACAAAATTCCTTGGTTATTAACGTTAAGTCGATATACACCAAATATTGTGGTAGATCACCCTGAATATTAAAGTAATTTGACACATTCAACCAAAACGTTCTCCGAAATGAATCAAATGCGATCGGTCATCCGACGATTCCGTCAAAAGAACAAATTTTCTTTTTCCACGTGTAAAAAATTGCTCGGTTTGAGAAAGAAACAATATATCTCGAGCAACCAAATCATGTACCACGTGGCTCGACGTAAGTTCAAGGAATGTCGTATCATCGGCAAAAGATGCGGCGGGGTCCCTCCAATGTTGATAAACTAAACATCATCGCTTATCAATTGCGGTGAAGGAGACACACCCAAAGTATACCGGCGATAAAAGCAGTTGACACGGTCACGTGTAATCGATCGAGGCTGGTCAGAGTTTAGGATAACCCAGTCACGAATTATGATTTGTATCGAATAGTTAATCGATAATCCAAAAGAGAAAGAAAAAAAAAGAAAAAGAAAAAACCCGTCGATGTCTCGTGACCGGAAAAGTGCCCTCGAGGACGAGCCTTGCCGTTTTTCGTCCATCGAGATGCAAAGACGACACTTTACCGTGGCTTTCCGCGCACGCGACATCGACGATCCAGCTGGTAATTAGTAATTATTAATCCGTGCCCTCGGCTCGTCCTCCGGCTAAGCCAACGGGACGTGCCAGGGTACGCGATGGGTCGCCTCGCAATTGTAATAAAAAAAAAAAAAAGAAGGGGCGAGATCTCTCCGTGTCGATGGGCCGGGTGGGTTTTTGTACAGTTTCTCGGATCTCGGTTGGCCGGCATGGCAACGCCGGTCCCGAAGAGAGCCCTCGGTTGCAGCAGCGGAGCAACGTCGCTCGGCTACGGGTCCGAGGCGGCCGAGAAGGAACGCCGGACGGGTCGCCAAAGCAAATCGGCCCAAAAGCCGAGATCGCAAGAGAGGGAGCGCGGGGGAGCGCCGCGGGAGCGAGAGAGACGCGAGCGAGGAAAGGGCCGGGCGGGCCCGGCTTACCCGGTCAACCTGCCACCCGGCACTGAAACACGTTTTCATTTTTCAATCGACCCATTCGTTTCCATTGCCTGCTCGCATTGGCATCTGGACCGGATAAGAGAGATACGGCGGTTCGATCCAATTAGCATGTTACGCGGAGAAAGTTACTTTGTCCTCGGTAATTGTTATTACGTCTCAACGTGGGTTATTGTAAATGCATAAGGGTGGTCGGTCGAGGAACTAGCGACTCTTGACCCCGTTAAATGCTCGTTAGAGGTCCTCGTATTGTTCGGCGGGGAAGGATCAACAATGGGAAGTATTTTGCCATTCGTATCGTAATGGGTTCGACGGAGGGTCCGAGCGTCTTTGATTTTTCCCAGGGGACGCCCCGCTCGAGGGACCTTTTTTTGATTACGGTAGGAAGCGGTTGCCATGGCCAGATGAGCCCGAAACGGGCCTTTGGGAAGGCGGGCGAAGCCAATGAAGAGTTGATCGTGGTTTCTCGATGTGGGTCCACGAGAATAGGGGTGCACCAGATTTCTGACGGGCAACCACTGCCCGCATCCGAGGAGTCTTTCTCGGCTCGAGATATTATGTTGCCTTCGCGAGAGGCCCGAAACAATAGACTCTTCGGGCCCCCGAGGGACCTCTCGCGTTGTTAAGGCCGGATCTTCTTCATCCGCCCTACGGCCCTCGCCATTATTTCGGGGCTGCGCTACTTTTCGACACATTTGTCGCATCGCGTCGTATTTATCATCGACGACGTGCCGGATCCCTCTAAACGATCGCACCTCTTCGCGCAGAAAAAACGCTCGATATCCGTATATTTAAGGCGATACGAGAGTGACGTCAAAGAGGTATCGTTTGTGAAACTTTTCTTCGAACTAGGTGTACCGAATAGTTTCAAATTTTACAACGTGAATAGGGATAGTTGTAAGCAAGATCTCGACACCCATGAAATTTCAATTTCTTTATATGTAACCCGATCGGATATTTTTCAAAATTTGTTATAAAAAATGAAATTTCACGAACGTCGAAAGCTACCTTTAGTCTCCATATTCACATTGTAACGTTTGAAAATATCACGATTGCCCTCCCCCGAGCCACTTTCGTATCGCCTTTAAGGTGAAGTGAAAGACGTCGAGGAACTTGATCGACGTCGATAATGAAGATTTTTCTAAATGCCTACGTTGCCGACGTTCGTTTTTCTATTGACAGCTGTGTCGAATTATATTGGGTATTGTACCGAATGACATACTCCACCTTTCGTTTTCGTACAATAATTATAAAGAAATCGAAGTAAACCTCCCAAAAACCTTTGGATTCGTGCTTTCTGGGGCCATAGATGGCTGCAGAGGGACCCCCTGCGCCATCTGTGATTTCCAGGTCAATTAAATTTTCACTCCGAGACCTCGTATTCCCATCGTTTTAGCATAGAAGCCCATATAACACTTTTTTTGCCCTTATCCCGTTCAAATGCGAGTTTATCGACTACCAGAGTGTTCTAAATTGTCGTTAAATTGCCCCGACCCGTTCGATTCTCATATCAGAGCCTTCGATAATTGTATATCGATCGAAATATGAGAGCTCGACGCCGTTTTGGTTCTGGTCCGGGATAAGTGAAAACATTTTTTCCATAAAATCCAAATTTTGAATGTGTCAAAGCACAATTCTTAGATGATCAGGAGTGATGTGTCAAAGTTTCGGACAGTTTAGTCTAATACCCTTAAGAAAAAGTGTTGTATTCGAATCGACTGATTTAAAGGGGGTTTCACTTCACCTTAACCCCACCCACGATTCCTTACATTCGAGAGATTTCTCGGTAAGTCATTTTAAACGTCACATCGTGATTACCGTCCGTTTATCAAAAACTCGCGGTCGCTGAAAACTTCGTCCAAGTAGGGACACGTCGACGAGGGTTTCGCCCGACGTGATAAACAAAGCATGACCCTTCTTTCCTCGCTGTATAAACCTCGGGCAGGACACTTTCGCGAGCGGACAGACGGGGGCGGAACGAGGGCCGTAAATAGCGCTTCGGGACCCGGTCCCCTGAGTTCCTGGTATCCCGGGCCTCTCCCGAGGGATTTATCGGCGATTTCAGGAGATAGTGGACCCAGGGTCGTCGTGGATCGTGCCGGGCGAGGCTCCCTCGCGGTCGTGAGCTGCGTATCGTTTAGAGGCCCGAGCCGCGGATCCGCCGCGGGGAAGACGGACATTCGGCTACCGGGAGTGCGGCTTCGCGTGAGGCCGTGACTGCAAACGCGGCTGCCACTCCACGTGCTCGGCATGCGAGGTGTTCGACGCGCCGTGCGACCCGTCAGGAGTAGGACAGCCACCAGACGTTATGGCCTAAGCTTCGCCGTATCCCGTCATCTCGGATATCTCTTGGCTCCTGGATCTCGTACGCACGGAGCGTAGGTCGGGGATGGAGGCCGGATCCTCGCAATGGATCTTCGGGAAAGGAACCGTTGATTTACGCGTCTTGGCTGGTGACGGTCCCGGATAACTCCGATTCCGTTCCCTTTCGCGACAGTTCGAAACCAGTGGTTAAGGTGAAGTGAAATCCCCTTCGAGTCAGTCGATTCGAATACATCACTTTTTTTTTTTTAAGGGTATTAGACCCAATTGTCCGAAACTTTGACACGTCACTCCTGATCATCTAAGAATTGTCCTGACACATTCAAAATTTGAATTTTATGGAAAAAATGTTTTCACTTATCCCGGACCAGAACCAAAATGGCGTCGAGCTCTCATATTTCGATCGATATACAATTATCGAAGGCTCTGATATGAGAAACGAAAGGGTCGGGACAATTTTACGACAATTTAGAACACTCTGGTAATCGATAAACTCGCATTTGAACGGGATAAAGGCAAAAAAAGTGTCGTACGCGCTTCTATGCTAAAACGATGGGAATACGAGGTCTCGGAGTGAAAATTTAATTGACCTGGAAATCACAGATGGCGCAGAGGGTCCCTCTGCAGTCAATTAGGGCCCCAGAAAGCATGAATCCAGAGGATTTCTGAAGTTTTACTTCGATTTCTTGATATTTATTGTACGAAAACGACAGGTGTAGTATGCCATTTGGTGCAATATCCAATATAATTCGACCCAGCTGTCGATATAAAAACGAACGTTGGCAACTTAGGCACTTAGAAGAATCTTCTTTATCGACGTCGATCAAGTTCCTCGAGGTGTTTCACTTCACCTTAAGGGGAGGAGAGCGGCTCGGACCTGGGCTTTTTAGGTGGGACACTTTTCGTCGAGACCGGAGACCCGAGGCTGAATTTCAATTGGGGGATTCGTATCTTCCCAAGAACTTGAGATGACGAATCCGACACACCGTTGCGATAAGAAAGATTTGCGCAGGGCTGGGGAAAGGTCCAGTCGTTATTCGGAGGAATCTGGACCAGGGGTTTTCGTTTGCTCTAGGCGCCGCTAAGATACGATTCGAGCTACTCGAAGTTAGCCCGACAGTCGTGGGGGTCAATCGTTTACCTTAAACGTTGCCTCTAGTAACCACATCTGGCGGAACGTACGTGGGCAAATAATTGCCCGGTGGAATTATCGAATGTTTTTTTTACACGGTGGCTTTGTTTAAGTGTTGGATCAGCTGGGCCGAGGACTAGTGGAAAATTTATTTTAAAACCGCCGTGGGATCGCGACGCTTTTCGGCGGAGCCCGAGCTTGCGGTGGCGGGTGGGAAAACTGCGCCAACTTATTCGAGGTCCGGTTCGTTCGGGCTAACCTGCCGATTAAGGTGAAGTGAAACACGTCGAGGAACTTGCTCGACGACGATAAAGAAGATTTTTCTAAATGCCTACGTTGCCGACGTTCGTTTTTATATTCACAGCTGTGTCGAATTATATTCGACATTGTACAAAATGGCATACTCCACCTGTCGTTTTCGTACAATAATTATAAAGAAATCGAAGTAAAACTCCAGAAATCCACTGGATTCATGCTTTCTGGGGTCCTAATTGACTGCAGAGGGACCCCCTGCGCCATCTGTGATTTCCAGGTGAATTAAATTTTCACTACGAGACCTCGTATTCCCATGGTTTTAGCATAGAAGGGCATACAACACTTTTTTTGCCTTTATCCCGTTCAAATGCGAGTTTATCGATTACCAGAGTGTTCTAAATTGTCGTAAAATTGTCCTGACCCTTTCGTTTCTCATATCAGAGCCTTCGATAATTGTATATCGATCGAAATATGAGAGTTCGACGCCATTTTGGTTCTGGTCTGGGCTAAATTAAAAAATTTTTTCCAAAAATCCAAATTTTCAATGTGTCAGGACAATTCTTAGATGATAAGGAGTGATGTGTCAAAGTTTCGGACAGTTTGGTCCAATACCCTTAAAGAAAAGCGTTGTATTCGAATTGACTGATTTGAAAGGGGTTTCACTTCACCTTAACAGTTGTAACGGTAGCGATGCGACCATCGGCAGGAACCACTTGCGTCGGTGTGCTCGGTGCATCCGACGCATACGGACGTCGCGGCGCCCGATCTTTTTCTCACACCCGATGCGCGTATATGCAGGTGTTCAACGGAGACGAGAGCCCCGCGTGTCATGCGCATGCGCGTATGCGTATGGCGTGCCCAAAGCCCTGGCGGTCGCAATGACGGCAGCCTCGAGCACTTTTACCCTCGCCATCTGTCGTTCGGCCTGCCAGGAGTAACCTGATCTTCGTAGTATCCGGAGTAACGTCGAGCCTGCCTTCGATGTCTCCGAATTACAGCCTCCTCGAGGCCTTCCCCGAAATTCGCCGAGTATTTCTTCTTTTCGCTTTAATCCGAGAACGTTATTATACCCCTTCATCTTTGGGAGTTACCCCTAATAGTTCGCGTAAAGTGCTCGAAACTTGTGGGAAATACGGCGCAAACTTGGCGAACCTTTATTGCACTCAATGTACTTTTCAATTACGCGGTATCTCCCCAACTCTTTCGGAATATATCGCTTTGTTGTCTCAAAACCTGACTTCCTGTTGGGGCTCGGGTTACACCTGCGTCCTTCTACCTGCGCGGGGTGTTACCGTGAGAAATGGAGGAACGAGATTAAACGTTAGGATGAAATGATCATCGTGAAAACGATTTTTAATTCATGAAATACGATAATAGACTCTTCGATTCATATTACCCGGAGAAAATCATCTCGTTCGTTCCGAATATTAACGAGTCATATTCTAAACCGTGCATCGGCGTGTTCTTTATGAAACGGTACATGCTCACGGGGTGGATTAGCGAGTCATATTCCGAATCGTGCCCTGGCGTGTGCTCTATGAAACGGGACCGCGTTCACGGTCGATATTAACGAGTCATATTCCGAACGGTGCAGCAGCATGCACGCGGCACATTTCCCAAGAAATAAACAGTCGGTGCGATATTCGTCGAATCGAGCCCCGGCTACGTTCTAGAAGATCTCGTCGTGCCCGGGCGCCTGGAGGTCCGAAAGTTTCAAATAAACGCGCGTGTGAGAATCCTGGCCGAAAGATACCGGGATGTTTACCCCGGTGTCGTGTATACGGCCGGCTGTTTTCCTGGGAACCTCTCTCGAGGGCCTCCGTTCGGCCGGGGCGGTCGAGGCAGTCCAAGAGGCCGAAACGACCGAAGAGGCGAAGCAGCTGATATGGTCGACCACGCCGAACCAGCCGATGGGTTTCTACGTTCCTCGGTGGGAAACTCTACCTACCAGGTCCCGATTTCTTTCCCGGCAAAGCGTCCCGCTCTCGATCTCTTTCCATAGGCTCGAATTCGATCTGACCTTGCGCACACGTGTCGTCGTGTCGACGCACATGTGCGCCAATGTGTATCGTCTTCGCGTCTTTGTCCGTACGAACTCTCCCCAGAGGCTGACGGAGCCGATGGGATTGTCATCGGACCTGTTGCAAGGGCCACATGCCGACCCATTGTGCCGCCACGCATGGTGCACCGTCCGTGGAGAAGGGTTCCCTTTAAATATTCCCCAGACGTTCAGGTACTCTCTTCGAGTAAATGGAAGGTATGCCGAAACAGATGGAGTGCGATGAATTCGAGGGAAAATCGAAGCAAACGTCGGGTCCGAGTCTTCGTAGCGGGCACTCCGCTGATGCGGTTAGACACTTATAAGATGATCAAGGTAGTCGCGACGAGAAATTTGTTAACGCTATCCGCGTGAATCGGTTCACGTCGCGGTGATGGCGTTAGAAAATGTGGCGATTTGCAGCGAAAGATCGAGCGTGGGAGGAGGGATTGCAATGGTCAACGGTACTTTCGGCGACAATGTCGTCCTTGTTAACTGAAATAATGCTTTTCCGAGGAAGCTGACGCAGCGTGAAACCCCGCTACTAAGAAATCTCTGATTTCTCTCAGGTCGTTATTCCGTCGACACTCACTCATTGGATCCAATAGAAACTCCAAACTTCACGTTTATTTAGCGGCTACGTCGAGGCGACCAGCTTGTTTGAGCACTTCGTTGATCTTTTTTACGGTTCGTGGAAGCGTCTTGTTCGGTCGGTACAAACCGACGAGTATCGACGATGTACTCGTTGCGTTTGATGATTAAAAAGTTTCACGTCGGATTCCGACGCTTCGAGCCGATTCTAACGCGTTGTTTGTTATTGCAGCGAAAATGGACATAGAGTCCCTGTACGACTACGGGGAGGAAGACCAGGACTTCTACGAGGAAAGTCCAGGAACTAGAAAAGGATATCCCATCGACCATAGATCAATAAAGGTGAGTCGCGTTTACGTTTCTTATTTACTTTTTCTTTTTTTTTTTTTTTAATTCGGGATTTCCAATACGTAAGTAATTGCGTGAATTACGAGGCAGCTGGTGTCCTGTAAAATATGATATATTTCCTGGACTTCGGAAAGTCATCGTGGTAATATTATTCTTCACAAATAATGGGAAATAATTAGGGAACAGGGAGGGGTACCGGTCTCGTTTGATTTAATTTATAACGTTCACCGCGCAATTAATTTACTGGAGCCAGGTTATTGGAACAACCGTCGCTAGTCGTGACTTTGCTTGTCCGCGACGAATTCAATTATAAAACAGTAGCGAACCTACGCGGGGTAGAGCGCGGCGTCCATCATTGTACAATTGGATAATGCTCAACATACGACTCGCGTCAGGTTTACGGTCGTTCTCAAAGCTAGATCCAACGATAGTCGTGTTTCAATCGGCGACACAATTCACTTGGAGACGATTGATTTCTCCCTTTCCTAGCCCCCGACTGCGCTTCCCGGCTCGGAAAACGGGAGAATCGGAGAAAGAGCCTCAGTTGCTGGCCCTGACTATGGATTGGCATTGCGTGATAAAAGGCACATTGGTTAGACGAGATAGATAGCTGAACGTTGTACCAGCTTAAAGTGTCAATCATCGTACCTTTTATCGTATAAGCTTCACCTCAGGGTCGACCTCCTCCGCGCAGTAATCGGGCGTCTACTCGAAGTAACCGACGCGTCGATGCGTCACGGTGCCAAATGCAATACGGCTTAACAAATGCACACGAATTCGAATAGCGTTCAATCGTCGTCGTGCTATACTTAGAAAATGAACGATGGTATCAATCGACGCGAGCACAGGATTCTCAGGAATCGACGTAAGCTCGAAGCCTTCGTGCATCGGCACGGCTCTTGGGAAGTCGAGCGCGATTTCGCGATCGCCGGATCGGCCGATTCGGGGCAACGGGAACGGTTGCGACAGTATTGGATCGAGCGAATGATCGTGGGCACGACCAGTTTTCTCGGGGTTTCCGTGAATGGAGCTCGACCGAGTGGAGTAGCGGGGCCGGCGACCGTGTCGAGTCGAGTCGAGTCAAACGGAGTCGGAGCCGAGCAGTTTCATAGAGCCCGTGTCACGACTCCGCGAGCCAGGTGAATCGTCCTCGATCGTGGGTTCATGAATGAACGACGAGCCCCGGCGCTCTTCCCACTCCTTTTTCTCGGCTTTCCTCCCGCGGCCTTTCCCTTCCCTCCGTTTGGGTCCAGTCCGCGAGTGCCGCGAGCTCGGATGCTGCGTCTGGCAACCGCTCTTGGTATCCAGTCCCCCATCCCCGAGGGATGCCGCTTGGAAGGGGATAATAATTAGGAAAAATTGCGCCTCGCTTTCCCGGGCGCCGCCTAAGATACGAGGTCTAGACCGGCGATAGGTACATCCCTGGGAAGTTTCCGAAGTCCCGTCTAGCGGATACATTTAGTGGAGGCTCGCGTCTATGGGGCAGGGAAGTATCACTCGACAGCCCGAGCGGCGTGGACGCGAAAGGAGTGCACGAGGCGTTTCCAGGGAAGCGCCGAGCGCGTGATTTTTTTCCCGACCCACCCTTCGAGCTCTATTGGAAAGAAGATGGGGACTTCTGTACCGGGAAGATGTTAAAGCGGCAACGGCTTGACCGTATTTAGCTCGGCCGGGGCAGGCCGAGGTTTTCGCTACTAGAGCGAAGAACGCGAGGCAAACGCAACGCGGGTCTCTCTCCGGTATCGTGCGGGAAGGGATGCTATTTCTGGAGGCATAAGTTTCCCTTCCTCCTCCCCCGAGCTGACTTCCTCCCGCTTGGACTTTCTACGTCCCGTTCGTCATAACTGGACCCCTGTGCAGCGGGAGCCTCGCGTAAGAACCCTCCGCTGCATTCCGCTCCTTATCACCGGCCCCCTATCTCTCGCGGCCGCCGACTCGCGATCGAGCGCTTCATTCAAATCGATCGACCGGCGTGGCCGGCTCTCGGCTTCTTCCCTAACCTTGGATTTTTTATCGCGGGATTTAGCACTTCAGGGTATCGATTACGGGCATTCTTTCTCCTCCTTTCGTCCCGCGTCGCCGGATTTTGCGAGCGTTCGATATAGAAATGCGAGATGCCGAGTCGCTCCTCGCCTTAGGCGTAAATCGTTCCGAGGAAAAGGACTGTTTGCAGCTTTTTTATCTCCAGCGGTTTAAAGGATTCGTTGACAATAGATTCGGTATCCGTAGTTGTAGGTATATCCACTGGAAGGATAGTCTCCTTCAATCCTTCGGGTAGCTTTCGGATGGTAATTCATCATGTTCCCCGCAAACACGGGATGAATCTTATTTACCTAGAGAGCGGAAGTAAATTCGATCGAGTTTCCGGAGCAGTCAGTAAATAGCATTTCTCGAACTCGACGACGTTCCGAGGCCCTTAGTCGGGAAATCGAATCAGTCGGGTTACCCTGGGAGAACGCCGACTCGATGGAACGATTTACCTTGTGTTTCGAGGGGAGCGTAGGAGAGCTCCGAGTAACGGAGAGGAGAAAAGGAAGAAAAAAAAGAGGAAGGAAAAAAACCGCGCCAAGTCGATATTTCCAGGTGGGTCGAATTAGTAGCGGACCCTGCGGTCTTTAATGAAGGGTTGTCAGGAGCAATTAGCGAGTGAAAAGGATGCATCCGCGTTTCAGCGATCGATGCTTCCTTTGGTTTTGGGCGTGGTTGCATCCGCTTACTTTGGGGTCGAATCCAAGTCGAGTTTAATCGCGGCGCGAGTCTTTACGGACAGAAGCTTACCCTGTGGAATAGTAATCGAGGAACAAGAGAGGACACGGGGAGCCAATGTCGAAGGAATGGACAATGACGATAGAGAAGACGGTTACAAACAGCTGGTAGTGGCCAAGAGACCCAATCAATTAGAGGGGAACACGTGATCCCTTATCACTCCTCTTCGCTTTCAATCGCTCTCCTTGTTTAATTGATATTATTCCATCGAAGGGGTATTGCAACCGACCTCGTTGAACGCAGGACGAGAACTAAATAAAAAAACCTGCACGTAATTACTTTAGAGTCGCGATAAGTCTAATTACTGTAAGCGCGAAGTCGCGGTCATTGTTTCGCTCGGTCGATACCGTAATTGGAAGAGCCATCTCGAGCGGAGTCAATATCTCGGGGAAAGTCAACGTCAGAATTGAGCTAGACCGATCACCGCCCACGTTATGCTGCCGATAAGATATGCGAACGACATCGCTCAATGAGTTTTACAGGGTAACGATACCATTCCGAATCTCCCGTTGTCCTTGTCCGCTTTATCGAAGCGCGATAGATTCCTTCTCGGAGCCGCGTGTTCCCGCGAACGGGTCTCTGATTCGGAAATGGCGATACGTTCGTTCCTATGTAAACGAGAAAAATCAGACGTACGGAGAACCAGGACTTTATCTATTCGTTTTGTCGCCGAAGACATCCCCTCTCTGGGTCAGGTCGGACCATTTTGGCTGGAACAATTTATTCGGTCGAATTAATAATTTATTACCCCTCGGCTCGGTAAACGCAAGCCATGCTCGATTTGCATTTCGCAACGATTATTTGCGAGATTCCGAATCTCCACCGTACTTCGTTCTTGCAACCGGTCGTTTACAAGTGTCGCGCGAACTCGAGATTCGAATTACTCGATTACGCGAGTGCAGATGGCTCACACGTTCGATCGGAGACACGGCCGGTCGGGTACGCGTTCATTTGCACACGCCGAAGTGCTTACGAGTCGTGCACATGCAAATGACGGCGCATACGGGATATCGTTCACATGTCCGCGGCCGCTTACAAACATGTACGACGGTGTACAGGATAGAGGCAACGCACCGACGATGCGTTAGAGGTATTCCTTCACGTGTTCACGTTCAGGACGCGTTGTAGCCCATGTCCGATATAGCTAAATTGTTATGGCGTGCCCCAAAGCCTATGGCGTTACGTCGGCTTTTCATAGGGTACGCTTTATCCCAATGCGTTATTATTATCGCGTCGATCGGGCGTTGAACGTGTACACGATCCCTCTCTCGTGCACGACCGACGATTAGGCGTGCACGCGATTCACCCGAGTGATCGACCGTGTACACGATTAGGTCAGCCAGAAGTGTACGATTGCACGTGTGCGTTGTTTAAATGGAAGATCGGTCCCCAGAGATGCCGTATGCTTTTCTCGGAGGGCGAGAAATTGGGCATCAAAGGGTGTACGTGGAGAGACGTTGAACAGGAACCAGAAGGTTGCTTCGCTAACTTTACGTTATTTTGGATAATGGTCAGCGGTAGATGACACGGACTCTGGGACTTTTCTCATTTGGAGTATATAATTAAAGAAGCGAGTCCGATCAAAGGGTGTATCCAAGGGGGTGTTATCGATTCAGGTGAGCGAAAAGTTGGACCTCGACGAGGATGTACAAAGAGGTTAAAAAAAGGCAACGTGGTTGTTTCATCGTTATTTTCATTACTTTGGAGGATTGTTAGCGGAGGAAGGCAGGGACTTATATCTTCTTGGTTTAATGCTATGTATAAAATACGTAGTTGAAGAAGCGAGTCCCAGCATGGTAGTACGCGAAGAATGACGTCTCGTGGGTGTATGCCAGCGAAGGGATCGAGAAGTAAGCGAGGGATAAATCTTTATTTTGAATTATCTCACAGTCGGAACGGTAGAAAAGCGACGCCTAAGGTGCATTCCGCTTATTGGGCGAGCACGAAAGCATGATATAATACAATAATAGTCGGCACCCGGTCGATTTGGCGAAGCCCCCGCTACTGCGTTGCCGTGGCCTTCCACTATATTTAGATGCGACATCTAGGCACGACACACGGTTAAACGCCTTTCAATCGTTTCTCTATCACTGCACGTTATTCGTGATAGCATCGACCCACTTCTGGAGGAGCTTCCTCGTGTAAACCGGCCGTTCCCCGTGATATTTCCCAAGAAACAGGGGGCATGGGGATCTAAGTTATATTATCCGACACTTTGAACTTCCACGTGGTCGCTCGATTTCACATCTCGCGTTCGTCCGACGGCCGAGGGAAACGCGGGGTGAGCTTCCGTCAAAGTGACGTTCAATGCTGTCGAAAATAAACGTATATTATTTTATCTCCTAACAGCCCGAGGCGGGGCTCTGGGATCGGCTTTACTTTCCGAAGAGCGGATCGCTTCTCGCGAAGCGATTTTCCGTCCGCGCATAAACTGACACGGGCCTCCGTCGTATGAGAAAGACTGGTAAGAATAAAATTGAATAAGATTACACGGCAGGGCTTTGTTGAGAAAATCGCGTTCGCGTCGCAGCAGGTACCGCGCGCGTATTCGTAATTGGCACGCCCATCATGGGAATGAAATTACGCACCCGAAGTAATAAGCGAAAGACATGCGAGTTATTTTCCTTGATAAGTGCGGTAACAGGGGAGAGATGTAATTTCTGATCGGGGCAAATTGGCGCGTCGGTACAGGGCTAGCTACAAATTTTTCTACTTACGCGGCGGAATAATCGCTGGATCAGCTGCAGATTTGTCGCGATAACGGTGTTGCCTCACGTAATAAGTCGGTGAACCTAGACGGTAAATTTGTTCGGTCAGCTCGACCAAACAGTTTACGAATTATTCAGCAGCGAGTATGCAGTTTTTTGTTCGTTTGGCGAGGTAATGGAAATTCGCACCGATGGCGAGTTATCTCGTTCAATCAAACTAGTTCATTTCTTCGTTGTACAGCTGGGATGAACATGCGTCGTTGTAACAATTTCGGTTGGTACTGGTCGGTACGTCACAAAGTCGGTCCCCGACAGTAAATTTTCCCTTTTTCACGGGTGAAGCCACCGCGCTGCGTGTAGGTGTAATATATTGCTGTTACGCCGATATTAAGACGCAGTCGTTGTCACAGATAACACCGTACACACGGTAAAATCTGCAGATCGGCTTTCACGTGCGGCTCGAATATCATAGTGGCAGTTAATGTACAGGGTGGGATTGAAATAGGAACGCGCCTTAACGGCTTCTCAGCTGTGGATGTTAAATGAATTTATTGATAACGTTATACGATAACGCAACACAATTTGCAAGTGAAATTGCGCTGAAAACATCTCTACTCCGTTTTTCTTGGAACCTCGCCGCAAAGCTTTGTGAATAAATTGTAGCCTTATCTAGAGTATATGCAGAGTATCACAACTTACTGCGTTATCGCGATAACCGAGAAGACTTACTTGGCGAATTCTGCGCTCGAATTTACGTCGCGTCCGCACGCAAAGCGTACGCGAAAAGCGCGCACGGAATCCTTGCCGCGACGAAGTCACGAACGGAGGACTCGGTCCGTCAATTAAGCTGCACTTAACGCCAAGCGCACCAATACGCGTTAAACGTACGATTAGTTAATCGGAGTTTCAACATGCATCGATGTTATTGACCCATAAAACTATCCGTGTATAAGTAGCCTTCCATCTCGCGTGCCTATTATCAGCCCACAAAGCTCCTCTCGGGAGCTCCCCCCCTTTCCGTTTGCTTAACAACGATGCCGAGAGGTTATCCTAAGTATCGGTACATTTGCAAAGAGACTCGGGGGTGACGTCTATCGCTGGACTTCGCAAAGTTTCCCCAGCTGGTTTCTTTGTACAGAAATCCAATGTCTCCCTTCTCGACCCCCTACTCTCGCGACGAAAATGCCTCACAATTCTTGGTACCTTATCATCCAGATATGATTTCAATATACCTACATTCCCTTCGCGATGCAATTACGAATGAGCCTAAAACGTACAAAAGGTTCCTCAAAATAAGACGTCACGATACTTCGCAAACTGCATACTCATCTACGAGATCCTGCAATCGGAGGTTGCACAAGCAGGACACGTTGTGGGTTACATCTACCCCCACGTAAGGGGGCCGATCCTCAAGGATGACGGCGTCGCGTGGTCGTACCCCTCGGCGTTGCTCGGCGTCGTTCGGAGTGTCGCTTCGCGCCGCACCGCGCCGCGCTGCGTCGGTGTTGCGTCACTCCGTTAGAACGCAGCGTTTCATTCGGTCTTGCGCCGGCCCGAAGGTCAAGCGGTCGCCCCCGCTTCTCCGCTTTCTACTATCCCTTGAGGTGCCCTCCCCCCCGTCTCCGCCGCGATGCCCATCCTGCTCCGCCTTTCATTTTTCGTTCCTCTTTGTCGCCCCCTCTCGACGCTCCGTCTCGCTCGGCCGCTCGCTCCCTTCTGATCGCGCTCTCTCCGTCGCCGCGCTCCCCCCTCCCCACCCGCCCGGCCGCCGCGTGGTGGCCATTCATCTCTCTCTTCCCCCTCCACTGCTCCCACTCCCCCTCCCGGAGCTCTTCATTCGGTCGTACCCCCCGGCGCCCGCGCGCCCCAATGCCCCGCCAGCGAGCGGCGAGGCAGGTTCATTCATAGAGACGTATAGTACTGGACCGCGTTCCCCCGTAAACTTCCGTACTTGTCGCGTGGAGCTCCTCGCGACCGGGAGTACAGAACCCACCGACGGGAGAGTTCCCTCTTTCTTTCCGCAACGTCCGACCGACGGGCTTATTACATTTTCTCGACCCCTTCCCTCGCTCTTTTCTTATTCTCGAGCCGGATAGAGCCGGCTTGAACTTTTGCTCCGGCAAGCTCTAACCTTTTCCCCCGGGAGAAACACGGGGATATTTTTCCTCGCAGGGCCACTTAAAAAATTCGCGTTTCCCGGTAGGTGATTTCAATCCGAGCTCTGGACTTATCTCGGGGAATATTTCTCAAAGCCAGACGTCAAAGGCCACCGTGAGGCTGAGCTCCCGGTCTTCTATGGTTTCATTCATGGTTTCGTCGAAAAAAGGCCGAGCGTGGCTTCCCCTTCTGCGCCCGTGACGCTCCCTTCCCCTTTCCTTTTCCTTCCCTCGCTTTTCTCGTCCTCGTCGCTCCGGAACGTACGAATGGCAGCCTCCTTCGCCTCCTCGTCGCTCGACGGTCGTCATTAACTTGCCGGCCGCCCGATCGGCACCCCGAGGAGGAGAATTATTTATCTCGTATAAGTATGTAGACCCGAGGCATTAATAATGAATAGCGCTCCTTTCGGGGGGGGAGGGATAATTGTAAATATTAAATAATGGGCCCACGGGCCCCGAGTCTAAGCGGCCTAAGTCGGCTCGTCCCGAATCTACGCACCCGGGGTTACGAAAGATCACGTGACCGCGATGCGACTTCGCAAGCGATATTATACGTATTCCCAACCGTGTTTGCAATCGCGGGCGCAAGTTTCGACGATTACTTCACGTGCCATGCGAATCGCAAGATATTAGAATACTAGGCTATCAGCCACCTCGGTTTCGAAACGTCGAGGCTCGTTTAGAACGTCTCGGGGAGGGATCCCGAGGAGGTGCATGTATAAATCCGAAATTACCGGCAAAGGTTCGACTCCTGACATCGAGGCTAGGTGTCCTCTCGCTTGAGAAGAAAAATATATACATATGTATTGCAGCTCCAGGCACGCGTACGTCTGTTCAATCCCATTAACGAGGTGCGACAGACTGTATTTGCACAGCTGCAGTCCCAGGGTTCACTTAAGGCATGCCAGTGACCGGTTTAACCACAAGATGCGGCTGGATTGGCTAAAATTAATTCCGATATCTCGTCGTGTGTTCTTTTCGTAATCGGGCCAAATCCGCCGTCACGGCAGAGCCGAAAATCACGGGCGGAGATAGACATCGCGAGAGGACGCGAGGAACGTCCGATCGGTCCGTCACCCTCGGCCGGTTATTGTTCTTTGCCATCGAGAGTCAAAGCCATTCATACGTTACTTGTCCATTTGACCGTTCCCTCGATTATTTCGGCCTTTGTCGGGCCCCTCGGTGGCCCTTTTGTGACTCGAGGCTGATTTCTTGGATGGTTTCAGCGCGACCCACGGAACGCAAGCGGTATCCTGGGATGCGGCAGCATCAGCGGCGGCGGCGTCATGATGATGATGGCGAAGTACATGAAGCAGGAGCTCGCTTCCGACGCTGAAGAGGAGGGCCTGGTGCCAGTTTTGCCCGGTCGCTTCACTTCCATGCGCAAAGTGCCGTCCCTGTCGGACCTTTCGGATCCGGAAAACTCCCTCGGTGAGTTTTGCTCCATTTTCACTCCTATGGACGATTTAAGCCCCCCATTGGCCAAACCGATTTAACGCCACGAAACGAAACGTAGAGGAAATTTGAAGGAAAAAATTGAATGGATCGGTACCGATCGAGTGCTTTAATAATTGAAATTAAAAACATTCCGAAAGTGGCGTTAAACAACTTGCCCTGTGAACGGCTCATTTCATACCTCACCGTAGAGATCGAATATAAAATTATTGATAAGGAACGGTCAATGGAGATCTCCCTTAAATGGGGGGATGATTTATTTCAAGACCCTCTGGCGTCTTACAAAAATTCACCTGGAGATTGCCATCGCGGATGGTAATTTATCCCCTCTAGTGACAGTACTTCTACGTATGAGAAAGCCGAGCCAATTGAACCTGTGTATCTTGACGTCGTTTGTTATTGACGTCATTTTATAGTATCCTACGCAAGGCGAGTCGCCAAACATTTGTTCGCTTCAATTGAAATATTAATTTTGTCTCTTCACAAGGAGATTAGAGTGTTTTGATGCTTCAAGCGGAAAGTTTTTTTTTGTCTTTTTTTTTTTAAGACGACGTAGGGTAACGTATCAATATACTTTAGAAGTGATTGCGATCGAAGCGTACGAGAGAGAATGTACGTTAAAGGGGGGGGGGGGGGAGGAGATCTAGACGGGAGTTTCGATTCGCGTAGTCGATTCATGCTTTGGATTTCGAAGATTCCGATTTAAAACACGGTGCACGTCCTTCATTCGCGCACGTGCCTCAAATATTCGCGGAATACTTATCGGTACAGTCTACTGGTAATTGAATTCTTCCACACACTTGGACTGGCAACTACGCAAAGTGTAAGTTATGAATACAAGGCCCGCGCATTGTTTTCTCGATTTGACTGTGATGATAAAACTTCAAATAATTAATTCACGTACGGCTTTCCCATGCGAAGGAGATGCAGGATGCCGTGATATTTTTATCTTTTTTTTTTTTCTTCTTCCCGTGAACCATGTTTAAATCTTGCATACGACGTGATTTATTTTTTCTCCATCGTTGCTATATTTACTCAACTCACTCCCACATGTGCGAGTGCACGATGCACAAACACGGTCGAACGGCGCCCCTGACCTGTACCTTTGCAACTCCCCTAAGGAGTTTACGGTGATACGGTATTTATTGAAAGGTTACCTGTACGACCCACGTTGCCCTCGATGCGTGACGTGCCAACGCATTGCGTTCGATCCTGCGATGCGAAAGGTTAAGCGTGCGAAGACCCTCGTCAGGAGGTTCGTCGGGTACGCACGGTTCATTGAAAAAAGTCATCATAGTAGTCCGCTTTTTCTTTAAAAAATTATCAAGCTGGCGCTTTCTACCGTACGCACGAGAAACATTTTTTGAGCTTTCTTTTTTTTACATAAAAAAAAACTTGAAAAATCCTCTGCATCGTGCAGATATGTAAGAATATTTTTTAAGAGGAACTTCTTTTGCCACGGTAGTGCGAGTTCAATGCTTGGAAATTGGAATGAAACGAAAAAGTGAAACATCTCAGAGGGGGGGCGTTAGCGTCTCCTCACTTCCGATAATCACTGGAGCGAGACTAGCGTGTTTCTTCTTTTCGTTTCCTTCTCAGTTCGTCTCGCTCTACACCCTCCCCGGGAGAAGTTTTTTTATTTGGTGCCTAAATTTGTAGGGGAAATTGAAAAGCGTACACCTGATGGGGTTTCTACGGCTAACTCATGGAGACGTTCTCTCCGGTTCCGAGAAACACCTTTGAGAGGGATATAGTGGAAATACGAAACATTGGGCGACTCGACTCCACCGGTGTATGTCTCACGAGGTCGTAAGGAAACACGAGAGTGGTCGCCACGTACGAAGTAGGTGGCGATACCATTCGCGTCCGAAGAATCCCGGAATCAGCTCTTTCGCTTCTCGAAATACGATCGGGTCAGACTTTAATTTCTCCAGTTGTACGGCATGATATTCCGTAAAGACGGCCGCGCTTCGGCCGGTGTTGGCATAATACGAGAGCGCCGAGTAAGCATATATATAATGCTCGTGCATAAGTTGTCAGGACGGTTTGCACGGTTTGTAGGTGCAAGCCGGCAACTAGATCTTGAACCTTGACGATTCCGTGAGGTATTCGACGCCCCGACTCTGCGACTTCGTGAGACCGGCAAATGAATTCTCCGGATGATCCCCTTGAATTAAATGCATCGCGAGAGAGAATGGTTTAATTTTTAAGTAGGAGCAATTAAGTGACGAAAGCATTTCGGAGTATACTTCCGGTAATATATTCCTAGATATATTTTATTTATATGAAACGAAGTTCAAAAATTCATCTATTTCCGTGTACATTTTTTGTTGTTGTTATATAAACAATGTATTTTGATATATATTTTTTTTTTCTCGTGGGTACGAGCGGCACAGATGTAATAGGTATATTGAAATACAGGCTTATGGAAATCTGTGCGGTAATAAAACTGTTAGAGATTAGGACACTTAAAAGTTCAAGCTTTAAACCATTCGAGGAAACAGCGAGAGACAGTTTCTTCGGAAGAAGATGGAAAACGCATTGTACCCGTTGGCGAAAGGGGGAAACGCGCTGGAGCGAGGTTTCGACGTTCTCGTTTTCGTCGCAGTTTAGCGAGCGCGATCAAAATACAGCGAGAATTTACGAATTGGATAATCAGCAGCATCCTCATTAAGGTCCCCCACTGGACGCCCCCGCCTTCCATTCCCCCCTTATGACACACGTGCACGCGTGAACAAACGGACCTACGAATGTCCACCTCTTGGACAACCGAGCGTGACGAGCGCACGAGCGCAGCGAGCGCAGGGAGCGCACCAGCGCAATGTACGTACCGAGTGCACCGAGTGCATACCGTGTATCGAATGTACCGAGTGCACCAAGTGCACGGAAGACACGAGTATTACGGATCGATGATCTGTGCACCTACGCTGTCAAAGATATCCGTTCAAAAAATGAAATACATATAATCGAAATTTTTTCAAAACACTACGTTTAGAAATTTGTATATAACCGTGTTCGGAATTTTGATACACAAATGTATACGAATTTGAAAGGGCTTGTGTACTAAATTCGGAAACTTTTTTATACTAACTTTCGATCACGCACGGATATCCAATTACATGTATTTTGAAAAAAAAATCATGTAGTAAATTTCTTAATATTGGTCCTGATTTATTTTTTCATCTATTGGTTTAGTTGAAAATTAGGTATACTTTTGGGCGGATTTTTACGCGGAAACGGTGTTTTTCGATTTGTGGTATATGTTTGTCTGGTTTTCATTTCTAATACCGCTGTTTCTGGTATCAATATACATTTGCGTTCCAAAGTGTCCGAAATATCGAAACGTTTTTAACAGTGTAAGAGCGCGTCGCACGCAGTTGCATGTGCATCCGCCACGAGTGCACCCCGGCCCACTCGCAATTAGAATGCCTCACTCGTCCGTGCCCTCTGTCACGCCGATTCGCCGATTTGTCCGATTTCCCTGCAATTATGTCCGTTCAAGGCAGCCAGAGAGCCATGATAGATCGTCGTTCCTTCGGTATTTCGTGCCTCTTCCTCGCAATTCCGGAAGCTTCATCAATTAGTTTCCCTTTCACTTTCACCGAAAATGTTTATTATTTACAAGAAAGGGGACAAGAGGGTCGATCGTCTTTAGTCATTTATGACGTGACATTGGTATCTCATTTATCAGTCGATAGGTTCGATTGGTCCCATCGTCTAGCTTCTCCGCAACAATCGGCAGCGGTATTGTCATGCGATTCCTCGACGTGCTTCTGATGACGGTTAGGTGCGACATGTTATATGTAAATGTCCATTGTCCCTGCGACATTGACGCAAGAAATTTGTTTCTCCTGAGCTTCCTTCGTCAGAGGTAAGACCGAGGAAAGTTGACCGCAGCTCGTAACTGCAGATTACGGGGGTTTGTCCAACGATAATGGGTTTGATATCAAGACATTCGTCTCGTGGAATCGCAATTCATTGAACATCCTTGAATCTCATTGACATATTCTGCGGTTAGGCCACGTTGAATATTTTAAACCGAATTAATGAAATTAATCAGGATGAGATTCGACGTCATTCGGGCAGATCGACGTTCTCTCGGATCGGAGGCTCTGAATGTTAGAGTGGGAATATTCGAAGAATGGACGTCTAGAGCCGCGAGCCTCGCAGAAAGAAGTCGATTTTAGAAGAATCGATGAGTCGGGAATGCATCGCCGCGCAAATGAGAATAACGAAGGAGACCACCAGAAGTGGCTTGCGACTTCGTTAACCGTGTCACTTGTCGGCGTCCTCATTTAAGCTTGTCGGTCATTTAAATGTTTCATGATTACTCTGGCACCATCGGTACCGCCGGTGGAAGTTACGGTTATCCGCAGATCAGACGTCTCGTGACGTGGAATTTGCGGGATGATCGATAAGCTGACCCAGTTTTATTGAATTATTTTGAGCTCCCGCTCCGTTCTATTTCTATACCAATGAATGTATGTATACGGGAATCGAAAGTTAATATCGTCTCTGTGAGGAAGAGTCTCGTCTCGGTTTTTTTTTGGAGATCCACTTTGGGGGATTTTCGCCCCAAAGACGAGGAGTCGCTAGTCGGAAGTTTCGAGGAGTCCTGGGCCCCTGTCGTAAGTCGGCCCTGGCAGTGTTTTGTCATTCCGTGAGGCAAGTCTTTGACCTGTAGGACGAGCGAACGTATGTTCAATTTATTCCACAACGAGGCACCGGATGAACGGGGCCCGACGCCATACGTGCCTGAATTACCAAGGGCCCTTCGTCGCCCGATCGGGCTTGCCTATCGGCAGTGCCGTCACTGGGACCGGAGGTGTCGCGTGCATTTTTCCTCGGCCCTGTCGCTCTTGGAGCGACTGCCTAAACGGTTCCCCAAGATGGGTCGAAACGCTGAACGCACATCTTCCAATTTTCATTCTCCGGGCCTGAGTTCGTAGCATCGTTAAAAATATCCATTCTAAATA